ACATGGCCTAAAGAGTATTTTCAAATTGTCTGGCAATTCATATCTGCCTACATAGCCTGGATTCATTGTGATATTGATTTAGCATGATTTATTTAAAAAGTATTCATCAGTCTCAAAATATATCATTTTTTTCTATTCTTTTATACCTTATTATATTAGAATAATTTATTGAGCAACAACTGATAAGACTTCTAAATCAATTCTATTGAACTCATCAAAACAACACCAAGCTCCACAACATATTAATCCTTTAAAGAATTTGCTCATGGATATAACATTTAAGCCTTCTGAGCAGTTAAAGACGATACATTGAATTCCTAAGCATTTTGCTAAATCTTTGACTGTTTCTGTTTTACCAGTTCCCGCAGGACCTTCAGGTGCTCCTCCATAATTGTTTTAAAATGCCATTATAAGAGTCCTATAACATCTATCAGTCAAAGGTGTAATGACTAGTCTTTATGTTAAACCATAATACTCAAACCCATATTGAATGTTGCATGATAACAATGAAACCCTCAGAATTTTTTCATCATAATATCTCAAATTGATTAACCAATTAAAATCAGTCTCTTTTAAGGATTCAATTTTGCATAAATTTTCAGTTTATGTTCTATTATGGACTAATAGTAAGATTATTTAACTAATTTAGATTCTCTAATAGATATTAAGATTTTTCTGTTGTAAAATTTAAACCAGATTTTTGATTTGTTGCTTAATTTGATGTAATACATTTTCTAGAGATATTTAAGAAATTAAAGCTTATTCAATAGAGGAAGTCCATTTGACTTGTGTCATTGTTTGAACACATTATGATGGCCATTTCAAATACCACTGTTTATCTGTATCTTATGCACACTCTTTCATTGTTCTTTTCATTGTCTCTACAATAATTTGATCAGCCTCTTGTAGCCATTTTTCAACATTGCCTTGCTTATCATTTTCAATGACATTGCAAGATTTATATAAAATAATGATATCTTTTTCTGGGGAGATGATATTCAAGATGTTTTCATTATTCTCATCGAATTGCAATTCATATATCCCTTCATAACACTTTTGAATATGCCTATTAATGAGTAGAGGTTCTTTTGTCTAAGCCAAGATTTCAAGGAGTCCATCATCAGACAAAAAAAAGAATCTAGGGAACACCTTTCTTTTCTACTCTAAGTAATTACTAAGTCCTTTCAAAATATAATCTAATAAATCATTACAGTGTTTGCTTTCTTATTTATATCTTTCATTTTCAATATTTTCCCAGACCAAGGGATCCTTCAAAAAGTTTTCAGTGATCTACTTCCAAAATCTATCTATAAAATCAAATTTATTTTTTTCTTATGGTAATTTTTTCCTAATGTCTTCTGATTAGAATATAGGCTATAGGTAGATGTATCCTCTCTAAGTGGTTCTCCAATTTTCCAAGGTGTCTTAGATTAGAATGATCTTCTTCTCAACTCCTATTGCTTTTTCCATTACAACATACGGACTTTATTTCAATAAGAGAATAGTATTCAATTATTCATCTAACAGTATTTAGGCTTCATCAATTTTCATAATATTGGTGTTTCTAATGAATTCAATTTTGATTTCCTTACACTTATCAACAACAGCATTCAGTCTTTTCTCAATATCATACGTATAAGTGGCTTTCTTAGATATGTCTTCTATTTACATCTTAAATTGCAAGTAGTTGTGCTCTAATAATTGAGTGAGTGTAATATCATCTCCAACATATCCACACACAGAATAGATTTCATCCCAAATCTTTGGCTTCTTTTATATGGCTTCACAATTCAAAAATTCAATAAGCCACATGACTTCCTTAAACTTGTCCAAATCCTTCTTCAAATCGGTTAATAGCCTCAAAGCCTTTTCATTTGATTGATCCTAAAAGAACTTTATTAACACAAGAGTCTCTTTCTAATAATATTAAATCATTTTCCTTTCCACTTGAGAGTACTATAGTTTCATGAATTAACCCTAATACCATTCCTATTTATCTATATCGAATTCTATGGCTAAATCCCAAATCTTATAGAAAGGCTCAAAATCCTATTTGATCTTGATTAAGTCATCATAATCACTAAGAGGTTGTTTGAATAGACTCTCTCGATCATTGAATGACCTTACCTTATCTTAATAATTATTTATTTTCTCTTTTAATCCCATCACAATTTATGCATAGGTTTTCACCTAAGAGTAGTCTTCATAAAATTTAATTTCCTCTACTTGATTCTCCAACACTAACAATTCCCTTATGAACAATTCCTTCTCTTAATCCAATTTCTCTGTGAATTTAGTCTCTTTCAAATGGACATTCCTTTACCCTTCAACCAAGGCTATTCTTATTTCTGCTGGCCATTGTTTCAAAAACCATAGATTTTCAATTTCTTTATTATCAAATTAAAATTAGTATTAATGCAACAAGTCCAATGTTTAGAATAACATATTAACCTCATTTGCCAATTTAGCTAGATTCACTTCAGTTTCAGCAATGAAATTCTTTAATTAAACCATCTCATGCTCTTCCTTTGGTTCTTCCAATATTCTTTCACACATATCCTAATATAGTTTACCAATTCTCTAAATATTGTCTGTTAAGACTTCACTTAATCTATTCAAAATTCCATTTATAATTTCTTGAGACTTTTAAATTAATGTTAGTTTGGCTTATTTTGTTTTCACTTAAAAAAATGAAAAATTCTTTTCATCTATACACAACCTTTCTATAGTAAAAATAGTTTGTAAGTAATAAATCAACTTTTCTTTTATTTTATCCAATTCTATGTACGTTATCGCAGGCTTCTCCTTTGAATCCCCAAATAATCTTTTCATCAAATGGCTTTGACTCTTGGTATATAGATATGAGAATTCGTTGAACTGATCCAGGATTTAATTTGGTTATTTCAAGGCATTATCGATGAACGATACAATCTATTCTATTGCTTTATCAAAGTGATGAGAAATTTACTCAATCTCAACAGACTACGCTTACCCAATATCTATTAAAGGCATTATATCATTTTCAACTTTCTTAACTTGTGAGACAGTCTCTTTTATTAATTGGATAGGATTGACCAACGCCTATATTATTTGTTGTCTGGTTGGTTCAAAGATCATGTATCTATCTTCTCCAAATGTTGATTGTTTATGCAACACTGTCTTCTTACGAACTATTTACTATACAACAATATTAATTTATATGAATGGTTCCTTACTTAAGTGTTCAGAATCGTCAGTAAAGGATTTTATGTGATTTACCCACTTATTTACATTCATTTCTACTAAATTCTTCATGTTTAGATAACTGAATTATTGGTCTATCCTTTTTAGGAGTAAACATAATTAAGACCTTTGATAACCTACATCATCAGTTTAATAAAAATTAAATTATGTTCTTAGACTATCCTAAACGTCTTAGATAACTTGAGTTCTCCAATTATTAAACATAGTTAATTTGAGCACATTATACATCTATTGATTATATACCTCCAAATTTGATAAAACAAATGGAAGTTGTCCATAGGGATAGGTTGTTGGCAGCAATTCAAATGATGATTCTTTTATAGTTTGAATTTTTACAAAAGTTTATAGAATCTATTTATTATTTAAAATTGGAGATTATGAAATCTGTTATTTAACTTACTGGAAATCCTTTTTTAAATTTTTCAACTTTGGAAACTTTTATAAAATGCCATTCATGTTTCTCATTTTAATTCTGTTTGTTATGAAATCCGTAATGAAATCACTCTAATTCATCCTCTATAGAGTTAGGAATTTCTTCATAAATAATTTATATTCATATTCAATTTGATCGAACTCTACATTCTATTGCTTATTCAATTTTAACTTCTTCTTAATGTTTATTTTAGTTTACGCAGGCAAAGTAGTAATGAGCTAATCAGGTATGCTATTGACATATTTAAAGAATCGTAGTTCCTCCTCTGCCTATTTCTGTAGTACTCTGCATTGTTGAAGTCTCATATTGAATTCTGCCTCGTTTTCAGTTTTCAGCATCAAGGATAATCGACTCACATACTTGATTTGATCATTCTTCATGATTTTAACTACAAATTTCTGCTGCTTCTAATCAAAATCTTAAATTTAGACTTCTGTCCAAACATATCCATTTCCCTCATAAAATGGGCATTTCGCATGGTAAGATCTGTCATTCTTGAATTGTTGTATGATGTCTGAAGGAGTTTGGGGATCATCCCAAGTTAAGTAATTTTTTAAAGTTTTATTAGTATTAAGACCTTGCAATTCAAAATTCATTTCTTCATCATTTACTTTTTCATGAAATGACATATTTTTCCTATTTGACAAACGACTAAAATTCTCTTATATTTTTACAGGATTTCTAGCCGGCTTAGGTAAATTAGTTTTCAAGTTTTTCTTGCATAAATCATTCATCCATTAAAAATTTGAATCATCCCTTATAGTGATTATCATGGAATGCTAGCCTCTATTCCTAGAATTTGATCTTGCTTATCGTGTAACTGGTTTCGTGATAATTCTCTATTAATTTCTAAAGGTTACTTCTATTGAAAGATTTCTCTTGTTGGCTCTAACTTTTATTTTATTGCCTAATAACTAATTTATTGATCCTAAAAAGATTAATTTACAGCTTCCTTGTTTTTTTCATTTATAATATTATTAACAAGCTCACTAAAATTTAAATAGTTACGTACCGGGAATCATGAAAATGTTATTAAGTTAGTAATAGTTCATCAACTAAAAGTTGCTCTTTCTTGGCCTAAGAGAAATTGATCTTAGGTAGTTGAGCCTTGAATATTGGAGCGATTGTCATTCTCTTTTGACTCATTCCTATATTAATTAAAATATATATATAAAATATATGGCAATTATTTTTGAAATAAATATTAATTTCCCTTTGATTATTTCCAAGATATTCAAACAAAAATATTTAATCATATAGACTAACATTTTATTTTTCTATTTATCAATATTAAATTTTAAACTCCCATTAATTAATATATTTAATGTCCTAATAAAAATAAACAGTTTTCAATTATAACAATGAGGAAATGTAACATTTAGATCTAATTATTTAGAGGTGGGTGTTTAATGTTGATGTATGATTCAGATGATGAAGTTGATAAATTTAACTCAAATCTTCAGGAGAGTCAATTTCAATAATAAAAAACAACTCCTAAAATTCAATCCATTCAACAATAGAATTATCACTATATTAAAAAATGATAATATTATATAATTAATCTAATTTCATAAAGCAAAAAAGAACCATTTAGAAATTTATGAAAATATTTAAGAATATTGCGAATTGAAAGAGATACACAGCTGTTCTGGAAGACAAGAATTTAATAAAAAATATCACGACTAAACTAATTTTCAAGTGTGACTTGATTTTATTGCCATCCTCATTGTTACTTATCACTTAAAATTTTCGTTTTGGTTCTATATATCTAATAATATAATTAGGCTTCATGAGTATGGATAGATATTTTATAGTTACCGTTGGCATCTTTATCGTTTAATTTGTATTAATTAAGATTGTAATTTTGATATTTTGGTATTATCTATGAAAAGCCATAGAAATATTAATACCATCAATTGTGTTAAGTAAATGGTTAGATAGTCCCAATGGATTTAATTCGCTTCTAATGTTTCTGTGATGTTTACTTTTTGTATTATTTTATTTTATAAAATGTTTCATTATTTAATAATTAGCATTTTGTCTCCAATTCAAATTTTAGCACAATCCAACACTTTAACTTTGACATATGAAGTGAGTAAAAATTAGTCCTAGATTATTCTGACATTTTCAAAATAAATAAATGTTACATCAACATAAATGGAATCAATTACTGCAATCTACTTTCCTTAACAAAATAATTACACCTACAATATACATTCGTAAGATAATACTACATATTACATAAATCTAAATTTTACTAATCAATTCTATTATGCAAATTGTATAATCAGATTTTTAGCACCTTATTAGATTATTAATTTAAATACCAAAGAATATTTAAATAAAAATTAATAAACTTTAATCATTCTACTAGGTCCTTATATTTACTACAGTGATTTCTAATAAAACACAGTGTATGGGTTGGCAATCTCTATTTATAGTTTATTCTTCCTATCATTCTTATCAATGATAGCTAACATAGCATATAAACTAAAGAATAACCAAGTGAACATGTCCTTTAACATATTTATGTTTTGGCAATTACTAGAAAATTTGTAAATTTGCGGTTTATTTTATTATTTTAACACATAATTAACCATTTAAATGAAAGATGTATCATCCTATATACGCTATTTCAATTTTAATTTTGAGATGTTAACTATATTTAATTAATATTTGAGCGATTACAACTACATCAATTAGACTTTTGTCTTATGGATATTTTATGTTTCATCAATTGTAATTATATTATTAATTTATTTAATTAAAAGAAAAGTTAATATCCATTAATTGCTACTAAGAACAACTTCAATCTGTTTATTACCATTTGTATTATATGGATTTTTAGAAATTGAGTACATTTAGACATCCAGTGCAATTTAAATAATTAACACAACATTTGTTATAATAAGTTATGTTATACTCATATATTATATTTTTCAATATTTGTAAGATTTATATTAAACCTAGTTATTTATTGAACTGCTCTTAAGTGCTGAGTTAATTCAATGGCTTATAAACAAAGGCATTTTTTAAAAGAAACTTTAATCTATTTTAGGAATTGAAAAAGGTAGTATTTACAAGTTGTATCATTCTATTGGATTATTAATAAAATTTATCTATAACCATTTTAGTAATAACTTAAATAATAACAGTTACATTACTCGCCACAAAGTTACCATTCAAAGCAAGAATCATAAATTTTATTGTTCTATGGAGTGAGATTTTAATGACTTTATGCTTAACGTTGATGGCTGCTATTATCTTTTTGGATTATATTAGTCTAACTTACTTGGAAGAGAAGACTAGAAATATTTTGGGTTGGTCGATCATTAGTTTATTTGTTGGATCCATTTTTATTCGAAGCGCAGGTTGTTTGATAGAATTGATATTAAATATATAAAAATTATGACTACAAAAATTGTTGAAATCATTCTTGAAGTCTTAGGTCAGGCCAATATTGTAATATCTATGAAGTGTTGTGTGTTGTATATAAACATACATTTTCACCAATACATACATAGTTCCACTGATACGAAAGTTTAAGAATGTTCAATCAAAAGTAATTTATAGGTTTTATAGAATGTTTTTTGAATGAATTATTATATGGAACTTTTAGATTTAAGGAAAATATATGGATTGAAAATTGTATGAATTTTCAATATAGATTGAAGGTGAAATTAAAATTTTCTTTTAAATCTTGGAATGAATTAAAGTTAATTTATATTTCTAATGAATATAACCATATAATGGAACACAATAATAGTAATATTCTTATGTTTCCCATTATTTTAACTAACAAAAATTAGTATAAAATAGAGAGGCGTTAAAAGTTTATAATTATGTAAAAACCAAGATTACTATTTAAACAAAGCAAGGTAATACAATATTCTAATCAAATACATATAGTAAGCTTGGGATACATGATAAAAATTGTGATATAATTTACACTTTAAATATTCTTTTCTAAAAATAGCAATTAAAATTAAGTTAGACTATTTTAAACTTTGTAATTCTTTACAATTTAGAAAATATTATTGAATAATATAGGTTAACAATATTTAAAGAATAAGAACTGTTAAATAATTTAAAATCCATGCAAATTAATATACATCGCTGCTCATATTAATATGATTCTATGAAATATAAAATTTAATAATATAAAAAATAAATATGTCTGAGAAATTACCGAGACTGAGTTAGAAAAAGGCTAGGTCCTAATCGTTATATGATAATCAAGTTGCCACTTAGAAACTTAAGGAATCACTTTACAATTTATAGTCAAGTCGTTATGGTTAGAGGCCTTAAAAAAATCCTGTTATTGAATCAATTGTTAAGGAGGCTGATGTAGTTTTGACTAACTAGCATTTGAAAGAGAACTTATTTAAATTAAAGGAGTTGGGGTTATTAAAGAATTGTTAGCCAAAAATATTAACATAGTCGGGATTGAAGAAGAAAGATTATATATTAAATGATTATCATAACAAAAGCACATTAAATGGATATTCAAGGAATTATGGTGGATTGTTTTATAACAGATGACTATTATTACTAAATATTTTATATCTGTTATTTAAAATTTAATTTGGATTCATTCCAAGTCATTCTATTTTACATATTCAAAATTAAATAACTTGCAAAAATACATAAATATATATAAATGATTAATATTAAATAAATAATATAAGCAATTAAAGGATGTATACAAATTTTAATATTAAAAGAAAATATCTAAGACATAAAAAAGTTTAACCCTTCAGCCGAGTAAGAGTGCAGTAATTAGAAAATGAGATTAATACATTTGGCTGCCTCTAATCCTAGTATTGAAATTTTAGAATATTTTATTGAGAAATCTTAAAATTTAGAAATCACAGATTCTGTATAAAATTAAATTTATTACTAAGATAGGAAGAACTCCTTTGCATTATGCTGTAAATAGTGGATAATTAAAAAATGTTGAATTATTGATAAAAAAAGGAGCAAAGATAGAAGCGTAAACAATAGGAGGTGATACCCCCTTGATAAAATCTGCATTATTAAAAAATCATGAATGCTATCGCTATTTAATTGGTGAAGGCGCAAATAAATTACATCAAAACTGCATTGGTCAAAGTGCTGAATAAATATATTAATATAATTGAATAACTATAATGAATCAATATTATATCAATTAATAGAGTTGTTTTCTTAGCATGCGTCTATTATTATTCTTCTCCGTGATAAACATTAATTAGATTGAGAGTTAGATTAAAATAAATTATAATGAGATAAGATTAGTATAATTTATTAATATATATAATATTAAAATGCAATATATTTAATACCAACCTTAAATTATTGAGGAGCTAAAAATGAATGAAACAAAAAGCTTGTTTTCAGCAATTGAGGTTTCATTAATCAAATCATTTGAAGATAAGGATTTATTCAAAGAAATAATCTTACTTTACAATCATAAAAAAAAAGAATTAGTTTAATAACAAGTTCATTTTGGGCTAAATTCGTTATTCGTTGAAAATAAATATATTCTACTATGCAAGTGTTATTATGAAATGAGATATACAAAATTAAAGTAAAACGATGGTTTTTACATAATTATCCTTCATAATTCAAAAGGTAAGGAATTTTTAATAATCAGTAATTCAAATTAGTTTTCTAAGATTTAGGCTGTGATAAAAAGATTTTGTGTAAGTAAAAGTTTTTTCAGTAAATATCAGTTGTTTGAATAAAAAAATTGTATTCCCTTTGCTTAAAATTGTAAAGTAAAAAATATTTTATTAAATAGAATCAAGATTTATTTTGTGTTCTGTAAATAGACAAGAAATAAATTATCACTGAATCAGATTAGGAATAATTCTATAATAGTATAATTATAATGAATTATATCAGTGAATAAACAAGGATTGTTAAAATTTATGAGGAAAATTCGATGTATTTTCTATTTATGAAATATATGAAAATGCAATCATTGGAATCCTTGATTCTTAATGATTTTGAATTTAGAGAGGCTCCTTTAGTTTGCATAATCTATCTTATTCTTTAAACAATACAAAAATATAAGAATCTTGGAATTTATCATGGGAATATTAGCTTAAAAACTATATTTATCAATATGTCAGCTGCCTTTTTGTAAATCATCATATTGTTTCCTAAATACTAGGCCAACAATAATAAAGGCATCTCTTCAGACTTGTTAAATTTAGGTTAATTACTTTATTAAATAACATTTTATGAAAAAAAGGATAAAATTAAATAATTTGTAGACTAAAAACTAATAACATAATAAAAACAATTATTATAAAATTTGAATACTGAAAATAAGCAATTTTAATTTTTATATAGAATTAGTTAGTTAGATTTATTGAATCAATTGTTATCATAAAGCATTACAATTGAAAATGCTTTAAAGCATCAATGGTTCATAACTGTGAAGCAGAATCTGAAAGCTGATTTTTTGAAGGAAACAAAAGAACGATTGGATTTACATACAATTGTTGAATCAACCAATGAAATGAGTATGACTATTTCTTTAGATAAAAGAGTTTCAACGAAGGAATTTGCTGAGTATGGTATATTAAATAAATTATAGGAAATTCAGAAATTGAAGATGAATTTCCTGTTAAATGTTCAACTTTAAATCCTTTCTAAATGAATCCCTCAAAACAAAAGCATGACAATTCTGTTCCAAAATCAAAAAGTTATTCGAATTTTGATTTACGTTTTGAAAATAAAGAAAAGTACTTTGCAAATGAATAATCTCTTTTCATCTAATGAGACATACACTTTTCGCTTGAAATTATAATTAAAAATCAATAATTCGTAGATTTTAATTAAAAGTTTGTCCATATTTCATAAAGTTTACTCTTTATTTAACAAATAATAGGATTTTTAGTATATTTTATATTCTCCTTAAAAATTAATCAATCTTTTATAAAATATATATTCAATTATAAAATTCTTATTTAATTGTAATAAATAGAAATACTTAATAATGAAATCTTGATTCAAAAAGACAGCAATTAAGTTATGAGGCAAAAATCTCAAAAGTTGAAAACAGAGAATTTATAAATAGTTGTAAAGGAAGGTGTCTAATATTTTTAAGGCTTTTCAGAGATCTACGATTTAGTAAGTCATTATTCAAAATATAAAATAATTTTTAATTTAATCATCTTTTCCTACATTTTTTGCATTTCCAATCCATCTAATCGATTTCTTCTTTTGTTTTATTGAGGGGTATTCCTGCACAACTTTAATGATACCAGCATTTTTTTTCACTGCATTCGATCCATTTGGTATCTGTACCAGGACAGTTTGGATTTTCACATTTTTAATTAGTTTATTCTTCTCTATCAGATGTTTTTTCATCATTGCTCATAAACATGCATTCATAATCGCTTCTTACTCTCTTTTCTGGGTTATAAGCAATTAAATATGCTTTCTCAGTTTCAGACAAATACTTATCATCTTATTGGTCTATATTAGCTTTTCCAAATTTGATTTCATTTAAAAATTCTTCCTTCTTGAATTGAGAAATTGGTTGAGAATTTAACTTCTATTTCATTTATTCCAAAGTGGCTCCAGGTATCCAATATTACAGAGTTTTTTTGATGTTTAATTATTCCTGTAATTAGAGATCCATATTAAAAATTATTGTATAATAATTATTATTTAAATTAATAATGAAAAGCATAGCAAAAACAGAAGAAGATTCTCCAAAGAAACCTATCTGGGAATCATTGTTAGAGAGAGTATTTTAATTTATAAATCTAGGGATCATGCAAAAAGGAGGAAATCTAAAGAAAAATAAAGGAAAAGTTGGATAAGGATAAAGAATTAGACCCTTAATGCACCTTTAAGCCTTTCTTAATCAATTAAGCTTGTTAACTCTATATATCATATTTTAGAACTTTAAATTAATAAACCTTTTCATGAAAGGCAATAAAAATGGTTAGAAGACAGGAAACTAAAGATTAATGAAAAAAGAGAGGGTGTTAAAGATAAGAGTCTAGAAAAGTGCTCGTTTCAACCCCAATTGGGACCATAACCATAAATACCTGAGGTAGACATTAGAAACACTAAGGGAATGGATTCCTTTATCTAGAGACAGGAAAAAGCAAGAAAATTAAAATAAGAAAAAAATTTGTTATTAAATAATCCATATTCTCACTTAAGTTCAGAAAAGAAAGCTGTTGTGACAGTATTTATTTTATTAATATAAACTAGACCCAATCATATTATAGTAGCAATCACCCTATTTCAAAAGAATATGAATCTATAAAGAAAGCAGAAAGAATAGAATTTTCAAAAGCTTTAGAGACGTCACAAGAAATTGAAACTTAATCATAAACTTAATAGTAACAAAAAATGTAATTGGGAATGGCTATGAAAATGCTACACAACCAATTATATAATATTCAATTTAACAGTGAATTTTGATTTGTTTATACTTAGATTATTAGAAAATAATAATAATAATTATTATATTTACTATGATGATATTTCAATATGTCTTTTTGATTCTCTCTGCATTTTTTGGAGAATCATAAATTGTAGGTGGTCTACGCATTTCATGTTAGAAGTGATTGTATTCAAAGGTTCTATTTGATCTTCTAGTGTAAGCTAATTCCATTAGGAAATCGAACATATCATCCTATAATAGTAAATGATTTGATACTGTGCATGCATATGCAGCTTCATAAAACATGGCATAGCAGGGGTAGACTTTGGCTCTTTTCAAGTAATCTGCTTCTGTCTTATCCATTTTGAAGTGTTCAGCCTAGTCACAATCAAACCATTTCTAAAATCTGAGAGCACACAATGTAAAATAATCTTATTAGGATTAATAAGTAGGATAAGGAACATACACTTTCTACTTGGGAGGTAATCCAACTTAGAAGCAATTTGTTCTACCAGTAGGTGTTGTACCTCTGAATGGAAATAGACAATCCTCCAATGCCCCTATAAACCTTAATATGAATATTTTACATCCTTCGAATAATATTGTGTAGACATCATCAGGCTCCATTAATGAATATTTGTTAGCTGTAGTATCAAAATAGAAGCACTATTTATGAAATTGAGAATACTTTTGTATACAATCTGAACCAATCTTTCAATTATTCCTTTTCCCAAACAGCATCAGTTCTCAATACAAAATCCTTTTCGTAATCTTTCCAGTTGATTCCTGTAAGAATACCATAGCAAACTACCTTTGTGTGAGAAATCATAATTTGGAGGCATTTTGTGGAAGTCTTTGGGCAGTGTCTCTAATAAAGGTTGTGTAGCCATTTTATATTGATATTTTATTTATTTATTTATATAAAAATGTATTGTAATAGATTTAAATTTATTTCTATAAATAGACTCTTTGAGTCCATATTAGAACTCGTAATTGAAATACTATTTGGATTCTTGCTCAAAATCAAAATTAAAGATATTGCAATATTAAATAAATTGGAAAATTATAATTAATAAATATTTAAATGGATCCTGAAGACGATTAAGACATCATTGATTCTATTGTTAATGGTATAATGGTTAGTAATTATAAAAGCTCTGGAAAGTGACGAAGAAAGATCGTTTTCGCCATCTCATACAAGATCAGATTCTAATAGAACTTACTCTCCATAAATCATGAGATTGTCTTAACCCCAGTACTCAATTACATCATAAATAGATATTCGATAAAAAAAATTTAAAGTCCAATTATTGGCTTCAAATTAGATTGTTGGGCAATTTAACCATTCAGCCTTGATGACGACCAATATTTGGATGGAGATTTAGTATGTAATAATTTTTAATATAGATCCTCAAATGCAAGGATTAAACCAATAGCAGAAAAATATAAGGTTTGTTTGAAAAAGGAAATGATGAACAAAGAGAATTTATATTTTAAAAATTATTACCCGGAATTGCAACACTTGCAAATGATATCTTTGGAAACTACGTTGTATAAAGAATCATGGAATAAGGTAATCAACAATAAAGGGAATTGATTTTTGAACATCTCTCCTAGTAAATATTGGTTTTAAGTTACAATACATATGGATGTAGAGTGGCTCAGAAATTGTTGGAGATATCCTTCAATACTCAGAAGTTTGACCAGATATTCAAAATAATCTCAACGTAAGTCAGGAATTTGGTTATTGATACTAATGGTAATCATGTAATTTAGAAAATTGCTGAATTGTTTAAATCCCAAAGGAGTGACTGGCTTATTGAGGGTGTTTTGGGGTAGATTCAAAAATTATCTAATGACTCTCATGGATGCAGATTAATCTAACAGATATTAGAAGTATCTTCTGCTTCATAGGTAATCATATAGATTAACAAAGTTGAATGACATTTATAAGGAATTATTATCCATTTAGGAGGAATTATGCTTATCATAATATGGGAATTATATTATTTAGATATTGTTATAGAGGGGGCCGAGTGATCTGATTTATAAAATTTAAAATGCTATTATTAAGAATTTGGAGAAGTTGAGTTGTGATAAGTTTGGAAGGTATTCAATCATAGTTAAATAGTAATGTGGTTGATAAAAGTGTAAATATTTCAGTTTATATGAGAAAAGAAATCTTAAAGGTGTTCATGCATAACATGAATATCTTCTATAGATTATCTAATAATTGTTATGGTAATTATGTAATATAGAATTTCTGTAAATAACTTGAATATAATTAATTAATAAAATTATCATATGATTCAAGTTAATTTAATACTCAATTTGGTTAACATGTCTATTAAACCTTATAAAAATTGAAAAATTGATTTGATTAATAAGATAATATTTAAAATTCAAAATGAAGATTAATATAAATTTTGGATTTTAAATATTATTTTTGTATATATTGTAAATATAAAATCTTGATATAAATAATATTTATATTATCTAAATTTTTAAGATGGGCCGAGAGATTGAGAAGGTGAAGGAATAGCATGTATATCATTTGGTCATGATTGTAGGCTTCTTCAAGCAAGACGAACAAGAAGGAGAAAAAGGAGAAGAAGGAAAAACATAAAAAAAAGGAGAAGAAATAAAAAAAAGAGGGCAAAAAACAAAAATAATAAAAGAAAAATTAATGGGGAAGGTATGGCACAATAAGGTTATATAATATCATTATTAAAGCATTACAGACATGTATTTAAAACGTGAGGAGTTTTTGATGTGGCTCTCCGAAGTGAAGATGCTTAATATTGAAGCGATCACTCCTCAAGAAGAAAAAAAGTTTTTTGAAGAATATGTTGAATGTTATAACACTGCAACATTTCCATCAAAAAAGTTTTATAATTTCAAGGTGTGGTTTGAGAAAGAACAACTCAAGGGTCATTTACAATAAGCAGAAATTGAAATGCTCACTTTCGATGATGAGAAGGAAAAACAGTATTCTTATTATTTTTTAAATTTTTAATAGAAAGGAACAACAAGAGTAGAAAGAATTGATAAAAAAGCAAAAATTATAAAGAGAATATTAACATCTTCACGAATTTTAGAATATTGTAATAAATTGGTTATTTATTAAGGCACAAGACATGCAAAAATAGAAACAACTTTAAGAACTCTTGAGACATCATTTTCAGATGGGTAATCATGAGGCTGCTATCAAAATTCAAAAGTAACTCAATCCTATTCATACTATTGACATGAATCAAATCTAATAATAACCTCCAATCGACTATGACTATGATTATGAAAATTTCTGATCCTATAACATGAATATTAACAACAAAATATTCAATTTATAAAATATATGTTAAAGAGTATAATAAAATTAAAATGTGTAGCTGTTAATTTATATAAATAATTTGAATATCAAATGGCAAAAATAATAGATAATTACATATTAATAGAAGGAATAGGTCAAGGAACATTTGGTGAAATACACAAAGGCAGAAATTTGATATCTAAAGAAGCTGTGGCTGTGAAAACAATTAAGTTGGACAGATTTTTAAATGATTCAATATTAAAGGATATGATAATTAACGAAATCTAAGCATTGAAAAAATTAGAGGATTAACATATAGTACGAATGATCAAAATGCTAAAATCAGCAAACAATATTTATTTAGTTTATGAACACTTAAATGGGGGATCGTTAGCAAATTATTTATACGAAAAAGGTCGTCTAACAGAATAAGAGGGAAGATAGATTATGTCCAATGTATTTAAGTAATCTTTTATCCTTAATATCTAGAGGATTCAAGACCTTAAATCATGAAAAAATCATTCATAGAAATATCAATCCAAACAACCTATTTTTTAATGATGGGATAATCAAAATTAAAAATTTCTTTTGTTGCAAATCCCCTGCAAGTTAGAAAATATTTGATCCTGGTATTTCTATTACATTATATCTAGAAAACTTCATATACTCTGCCCCTGAAATCCTATTAAAATCACAATAGCCATAATATGAAGACAAATGTGATATATTCTCTTTGGGATTGGTGTTTTATAAAATGTTTTTTGGATAATTGCCTTTTCCAGAAAATCTAACTTAAGATCAACTAATTGAATTGTATAAAAATTAATAATTCAATCCAATTGTTGAAGATCTATCTGAGAATACTGCCTATCTTTTAAATGGAATGCTATAAATTGACTAAGCAAGAAGAATAGAGTGGCAAACATTGTTTCACGAAGATCAAGTACCTACTATGTCAGGTTTAGTAAATTCCACAAATACAAATTTTGCTTCTAATTATTAAATTAATTCTCAGGTATAATAATTTGAGACTGGAGGCTAAAACTTTTATATCTCTCAACAATCTTTATAAAATCATATTACAACCAGTCCAAATGAATTAGTTAAAAGAAAAACAAATGTTTCTGATAAGGAAAATATCAAAGCTAACAAAGAAAATGATTCGGCATAAATCTTTGCTAAAACAATAGAAAAAGAACAAAGTATTTCATAATAATAGTCCCAATAATAAGTCTTATAAATTTAATAGACGAATAATAACAATAGTTCTTAGCCTAATGTTGTTAAGTAAATCCAACATTAATTAAGCGAATTAAGACACAAGTTTAACATTATTATTCAAGGAACTTGTAAGATTGAATAGTTAGATAATTGGTCAGCCAAGATAAAAACTGAAATTTGCATGATATTCTTAATAAAAAAAGCAATTAAATGCATAAACGAAATGCTAGACATATGCTAGAATACTGATAGATAATGGGGAATTTCAAAAAATAGATCAGAAATAATTAAGATTTTATAGAAAGATTTTGATGATTTGATTTCTAATTACAAACATGTTAAATAAATGGTATAAAATTAATGTATGACTTTTATAGAACACTTGTCCCCATGAGGAATTGAATACTCACGAAATGATAGATGAATAATATGTGGACAATGTATTAGTTATGATAGCAAAATAAATTGCAATGGATTTGGGATAAATTCGATCAAGTATGAGAAGTAATTCTTAAATTAAAAGCAATGTAATTGTTACATTTTATACAATTAGTCATTTAATTATGAATAAACTAGTTAAAGGAATGGAAGCTTTATTGAATCAAAATAAAGTACTTCAAACTAATACATTTTTGCAATCTTTCTAATAGATTTAGTTAAAGGAATGAATTTTGAAGACTAAAAACCTTATTTTAAAAAGTTAGAAGAATCCAAATTGCCTGAGTTATTAGACTTCAAACTCAAATCTATTTGATTGTATTTTATAATAAACATAATAAATAAAATTAATTTAATGATCTAAAAAACTGAGTACTTAACTGATGAAGCCAAAGAAAGGGAATATAGAATTTAAAGTAAGGATGGTTTATATTAATCAAGGAATGGAAAAATAATTGATTGAAAATTAATTTATCAAGCAAACATATCCCAGAAAATACGATTATACTCATTCGAAAAATAATTATGCAGTTCCAATAAATCAATTAGATTATAAGTCGTTTTATCAATCCTACATGCCTTTAGAATAATAATAGATGCGTTCTCAGAATTTATAATTTTCTTCAAATAAAATTTCCTCATTTAAGTTAAGCTATGATAACAATGACAAGGATTCAACTCCTAATAAAAAGCAACAATAATTACAGTATAGAGACATTTTATAAAAATAAGTTGAAGAAAAGCAAAATTTATTAAAATAACAAAAGACAAAGCATGAATGCACTGATATCTTTACTAATAATTAGTACAGCACACCAAATAATAAAAAGAGCAGTTTAAGTAAGGCTGAATATTAGAATTATTTATAATTGTAAATTTAAGAAAAATAAAGTAGTAATAAAATTTTTATTACACCTATTAAAAATTAATAAAAGGTAGAGGAGTAGAATAAGGATAAAAATGCTAAAGAATCAAAGGAATTTTAGATAATTTAAAAGCAATTATAATAATATTAGGAAGAAAAACAATAAAAAGATCGAAAGCTTTTATTGCAGTAGAAATTTGAGGAGTCAGCATCAATTCATGAGAAAGCAAAGGATAAATCATTTTCTCCAGAGCATCATAATAAAAAGAAAAATTTAGTATAAGAAGATGAAGATGAAAAAGTTAGAACTCAATAACAAAAAAGTTTTGTTTCGAAAATTCTAACAGAATAAATTTAGGAGAAATAAAAAAAGAGAGATGAAGAGAAGAAGCAACAAGAGACAGAAGATAAATTGGCCGAAGAGAGATGGAAAAATGAGGTTTAAATGATGAAAGAAGAGAAAAAAAGGGAAGAAGAATTGAAAAAGGAATAACAAGGAAGTAATTGAATTATGCTTAATGAATTATTTAGAAATTTAATAGGAAAATATTCGAATGCATTAAATGAAGCTTAGGCAACAATAAGGGAGAAGCAGAAGCAAATCAAATACATTATAATAATCAAAGATTGAGGAAGAATTTAAAGAAGAGTTGGAAATGATACAATAAGAAATAGAAGAGGAGTAATAATCAGTTGAAAGAATTGAATAGTAGGAAGAAACATAGTAATAGTAATAATAATAATAATAACAATAAGAATAATTAAATGAATTACATATTCAACCGAATAAACCTTTAAGTTATGTTGATTAATACAATCTAGAATTAGAAAAGATTAAGCAATAAATGATCTCACAATAATAATAATTGGAAAGACAAATTCATGCTGCTTTTAATTTGGCTTAAATAGGGTTATTAGAGGGAAAGAATAAAATTGAAAAAGAATTGATTTTGGAAAAAAATAAATATAATAAACATTTTAATGAAGATTATGCGATGGCTTTACTAAATAAAAATCAAAGTAAGTATGAATATGAATTACCATTTCTGTTTAATTAAAAAATTTAGCAAGATTAAATATACAGAGATAATCTATTAGATAAGGTTCAATTAAATACCTAATCTAAATTGATTCCCATATCTACTTAGCATAACAAGAATACGTCAACTCATTTGGCAACTCCATAGTAACGATAGATCTAAGTTCGATCGAAATCAATATCTCAACACTCAAAGCAAAATTATCATTAATAATTAATAGACTTTTAAAAAAGTAAATAAAATGATGCTTTGAGCTAATTACTTTAAGAATATCACGAATGAATTGATAAATATCAACTAATATTAGCAATAAATTCTATGTAATCGTGTATTTTAATAAACTGATAACTCATACAAGTGATATGATTGAATCAAGACATGCAACATTAACTATCTTGTTCACCTCCTTTTTTATTTTATGTTTATTATTGTGGTGAATTCTATTACAACTTCATCCCTACTTTACTTTTTTGATTTCTAATAATTATTAGACTAAATTCTTTACTAGTTTGGTTTCCCAACTCTCTGAATGATTTACCTAGTAATTAAACTAAAGCAATTTTCAATGTTAATGTTGGTTTTAGCTGAAGTTTCGATGTAAGAAATGCCGTATGATTTAGCTTGAATGATAAAATTGTGTACCCAATGCTTCTGCTTCATCTGTTGAGACTCTTCTTTAAGAACTATCTATTTTATTTCCAACTAATATTTTATTCACTGATTCCGCTGCAAATTTATCAATCTCTTGCATCCATTATCGAATTTAGTTGAATGATTCTCTATCTGTAACATCGAAGACTATAATGATTCCTTAAGCTCCTCTGAAATTTCATTGTATAAGCAAAATACCTATAATAACTGCTTGTAATAGTTCTAAATCTATCCTAACCTGCGGTGTCCCACTAAAATATTGGAATTATGGATGTTTACTATTTACAATTTGACAGTAGATTTATCAATTTAAAATACTTTAATTTTCTAATGTAATTTAAGCATAAATATTTACAAAATCAACTCCAATAGTATTATAAAAATGATTGGTAAATTAGTTTTCCTATATTTTTTAATTGTTAATTTATTACGCTAAATCTCATTAACATGCATGATTTACCAACTCCACTATTCCCAATTAATAAGACCTTAAATAAGTAATCGCTAATGATATATTGAAGCATTACCATTCTGAACTTTGTTATACATAATAATCTGACATAGTTTATCAGAATATAAAAATTAGAATTTAAGATAATTAATTATATATATATAGTATAATATGAATCAAAGGACAATGTCATATTTCGATCTTGTAACCTTGCGATTTTGAATTCTTAGTTTATTCAAAGGAGTACTGTCTTCATATTCAGCTAATTCAGCCATTTCATTTTCAAGTTGAGCAATTTTTATCTATTGCAATTAATTTTAAAATGTATTTCTTCTAAGCACACTTCGTTTTAGAGTGATAGAGTCTTATTTTTAAAGAGAATTCTTTCTCTTCTTCCCACTACTTTAGTTACTAATCGTATCTTTAAAGCTCATTCTGCATTCATCATCATAAAGCATTCTGTTAATAATGTTCTATGGATCTGTAAACGATAATCTTAAATTTGAGACTTCATTATCTTCCTCTCCACTGCTACTGCTGCTATAATTATCTTCAATAAAGATTCCTAATCGTTTAATCTCATGACTCTTAATGACACTTTTTTCAATTACATTTATATCTACATCAAATCTTTTAATTCTATAGAACAAAATATACAATAAACCTTTCATATTTATATATAATTTTACCTTCAAACTTTATATACAATGGTAAAGTTCTTCTTTATTTGGCATTTAACTATTTAATCTAATAATTATTTGAATTTGGAGATATGAACTCTGCAATTCTAGCTAAAGCTTCTATAAACTCAATAAATTGCATTTCAAAGTGTCTCTTTTAAGTAATTTCATCTACTTGCATCATGATTGATTGTAAATAAATAAAATAGAGTTGTTATTCATTTATTAAGTTAGGGTAGAAATCAGAATTTTGGAGCAATACCTTTAAATCTTAGAAGGAAATAAATTTCTCCTTAGCATATGGCTTATTTGAAAAGTTTGATGTATATGAAAATAGTTATTTTAGAAATGGCAATTTTAATCTAATTGTCATATCCATAATTTATGTCCAATATCTTTCATCTCTCCATTATTGAGCACAACCATAATCTAAAATAAACCCAAATTATCCAGTTTAAGCTTACATCATCTTCTCAAATCCTTGAGCTATGCTTGAGCAATTTCCTTATTTAACATAGGTTTCCTTTGCTAATCTTATTAATAACTCTAAAAATTGATGTCTAACTAATGCTCTTTCTTGAATAAATTAAGATTTAAAGTCTTTGATCACTATAGTACTAATTAAACAGATTTCCCAGTCTACTTATTTAATAAGTTGATTATTTTTAGATTAATAATAAAAACCTTAGATTGTTTAAATATTTATTCTTGGAAAATCAGTTTCGCATTACTAGGAGGCTAAATATTTATAACATGAAATGATGTATTTATAATACTTCTTTAATTATTCCTATAATAAATAAACAGAATATACTTTCAAAGGGTTAATTTCATTATGGTTGATTAGATGTCTAATTATTTTACTGTTTTCTAGATCAGCTTCCAAGCATTATTCTAAATGCACTTCTGTATCTTCATCAAAATCCTTGAAAATTGAGTTATCTAAAGTCCATTTTCTCTTCTTAGCCAATTCTACATCAAATTCAACGATTTTCTCAGATTCTCTTGGTTTACATTGAATGTTTGCTAAATAATGTTTCTTTTTATCAAATATGGGAGCTGACTGTTATGTATGAATCATATTAACTGTGTGCAACGGTTAACTTTATAATAATTTGCCATTAGAATATTCCATCTGTACTCCAAAATTCCTCAATTGAGAATGTGTCTATGTTTAAATAGTCTTTTAATCCTTAGCATAAACCTAGACATTTTATACTGGATTGCTGAAAAAATATCTGATTGTTTGATTGGGTGGACACATTCTATATAGATTAAAGTTGCCTTCAGAGGATTTTTACATAAGTGATGGTTAATAATCTTCAAATTCAAGATGGATGAATATTGGATCTTCGTCTAAGAGTCCTGATTTATGTGGTTTCCATTGAAAAAGAACTTCAATCCAACCTTAACAAATCCAGCAATTCTCCAACTATAAATTGACTATATCTACACTCTAAATTCTAATGAATTCATTCTTTTTCTTTTGAGTTTGCTACTCAATCTATTACATTTATATTTCAAGCTGTTTTTTATCCTGTTCTTCTATATTGATGTCATCTTATTGTGATTCAGTAACTATTTTTTTATTTTTTTATTCTTTAAGATATCCTTTATGATTTATTTGATAATTTGAATTGCCTTCAAAATGAAATCCATAAATGATTTTATTGAACTCTAATTCATTTGCTATTTTCTAAGAATCGTTGGCTTTGAAATCATTATGTGATAAATCCAAGTGGATCAATTCAGGATGAGGTCTGGCAATCAAATTACATATTTCATTAGTGCAATCCTTATTGCCTCCTAACTTGTTAAATGAAACATCCAAGACTTTCAACACAGCATTCTTACTTAAGCCTTTGAATAAGAATATGCCACCTTTAAATGTTATTTTATTGTAATGTAAATACAATTCCTAAATGATATTATTCTATTATTAAATATATTGAATACTTTTTTCATCATTTTCCCAAATGGCTCCATAACTTGATCTTAGATTTAATTATGAGATAAATTAAGGATTCTTAGACATTTGTTATTTTGCAATGAATCAATTAAGTACTTTAAGCCTTAGTCTCCAATTTGATTGTTCTCTAAGTTAAGTTCAATGACGAATTAGTGTTGTCTAATTAGCAACTTCTACAAAAACAAGCATCCATTTTTGGAGATTTTATTATTTTTTAAATCCAAACTTTAAACGGACTTTGGTAATTGATCCAAAATGGTTTCCAAATCATCGTTATTAAGATTGTTCGAACTCAAACTAAGTTTTTCTAATTGGTTGAATGTTGTTGATCCTAGTCCTGCAGCAAACATCTTAATATATTATGGACTACTCAATTGACCAGCTACACAAATATCTTTTTTATTGTGATTGTCTATAATTTGCATTTTTCTTGGCATACATTATTGTTATTCCATAGCTTTATTCAGATTTACATAAATGTTATTTGGAGTTTCATTGAATGATTGGATGTCCATACACTTTTTTGAATGCTTATAAAATCTGTAATAATCTTGAGAATTTGGAGCAGTGACTATTTCTTATCCTAGTTTCTAATAATCGATTGATTGACTTTTTTACAAGGATTGTGTGGAGGGGAACGATATGACTGAATAGTTTTCTTTGAAGAGTTTCTTTTTTATAATTTGTTCTCTTGAGATTTCTTACACTAAATGGTACCTGGAATTCAGGGGAGGCAGTTTGTTTTCTGATAAAATAGGTTTGGAGGGGAAGAAATGTTTATTTTGTTATTGATTGGTTAAGGTAGTGTCTTTCAGTTAAATACTTAATGGTGTGTTTGAATCAGATGTTTAAAATTCTGTTAGATCAAAAAATAGATGGTCGTCATTCTATTTCAGATTCCTAATATCCTGGTCTTTTTTGGTGTTGAGGGAGGATTTCGTGTTAATAGATGTTCCTGAAATATTTAATTTCATTTTTATTAAAAAAGTAGTTAATTTAACAAATAATTATTTTATTAAAGTATAATAAATAATTTATTTTAAATTCTTCCTCCAAAATGAATTAAAATAAAGAAAACGAATATGTCTCAGATGTCCAAGGTTATTTCACCAACAAATGCATGTCATCAACAAGGAGTACTTCACTACATGAGGAGAATACAATGAAGTTTAGTCGAAGCAATAATTTATTTGAATAAAAACAATAAGAATATGAAAAAGTATAACTATTTACTAGTAAAATCAGGAATTAAAGAGGAAATGGTCTGAAGTTGCTAAAGATTGGTAGAGGAATAAAAGGGATGTGAAAGTATTCCAATTAGCTGAGTTTGGTATCCCAATAAGTGCAAGAAAATAAATTTGGCCTCTCATTGTTGGCAATAAGCTATAAATTACAAAAGAACTTTATAATATTTTGCAAACTCAAAGTAAGACTTTTAAATTGGATTAACGAAAGCCTTTGGGAAGATTGTCTTCATTCAATCACATCAAATAAGACTTAGGGAGAACCTTCAAGAATGAAAGTACGCACATATTATTCAATATCTTTGTAAGGTCTACAAAAAATATTTCATCCAGGAGGACCGCTTAGTGAGAACTTATAATCCATTCTTGAAGTGTTTTGTCTATATCGACCTGATATTGGTTATGTGTAGGGTATGACTTATGTGGGATCAATCCTCCTAACATATTTTGATGACTATTAGGCATTTGTGATATTTAGTAGTTTGATAACGCATCCTCAATTGATATCCATATTTATGCTTGATGAGTAGAATCTCTAAATCATATTTCAACAATTTGAAAAACTAATTAAACTCAACATTCCTCAGGTTCACAAGCTATTTAAACAATATAATATTAATTGTACTAATTATTTGCTCGATTGGATCTTGACTCTCTTTGCAAAGCCTTTAAATCCCGATATTGTAGGCAGAATTTGGGACAGAATGCTCTTTAATGGTACACACATTCTATGGAAATGTGGAATTGCTGTATTGAAGATATTATATCCGAAATTCAAGGATTAGGAGAAAACATTATAGAGTTTAAAGAATCCTGATATCAAAGATGATGATTTGTTGTAAGAGATGAAGAGTATTAATTATCCATTTGAAGTTTAAGAGGTTTTAGGTAATATTGAATTATGATATACTTCATATGCATATAATTATTCTCTCGGTGATATTCACATTTGATCAAATAGTTTATATAACTCTGCCCATCCAATTCTTTTGTCTTGATCATATTCTAACATTGAGTTTATGATGAACTAAGTTTTTTATGAGGTTGTGTTGCCATGATGAATGATTTCTCTTTATAAAGTTTAATGTACTTTTATTTTTGGTTTCATACAAGTAGATTTAATGATTCTAATCTGAGAAAGGTAATTCTCCATAAATCATCAAGTAAAACAAACATCCCAAACTAAAGATATCAGCTGTATTTTAGTATTATTTAGATTGAACAACCTCTGGAGCCATGTAACCAAGCATGCCAATGGTCAAGGTCATAGGATTCTCATTGTTATACTAAATGCATAAATTTACGTTTAGACTTACTGAACCCTAGATCTCCTAGCTTGATTTAATCATTATGCAAAAGGATGTTCTTCATCTTGATATCCCGATGCATCACATAACACTTCTGCAGATCTTGTAATCCTCTAAGTATTTCTTTCACATACACGATGGCTTATTCTTCGCTAAAGTGTTTATTTTGTTCCAGCCACGGTTTCTCAATGTCTCCCTCTATGATAAGTGATTTATGATTTACGGTTACAATACTCCATTACAATGTATGAGTATTTGTTTTATTGGAATTCATCGATGAATCTGACAACATAGTTACTATTAACTAATTTCATGTTCTGTTTTTCTGTTTCATGTAATTAACCAACCAACCCTCCATGATTCTTGAAAGTTGACATCGCAACTGCCTTTATGGCTACATTCTCATAGGTTTAGACATTGACAGCCTTTAATAGATGGTACATGTACATGATAGACTTTACAATACCCCCCTGATCCAATTAGTTTGACTATTTCATATTGTTTCAATCTCTTTCCAGGGATGTGTAATTACTTTTATTACATGAAAATTTAATAAAATTATATATATCTTTAATAATCCATCATCAGGATGGTTTCAATATAAAATAGTAGCCTAATTCTTCTGTTCTGAACATCTTTTGGAGGAGGTGCACATTCTACACCATCTATTGGAACTCAATCAGTTCATTGAAGCAGAACAGAATCTTGTATTAATTCGAATATTCTTACAACAACATCATGGTATTGTGTAATACCAAACCCTTTGGAATCCCATACAAAGTAGTTTTATTTGGCATCTGAATTGCCAAGAGATTAAGATATGATGAAGTCCTTGTACAATTCCCCATATTGCTGCATGTAGAACTTGAAAGTCTTGTTATTGACGCCAAATGCTTGAAACACTGGCAGGTATACCTATCCTGAACTGTGTTTCACAATGAAATGCTTGATTTGAGTGTGTTTATCTAAACATTTCGGAGTGTTGGGGTTGTTTTGAAGATTCGACAACAGTGTTTGGTGTAGATTGTTTGAATTGAATTTCTGGATCAATACCTAGGCTGCCTCTTTGCATTGCTCGAACATGTCCAAAGAGTTGTCATCTGAAATCATTACTATTCCGATTGGTTTTTCGAAGAAATTTATGTAAGCATACACAAATCCCATGGCTGACAAACCTGGCAAACATATGGGTATCCAATTTTCTCCCTTCTTCAACTGGCCTTGTCCTTGAATCATGCTTTGGATTATCAAAATGTCAGAGGTCTTAAATTCCATATTCTTCTATCTCCAAATGTCGATTACAAAGGTTTCTGTCAACAACAAAGAAGCTACGATGTTGGGCAATTTGATTTCCTTTAAATTATTGTGAATGAACTATCTCAAGGAGACAGCCATTGGCAAGGTGCAGATTGAATTGAATGCCATGCAGGGAGAATATAATCCGTTTTTAACAGCCAGTGTCAATAGATTTCTGGATCCTCCCACAGAAAATGCCAAGTCGTAATTGGGTTTTTGTGTTAAGTGAATATTCGCTTAATCTGTTACTATGGATATCAATTAGGTATTGAGAAAATCCAACATTTGATAAATGATGAATTCAGAATCCTATCATAAACTGGTGAGTATACTTGGAGGGAATTGGTTGAACAAATGTAGGTGATTTAATTTCTCTGTAGAATGTAAATATTGCATTTATCATGTGAAATCTTAAATAAGGTTTGTTTTTCTTTGTCTTCAAAAAAGAATAAAAGAAACTTCTAGAAGATTGCATTGATAGTTGCTAAAAAGATGGATGACTATTGAAAATCTTTATAATCATATATATACCTTTATTTCACTTCCATATCTCACATAGATGGGTCTTCCTGTATTGGTCATAATAAATACATGCCTTTTATGAGTAAAGAACTCTGGGATGTCAGGCGAAAATTCTTAATAAGAGACATTGATGACATGAGGCTTGTATTAGTAGGGATCAATACTCATTTATATATATTAATTTTCTTATTTAATGTGAACATACATTCAATACTATGGCTAAAAGACAGCATTGTATCTGGCAATGGATGGGCCTCTTTCGAAATACTCTTATCTGGTGTGATACACCTTCTCAAATTGTGGCTAGGATCTATATACGCACATATACCTATAATGCCATCAAACTGCCTCCTTGCCAAACAGCATATCGTTGGAAGGGGTTCTGAGTAACATTGACTTTGATGGATGCAGGCTTGAATATAATGAGATAGATAATACTTTGAATCCAGACCTTACTTCATACTTTTAGAGTCTGGAATCAATTCTCAGTTAGACTTGTTGTTCCAATCTTTGAGCAAAGCCATCAAACAAAGTGGATCCCCCTGATAGGATGATATTTTGATATAGTTTTTTTCTGCAATCAACAGGGGATGTTTAGATGGATTTATCAATGATTTCATCAATAGGAGATCTCCATTTGCCATCCAAGAATTCTGGATGGAAGAACATTTCAGGACCTAAGAACCTTTCATAACCAATGTCGATGGTGTATTTTTCTTTGGTAACAGAGCTCTTTCCATAATAGGTTTTGAATTTGTTCTTGTCTCCTCTGTCATAGGCTTGGAATTCCTTGATGAGATCTCCATCACCAATGCAATATCCGTATTTTTCTTTAACTTCTCTGGCTACTTTTTTGATGTCTTCTGCTGGTATGTTTTCTCCTCTTTCTTTCAACAAATTTTAGATAAATTGGGTGATGTCTCTTCCTGCCAATGGTATGTGTTTGATGCATGATCCTATCACATAACCATCTGAGACAGGGATGCAATGTGTCACACCGTCTCCTGAATCCAAGACCATACCTGTCAATCCAGCTGTTTTTTGATATTCATTGACCGGAGCAAAGGCACTGGAGAAAAGGGACAGGACAGCCTAGACTGAAATGTGTAATCCTTTGGCATTGAAGGTTTCAAAAAAGATTTCTGCAATGTTCTCTCTGTTTTCAGGAGGATTCTATATATCAATATTGCGCGTTTACCATAGGTGGTTCAGTCAAAATGAAGGTTGTTTCATCGGGTTCAGCTCTGAGGTAATCAAATATACTCCTATGCCAAAACTTCTCCATGAGATCCCAATTTTCTACGATTCCACTCTTCATTGGATAAAAGATATTGTGAGACTTTGTGTAGTCATATGCTTCGTATCCGATGTAGTAATCCAAATTCTCATTGGTATTCTTGCTCATTTGAACTTTTTACTAATGTCAAAGTGTCGAATTACTTTTTCTTGATGATCTGCCACAACAGTAGGGATATCGAATTATGGTTCGGTATTTCCAGCCCACCCCATCTTTGTAAATCCAGTACCTACGATGCACTTTGATCAAATACCATTGTCGATGACGCAAACCTTGCTCTGATAAAACCCTTTGTCAATTGTCTATTGCATATGATACTCTATATATATTTTATATTAATTATTATTAATTATTGATTAATCTTATGATTATTAATATAGTTATAAAGATGTTCATCCTTTTCTTTTAAGAGTATGAAAAAAGTTGTCAACTCTTCTCCATTTATCATTAATCGATGTAATTATTTCCTGTCTGAATTTCATCGTTGCCTCTTGTTCTGAGAGATTCAAAGCCAATCTGTCCTATAAGTATCTCACATCTTCTGCATTTTACAATTCAGGTATTCCAGCTGTCAAATTCATCAAGAATAAATCAACCAGCCATCTCCCATGTTTTCTGATCAAATTATAGGCATCCAAACAATGCTTCTCAAATTATTTGAAGGTTTCACTGTCCTATCCACCCATCACTGTCAACATCTCTGGAGTTAAAACAAACTTGGCTCTTTCTATTATGTTATTGACTTTTTACCTCTATTGATTCCAAACTTGATCTTGAAATTGCCCAAGAAATGTCCAAAATCAATATGAAAGATGTGTCCACTTGACTTGATCATGATATTGCCACTGTGTCTATCGCCGATCCCCAGAACATAAGTGGCAACACAATACCCAGCACAAGATCTAAGGAAGATGTCTTTGGATCTGTTCAAATCTTCAGCATTCTGATTCTGTTGATGTAGATAATTGATAAGTGCCTTTTCATCGAATGCTCCAAATGCCCCAATCTTATCATGGATTTCAGAGATGTTCAATGAGTCCAACACCACCTCGATCATTCCAACCTAATCATCAGTGGCAATCACTTTGTACGGTTTCATCTTGAAATCCAAGCCTGAATCCAACCATATCGTATCAATGATCTTGATTATCTGCAGAGTCAACATGTCTTACTTCAGATCGTCTCCATTCTTAAAAATGACCTGCAATTGATTAATCTATTGATTGATCGATTTTTAATAAGATTTCAAATACAATTTCAGTGGCAACTTCTTTGAATTCAACACCTTGCATTGATCAATATCAAAACTGGCAATCTGCATCCGAGCATCAATTGGAAATGTAAATGGCTGAACCACATTCTAAGTGATTTGCTATAACTCTCTCTTCAAAGCATCAGTCTTCTATTGCATCTCCGACCCCACCTATTTGCTCTTGATCTTCAAAGACGACTCAATTAACAGATTATTCAATCTCACCTCCTTGACGATCGTCTCTCTGAATTACCCGCATATCATTATCAGTTGTTCCAGCCATATGAAATACCTCAGAAATGATGGTTTCAAATTCAATTGCGATTTCAAAAGCCAGAAAAACTCCTGTCCAATCTGAAAAGGATTCGCTGATGCCCTCTCCAGAAGCAGTTCTCCCAAAGGATTGTAGATGTTTTTCTCAAATTGCAAAGCCTGACTCAATTGCAATAAGTACAGACTCAACTCGTCATCAGAGAGGAGACTTATTCGATCGACTGCATACAAGCGAACAATCTCATCAGGGAAGTGGGAGTCCATCAAAATGAGTGCTATTTGTGGTGGCAATGGAATCCACTCCTTTATCATTTGATGGGCTTCTCTTACTTGTTTGGGGTCTGCCCAATTAACAGCCTTAAGAAATAATTGCAACGCATATGGTAATGTTTTGTAATGGTGTCGACATATCATCAATAGAAATTTGTCCAATTAAGAGTAGTGCACTCTGTCCAGAGAGGTAGCTGATAATAGTGTTTATAAATAGGCTAGATCTTCTGTTTTAGGAGTTTGATCAATATCTTTGTAGGGATAAGCAAGACCTAATCTATCGCTATTTTCTTTATAATAATTAGAAGTCAATCTATTTGATATAAAATATTGTAAAAAGTTATTTAGTGAATTTCTAGCTAATTATGAGAAATTACTTGATCTTTAGCTATCTATATTCTGAAGGATGCTGATTCCCTTCCTTTTATTTTAAGACATAATGGACCCTGTGGTTTTATCTAGATCGAATTGGATCCTCTGATCCTTCACATAATGATAATTCTTTTTAGTTTCAATCTGCTTTTGCAATTGGGAATCTGACCTCACCAAATCTGCATAATGCTTAACATTCAAGCAATCCTTCAGACTTCCCTGATGGAATTGTTAGAACTTCTGATCCCTCAAGGACCATTTCAATTGAGAACTGAAGCAATCCATCTTGATCGACAAATAGCTGTAACACTTAGGTCTGCACCTCTTGTAAATGTTGTCTAAGTTGATTTCGCCTTTGAAATCCTGGAAGCACCCGATCTTTGGGTTGATGTCATAGAACGGCCACAAATTGAGGGTTTGCAATCCTTGTTTGAACTTTGAATTCTGATCGAACAAGTACATGCTGGTGCTGCCTACAATTTAGGATTCTCCGTGACAGGAATAGATCAACACCCTAAAACATAATTTAACTTCCAACGGCAACATGGAGTATTTGATTTGACTGAATTTAATGGATGCATTGAAGGTGGGTGTGAATGAAAAAGGGATGAGTTGCGACTCGCTCACAGATGAATTGGTTAATAATTTGTCACCGTAATACAGGGATGCCTCAACGGATATTAAGAAGGGTTCGAAGTTGAGATTGAAGAGAGACTGTATCTACTTGATGTAATTTCTGTTCTCGACTCCTCCAAATGACAAGTATCTGATGGGGATGTAGGGTTCGTCCTATTGTGTCTCTTTTCTGTGGAACATGAGGATGTCCTTGTTTTTGTTGATTTTTGATGGCTGGTTTTTGGTGATGTTGTTCAATTTGGTTGTTCCATTGTAGGTGGATCTCTTTTTGCCCAATCTGTCAAAGTCAGATTCGAACAGATTCTTGAGCTGGTCTATTTTGATTATTTTGAAACTGAAGTAGAAATCGCATTGTCCTGAATAAATGAAGTCTAAGTCATTTACAATTCTATTCTATGATATAAGTCTATATTACTTGCTTTAAGAAGTTGATCTGCTGATTGACTATTTTTTATTTCGGATACCATATGAATATGGGGACCCCCAGGTACTTCCTCCAGTCCTCAATCAATTCGTAATTGTCCTTGGGTCTCAAATAGAGGGGGGGATAATCGAAATTGCTGGAAGGCAAGTAATCAATCAAAATAGTGTTCAAAACTTGGCTGTCTCTGATGATGTTTCGGATTCTAGTAAATTGCAACAGAGGCTGTTCTCCGTAGATGTACTCCTGATATCCGTCCACCTGTAAAATGTACTAATGAGGATTGGACAACTGATATTGGAATTACTTCAGTATCATCTGAATGGCTTCGTCAGCACTCGTCATCAAATTGAATTCGATTTTGGTCTCCTTGCCATTCAAGAGATCGTTCTGGCATCGGCAAATGATGTTGAATTTAATAGTGTAAATGTTACTAAATGAGAATCCCATATTGGATTCCACCAAATACCTCCGATATTGTTGTTGTTGGGGGTGCAAAAGATACGAAGGAATGTTTCTCCTCCTGTATTATTCTACTTCGCTCGAATCTTGTAACCAATGTGCTACATTCTCATGATTATACAGAATGTAATCCATATCCTGCAGAGCGTTCTCGCATTTCTGTTTGTACTGAGGATCCACATGGGTTTCTATGATGATGATGTCTCCGTTGGTGGAATAAATTTAACGACTATCAGGATCTAGACATATAATCCAATTTGTATATTATTAAAATTATTTCATAAATAATAATTATGTAATTAATCTCCACATCCCAATATGTTTTTCGTATTTTCACACTAAATCATTCATCTCCTGCACTTCCCACACTCCCAACCTCATCGCCCTTCCCTCCTCGACTCACAAATACCTCAAGCCAATTTTCACACCCTCAAAAAAACCACCTATTTGCCTATACAACACATGATACTTACTCTAAATTTTACAGAACATAATAAAATCCTTAGATTTTTTAGTATATATATCCCTGGATTGCCACTCCCCACATTCTCCAATTATTAAGATCATTTATGATTGAGAGAGGACAAACAGTGTATACCAACTTCTACTAGATCCAAATCAACCCCAACAGTCACATCTACAGATATCAAGTACTCAATCCCCCTTAATTCTCCCCTAGTTGTCATTTTAACCCTTCCTATCTCCAGAACAGTAGATTGCCAAATGGAGAGAAATCTTCAAGATTGCCAAGGCCGGTCTCCAAGAGAACCTCAAAGTCTTCATCACCAACAACTAAATCCTCTATTCGCCAGTGAGAGCTTCGACCATGGGCTTGCTCTTGGGAGTTTTCGAAGAAGAAGGAACCAGTCATTCCATCTCTATCGAAGAGAAGGCTGTTCTCAAGCCTGGAGAACCAGAGTACACAGGGTTGATTGGGAGATTCTTCAAGATGCTATTGAAACAATAGAAATTGTTACAGATCGGAAGAAAGTACTTTAACACCAAAAATTTAATTAATTTCGATTAATTCGGATTGAAAGTATATTCTGTTATTAATCATCCCAAGGTTTTACCAGGAGTAAGTTGCAGTCTCATAAAACAAGAAGAACAAGGCAAATATTACATCAATATAGACTCCTCATTTAAAATGTTGAGAAGCACCACCATGTATGAGGAGTTGAGGAACTCAAGAGATTTCTCACAATTGGAAGGAGCCATCGTTATGACTGTCTACAATTACAAATTCTATAAAGTCAATAAAGTCAGCAGGGAGATGAATCCAAAGAGCGAATTTGAAAATTTGAAAGGAGAAAAGATGAGTTACATGCAATATTACTAAGATAAGTATTAATAGAATATCAATATCAAAGGTACAAGATTGCCATAAAGGATGTTACCCAACCATTGATTGAAGTCTTAGAGAAATCAAGAAAGAAACAAGAAGAGAAGATCATCTACCTAATACCAGAATTGTGTGTCATGACTGGATTATCAAATGAAATGAGAAACAACTTCTAAACCATGAAATAGTTATCCACTGTCACCAAACCCAGAGGAGTTGATAGAGTGAAATAGGCAGATCAATTTATATAGTGTTTTCACAATAAGGAGAGTGAAGAATTAATAAAGAAATGGAATATTCAATTGGAACCCAAATGCTTGCAGATTCAGAGTTCCAAAATCAAACCAGGAAATATTATGATGGGCAACAACACCTCCATCAATATTGAAACAGGCAATTTAGATAGAGACACTCAGACTGCCATGTTGAGAGGAGTGGGTTTGGAGAATTGGGGAATCTTGTATAGTGACAGAGACAGCAGATAAGCTGAAGACTTTATGAGTTGTTTGAGGGAGAGCATAGAATATTGTAAGTTTTAATGCAAAGCTCCTCGTACTTTTGTGCTCCATTCAAATAGAATTGAAGATTGGATTAAGTAAGTCGATTAAATTGTCCAACAATCATAAGGACCATAAAAAGTAACCTTGCTCTTATTGATATTGAATGGTCCAAAGAAGAATGCTCCACTCTATACAGACATCAAAAGATATTTGATTAATGATTGTCCAATAGCCTCCTAGGTTATCTTGAGTTCCACTTTAAATCAACCCAAAGGAAAAGTGAAGACTATTTGCAATAAGTTATTGGTTCAAATTTGTGCTAAAGTTGGAGGAACACCTTGGGGAGTCTCAGAATTGCCATTTACTGATCAACCAACAATGATATGTGGTATGGATGTGTATCATTCTACTGGCAAAGCTAAGAAGTCTATGTTATCATTCGTATCTACAGAAGATGAATTCTTTAGCAAATACATGACCTAATCAATTGAAATGGAAACTGGAGTAGAATTCTCATTCAGTTTGTGTCCAGTCTTAGTCAAATCCTTGCAATCCTTCTGTGGAGACAGGAATGGTCCTTTGCCATCCAGAATCATTATATTTAGAGATGGGGTCTCTAATTCTTAAGCTAAAACTGTCATTGAGACTGAAGTAGCCCAATTCAGATAAGCCATAGAGCAAGTCAAAACAGAAAAGAATTCTGACAAACCAATCAAATTGATAGTGTTATCAGTCAATAAAAAAGTAGGGGCTAAATTTTATGCTGGAGAGAGGTTAATTATTATCATTATTATTCCCTTAGAAACCTAGATAACCCTCCTTAGGGTACTTTGATAGATACTGAAATTAGCAATGGAAAAGACGATTATTATCTGATATCACAAAGAACAACCTAAGGAACTGTGTAACCCACTCATTATCATGTCTTAGTGAATGATTTATGCGATGAACCTAATATCCTGAAGAAATTGTAGGCCTTGTCTTATAAGTTGTGCTACATGTATTACAATTTCAGTGGAGCCATCAAAGTAATTGTTATTGTTTTAGTAGATACCTGCACCTATCCAATATGCTCATGTTTGCTCAAATTTTATAGGAGATAGATTCGATCCCAGAAAACCCCAGTCCTTGATTAAGCCAAATCCCATATTGAATCAGAGAAGATCCCTCTTCTTCATATGAAAATTATTAAATCAAAATAAATAAATTAGAACATTTAATCATTATTATTATTATTATTATTATTACTATTACTCGTATAGTTTTTGAACATTTTACTAATTTAAATGATTACCCTCTACACCTTTGACTCTTCTGAAGATCTTTGCCTATTAATATAATTTTGAGACATCCTCTTCATCTTCATCCTCATCATCTTCCTCATCCACAATTTATTTTTTAATTTATGCTTTTTTTGACAATTTTAAGTATTTGTTCACCGTATCTTCTGAACTTTGGCCTGCTTATATTACTTAAGCTCCCTATTCGGATCGGAATCTATCCAATCTCTCATAGCACAATGGGGCCAAATTATATCTGCCACTCTCATCCATTTCATCAAGAATATCAATGGGAATATTTCTTTTTTATCATTGAATCTATTTACTTGCATTCAGTCTCCGTAACCTTGTACAGTATTTGCCTGTCTGGATAAGGCGAATAACCATAACGCTTTTTGTAATCTCTTTCCTTCTCCCTTATGAATTCTGGATCCTCTGGAAATGACTAATATCTCGATTACGTTCTCTCCTCAATCATTTATGAGTTCCATCTCCACATTATCACAAACAACACCAAACTCACTACGTATAATTCTGGACTCCTCCTCATACTATGGAATAATGGGTTGTCTTCAATATATTTGTTCCTCTATCGTTGAAAGTCTTTCTCCTCGAAATCTTAGGTCTTCCTTCGAAAATCGTAGTAATATTAAGCATTCGGATTTATCGGTCTCTATTGCTGCTGACTTTATTATTAAGAATATTAGGTTCTTGTTTCTTAATTCTACGATCTCCCACTTGACTATTACTATTATTCCATCAAAATCCTGTCGTACTTCTTTCTCTCATTCTCATCTGATAGAGTATTGTAAGCTGCTACAATTGATTTAAACAATTCCTATTATTTAAATTTATTTATACTTGATCACTCTCTTTCGCATTTGGTGAATCAGGATGGTGCTGTTTAGCTAAAATGTGAAATTGTTTTTTTATTTCCTCATTTGTAGCATCTCTGCGAACTCCCAGTAATTAATAAAAATTTTGAGTCGAGAATCTACATTTACTAAATATTCTTAACATAAAATTAATAAATAAATCATCAAATCAAAATCAAGAACTTTATGAACTCAAAAGTCATTTAAAAAAATGAAATTATTCATAATGATATAGTCTAAAGACATATTAAATGATACATAAAATTCATTTCAGTCAATTATGACATTTATAAAAAGGAAATTCTTAAAAAAATGACAAGAATCATCAAAAAATAATAATTGAAAAGTTTGTATTAGGTAAGGAAAATTATGATAACAGTATTTTATATATGAATATTAATGATTAGGGATTAAATTTACAAAATTGATAATATTTTATAATTATATATTTTATTATTGCTGTGATATTTTTAAGAATATTTTTATTTATTTAATATTGATTACTTCAGGAGGAACCATTATGAGAAAGTGAAAATTATATTATATATATTAACTATTAATTTTCAAATATTTTATGATTACCATTCTTTAAACTTAGGATTCTCACATAATTTTTCAATATGGTATTTAGTTAGCTCTTATTTATTTTATTCGAATTCAAGTAAAGACTATTTTATATAGCTTTATTCATATATCAATTTCTGTTTAGCACTTTATCTTTATTTATGACTATATACTTTACTTTTAAAACCAGAGCATTATAAGCAAACAAATTGATATAAAAACGAAGGTTCCGACAATAATCTCATTCTATTAGTCTTCAAGGACGAAAAAATAAGGCATCCAATAATATTGAGGTTTGATGATATAATTTATTTAATAATATAGGATCAAAATTTAGTGTTAATCCTAAATAATTTTTGAGTTTGGCGGGACTGGTATTTAAATTATTATATTGTATTTATTGTTGATTAATCGATTTATTTATATTTATTTTATATTAAATTTGAGCGATGAGCAAATTATATTTCTATTATTTTTATTAAAGATTTAATATAACAGGATATAATTTAGTAATTTGAAAATATAATGACAATCAACCAATTGATAAAGTCTTTAAAAATATTAGATTATAATATCTTAACAAGATATCAGTAATTGATATGGCTTTCTCTTTCTGGATATAAAAGTATCTTTAATTTATAATGACTAGTCTCTTTCTTTTTGTAATAAAATTAAGTCCTAATTATAAATTCTTTTAATTTATCAATTTTTATATTAAAAGTATATTTTTCTATTTTTTATTTAGCATTTATTATAATATTGATCATAAGATCTAAAGATGACATAGATTTATTACTGGATGAAGATTTTAATTTATTAAGAGTCTTGGATTATTTTTTGTTTACCATTCTATATTTTTCGAAGTATTATCGAATCAAATTTATGAATAACAATCTCCAATGAAAAATTTCCAACATTATCAGTTGGTTTATCTCCTAGAATGTTCAAAATCATATTATTTTATAGTATGTTTATAAAAAGTGGAAATTTTTATTGTAAAGGTTTCCCAATAAAAGTTGCAGAAGTCTCATCATTAATTAAGAAAATTTGCTAACCATATTTAATAATTCAAATGAGGATTTGGATAAGCCATAACAAGTGTGATTGTCATATTGAGCGTATCAAAGGTCAGATGTCTTAAATTTAACAAATGATCCAAAAATAATTTTCCCTCTGATGTCCAAGAATAAATTCCTACTGACTTTCGTATGTTCTTTATGTCTATTGACAAAATCATACAAAGAATTTCAATTTCTAGTCTAATTATGACTGTTCTTCAAAAGTAATAAGATTATTTGCAATATCCAAATAAACTAAACCTTGAAATACTTATCTTGAGTTCCTTCTTTTTTCTATTCATAATTCTTATATATATTTGAATGGCTTTTAAGTAGCTGTGATAGCTAAGAAATCTAAATTTATACATCTGTTACTTCCTTTTTATGGCAAATGATATGCATCTTTAGTTATTCTAGCAGCTTATACATTTATAATATTAAAGAAAAGAAAAAAATTAAGTAATTCGATTTTCTGAAAATAGATTGATAGAAGCTGATGTATTTTTGAAACAGTTAAAATTATTAAAAGCATCAGCTATAAAGGCTAATGGTTGTTATTAAGCAATGAAGGATGCAAAGATTAATGATAGTTTAATTGATTGTAAAAATTAATTGAGGAAATCATATAATACATCTTTAGTGAAAGTTATATAAAATAGTTCCAAATTTATCTAAACAAGTCCAAGTCAACTCAGCTATTCTTTTCCCTTGATTCTTTTTTACAAACAAGGCCATTATAATGAACCACAAGATCAGTATTCTGACTGCATTAAGAAATGGGCACATTTGTTATTTTAATTATGGACCTTAAATTTCTAAAATTAGTTAAAAATAATAATTTTATGGACTGTAAGTAGTCTAATTTGTATACCAATCTATAAATCTTCTAGTCTAGATTACTATGATTAAAAATGAGTAAAAATGCTCATTTCCTTCTAATTTCCAATAATAAAATATTTCTAGTTCAATATAAAATAAATTGGACTCAAAAACAAACAAACATCTTATTGGAACTATATTTAATAATCATAATTAGAAATTCTTGTTTTATTTGAATTAAACATTTTATAATAATGAAATAACATGCCAATAACTATTTTGTCATGAAGATAGCTAAGCCAATTTCTTAAGTGAGTACTAACTCAGCAGTTACAAGATCAAATGAATTAAAGCCAGCATCCTATTTGACATTTACAAAAAGTAAACATAGAAGAAAGAATGAGACTGCCATCAAATTGCCAGAATTACAGCCTAGCTCAGTTCGAGCCAAAACTGAATAAGATTAAACAGCTTAAAATGAATTCAAAAGATCTCTTGTCATTATTAGTAGAAAACCAAGTGCTACATTTGCATCTCAAAGATTAAAAACTTCGCCATCCATTCAAATTTGGGAACCAGAATAGATATCTTAACCACCAGTAGAATAAGTCCAAGTAATAACTACTAAATTTTATGATGTTCTTTGTGAAGAGCTGTTATTAAATAAAAAGCAATCCAAAATAAAAGAGAAAAGATAAATACTTTTTAAGCCATCATTAAATGAATATGATAAATTTTAGGAGAAAAGTTCAAGAATGCTCAGAAAGATTATTCAACTCCTTAAAACTCATAGAGAAGGAAACGAAGAAAAAGAAATGAAAAGTAGAACCATTATTGAAACAAAAATGGCTAAATCTAGCCTTTTCTTTCATGCTTAGACTTAGTTTTTACCTGAATAGCATCAATTTAATTAGAAAGAACTCCTCTTTCAATAATAATTGTCAGTCATACCAAAAAGGCAAACAAAATATAGTGCACAACTAACTTTAACTTAACAAGCTGAATCTATAAAGCCAATGAAGAGCTTAATTGAAGAAACCAAAGAAAAATAATAAGGTCCAATCAGATAAGCTTCAATACGTCTTGTATCACCTAAAAATCCAATAAACAATAAGAAAAAAATTAAATTAACTGTTGACTGTGCAGAAGAGTAAAAATTTAATAAATTTGAATTTTTTGTACCTGATTATATGGAATAAGATTAAGTAGTTTAGTTGTAATAATAAAATGATTAAGTTGAATCAAAAGATACTAAAAAGTCTAATATTTATTCTTTGGTTTCAAAAAATATGTTTAGCAAGTAATATGTAGTAATAAATTAGAAAAATTAATTAAGTTTAGAATACAAATGAATCTACCTTGGATGAATTTAATGCTGATAAAGCAACATAATTCACAAGGTACTACCTCTAAAATTATACTTTAAAATGCATCAATTAGAAAAAAATCAAAGACAAAAAAGCTGAAGAGTCTATGCTGAACACACTTCAATAAGATTCAAAACAAGAATAATAGATCTTTGCATCCAAACCTCTTTTTGATTGTTCTTTTATAGTAATTATTATTCTTACTTAAGAAAGACTTATAGACTACTTAATTTCTTGAAATAAATAGCTTGATTTATAGGTGCATTGAACCATATGATTCACAAGATTCTAGTATGATATCTGATAATAGTTTCCTTAGTGACAAGAGCTTTAATGACTCTTCTACAGATTAGGGAATTAAGCTCAAATTCCTAATCTCTACAAAATTAATTGATCCCAATATAATCAGAGACAAATTCATCAAATTTATCATATCCACCATCCCAGATGAATCTAAAAATATTTTCCTTCATCAAGAAATAATTGCTTTTGCCAACCAAATAGAAGAACTTATTCATATAGATTATGATTTGCCATAATAACCACGTAAATCAAATGATTTATTTTTATAGATCTGGAAGCTTTAAACCGACTCTTCCTTAAAATTAATACAACAGACAGAAAGCAATTTCTTAAGTCTTTTTTTAAGAAATTTGAAATTATTTGCATTGGATTATTTGAAGATAACTTTAAACATCATTTAATTAAACCAGAGAAATTATTTGTTAGTTATTGTTTTCAATAACAAGGTAACAGTTTAACTGATAATACTTCAATCAAATATTCCAATATGTTGAAATCTAAACATCACCGTGAAACTACAACAGAAACAGTTCCCAAATAATAGACAAACTTAATGATATTATCTCTACCTCCTGCTACTATCAAAAGTAGATCATAATCTCCATCTAATTTCGTATTAATTATATTTCTATTGTTAAGAGTGAACCCAGAACCTAGAAAAAGGGCCCTCAAAATCATTAAGTCCTATTGAAAAATATGTAACGAAGTAAATAATATACTCAAATATATTTAGAACAATCACAAAAATTTTTGCAAATTTAAACTTCATCCAAATTTTAACTGCAACAATAAACCTCTAAAGTGTAATAAGTCTCATAAGTGTAGGATAAGGAATAATCATAAATATAGAAGGTTAAATTGACATAAATTTAAAATAATCTAAAATAACTCTCTATGGATCCATAATCTTTATTATATAGAAGTATGATGATAAAGAAAACAAAAAATGATGATAGAAGTTTATACGAAAGAATATTTCTAATGGTTGAGGAACACCGACTTTTGGATTTGAAAGAAATTCTAAAATTGGAGACCTCAATTGATGTCAATTACCAAAATGATGAAGGTGACACAATGCTAATTTCAGCATCAAAATGTGGAGCAGTTTTAGTTGTAGAATTTTTACTAAAAAACAGAGCTGATGCCTCAATTTAAAATGTATCATTTATTTCAACATTTTAGTATAATGGGGAAACAGCCATGGATGTGGCATTAAAAAACTATTAATTCTAAACAGCAGATATCATCTTTAAGTATCTTTATCTAGATAATAAAAATGTATGAGCATATTGATTTTATGTATATATATCACTTTGGAGTCAGATATTTAGCTTTAGAATATATCTTAATTGGTTATAAGAAAGACTGATATTGTTAGTGTTTAATTGTTCCACTAGCTATCAATGAAGTCAAAAGCTATTCTGAACGTGCACAAGTTAGTAATAACAAAGCATTCCTCACACTTTAATTACTTTATTTTTTCAATTTTAATATCTCATTAAGTGCCAATTCCTCCTTCTCTTGAGTTTGATACCTCTTTTGTTTTTTTGGGAAAGTGAATTATTCATTTTATTACAACTTTTTATCACCAGAACATACCTAGACATAATCTATGGGTTTTAGAGTTAAACGTTCAATAGATTTGTTATTTAGCTTTTTGATTGAATAATTGCTTTGTTTAATGTGTTCAGTATTATTACTACAACTTCCATCTTCAAATTTTCTATTTTCTGGAGCATATTAAGATTTTCTTAATTTATAATTTTTCCTTTGGCACTGAAATTCTATACTACTACTTAATTAATCGACTAGTTGAGATTATTTCTCATCTTCCTTAAACTTATTATCTACTTGTTTGAGAATTGTTTTTTTTTATGTATGATAATTTTAATGTAAATTGATGTCAGCTTTAAAACTATCCTCTATTGTGTATTAAGTTAAAGACCTCAAATTTTATTGATCCTTTACTATTTTTGATTTAGAGTGTTTAAAATTATGTGAATCATCCTGTTATTCAGGTATAATTTCGGTTTTTCTAATGTCATTCACTTAATTGTAAATGAGAGTATTTAGATTTCTAATTCTATTTTTTAATTTCTATTATCTATCTGCAGCCCTTAATTTTTCATGTTCACAAAAAGAATCATTTTTGTTGAGTTTCTTGAATTATTATTAAAAAGACTTATTCCTTTCACTATCATTAGAATTTAAACTATTAAGCATGCTAATTTTATCGCTCTCTATATATATCTAACTTAAATTTGGTGGTATTTTTTATTGTTTGATTGTTTTCGTCGAATCTTCTTAGAAATTACATTCTCTTAGTTTTTAGATTTATAAATTAAATAAATGTTTCAATTAATCTTTTCGATCATAGTTTTCTTCAAATAATTGCACATCTTAGTAGTATGTTTTTATTGTTTGTTAAATTGATAGATTTCGCTGCATTAATTTATTAAACTTATATTCGAAAGTACTGGATAAGGTGTCATAATTGATTATTGGTTATATTAATTGGGGATTAATTAATTGGAATTAGGGAACATCATGTATTGAAGAAATTGAAATTTCTCTGAAAGGTCTGGTGTTCATTTTCATTTCAAAATGTTTGAGATTGAGAATCTAGTAGGGTTATTAATAATCAGGGTTTCTCTGATTGAAATACTTTGATTGTAAAAGTGAGATGTAATCAAAATCAAGTTTGCAGTTGAATATTTTTGGCTACAGAGGTTCTTCCGAGAATCGAGTAGAGAGAGAGGTGACTAATCGTAACTATTATAGGGATTCACTTCTACCCTTTATTATTTAAAGACTTCTTCGAGCGTTATTCCCCCAAAATTAATTTACTTTAAGCATTGAGTAAACTTCAAGTGATCTCGAATTTGCAAAGCTGAATTAACAGGAAAATACATTTTATAATAGGCAAATGTCAAATTTACTATTTACACGAAAGAATTCTAGAAATAATCTAGATCTTATTATGGCCATCTCTCAGTCTTTAAAATCCCATTTTCAACCTTCTAATTGCCTTAGTCTATTTCCAAAATTAGCTCATTTTAATCATTGAGTTACATTTTAGACAAGAGAATTAGATGCTCTCTTTTGATGAACAGTGAAACAATCTTATTTTTCATTTGCTAATTTTTTGATTGTAAATTTTATATATAAATATAATTTATATAATTCACATTTACTCTATTTTCTGAGTAGTCATAATAAAGGGAGAGTCATCCTTTAAATAAAGAGTTATCATTCCTATCTAAATAGGTTACTCTGTTCATTTTGACTTCAGTTTATAAATAGATTTTATTTCCGCCTTTAATTCCCCGTATATATCTCTTTTTATTAAAATATTTCAGTACCATTATGTTAGTCTACTGTATGAAATTTGTTACATATAAACCTATTTTCCTGGGTTAAAAAAATAAGTAAATAACCTTGATTTCTAATAGTTCTTACTCAAGGTTTGGTTCCATTCTAACCTTCAACATATATTTTACCAATTTTATTTAAAAACCTATAATAATGAAATATCATTCCTTTTTATTGTGATAATTATTATGTGATTTCACATTATTTATTTCATTATTTGCAAAGTAATTGATGATGATGATTATTCAGATAAGGTAAATGAATTTTAAATTACACTTAATTGATATATACGTAATCAATCTTTGTTTTTATTCTTTTGCTTAAATATAAATGTTTTTAAGTAACATTTATCCTGATAAATGAGTTAAATAAATTTTATTAGGAATGAACCGGTCCACCTTCTTAATTAGAAGCTACTCAATCTAAAATTATATTTTTAATTATTTCCATATAATATTATTAAATGAATAACTGCATCTAATGGATTAAAAATTTGTTAAGTAAGTGCCTAGCTTATCTTCAATATTCAAAAGTCAAAAATTCTGATGAGAATTATCAAATGCAATAGTTTAGTTAGGTTGAGTTGAATCCAGACAAAGAGATTAAAAATAATTTGAAGGTTGAACTAAGGAATGAGAGTAAGATAAATATCATTATGTAATTTAGATTATGAAACTGAAATAGTTACATAAGATTTAGAAATGTAGGTTCCTTCATAAAATAAGAAGTTGTTGGAAAAATCTGAAAATGTTGGAGTCTAAAATAATGCAATTGATCTAAGTCAAGCAAGAGAATTCATTCAGAACATTCCTAACTTGAATCTAAATAATGTTGAAATACTCACAGAAATAGGATTATAAGCTGCAGATATATTTCCAACTTAACTTGAAGATTATGAAAACTATGAACTGCTTGAAAATAACCAAGATGAATTTTCTTTTTGGGTTAGATATTATGAAACACCTGAAAAGTTTTATATTCCTCAAATGAGATATAAGTTCACACTTAACACTACTATTAAAAATTATATTGCATTTATGAGAGATCTATAATTATAAAAATAACTAGATTCATCTATAGACTAATTTGAATCTCATTTCTCTAATGAAGCTATCTCAATCAATTATTTGCGATATAAGAAGATACTCTTCATGGATCCACGAGATTTTCTCTATATCAAATACACAAAATTTATTAATGAAGATACTATAATTGAAGTCAGTAAGTCATTTGAAAACCAAGACTTTGAGCCTTAGTAATTATAAATATTTAAACTTAGGGTTCAAACTACTAAATCAGCAACTAGGGCTATTTTGTTATTGAGTGGTAATTTAATTAAATAAGTGGAACCAAACAAGATCGAAATATTAACGTTTTCTGAATGTAATATGAAATTGAAATTAAAACCAGCCATGACTAAAACAGCTAGTAAAAATGAAATTAAGAAATTGATTAAAAGATACCGTGATCATTTCAATTGAGTTAAATGAGAATTAGTATCTATAACAACTTAATTACATTTCACTTTATAATAATAAACTATTTATCTAAGTATTTTAACTAATGCTAAAATACTTAACATGATATAAATATCATAAAATTATTATGATCAGCAAATCATAAATATTTATTTTTGTAAAAATAACTTAATTAAATTTTTACTCGTTAAATGAACTTGGATTAAGCATTCACATTCGGTTAGGATTGTTATAATCAAGATTTAATCAATCCGTCTAAGCACCCTAAAATAAGTAAAAAATCACCATTTTATTCAATTGTCAAACCAACTACGTATTTTTGTCACAATAAAAAAGATCATAAAAAAATTATAGAATCAAGGATACATCAGTTTAATAATTAACATAGACAATATAAAAAAATATGAATAAGGAGAATTATAATTCTCGTCAATGTAAGGTTGTGTTACCTAAACATACTCGAAATCCAACAGATCTGAATTTAATGAGATTTGACACATCTCCAAATTCTCAAATAGAAATATCCAACAATTCAAGAGGGATTAACTCGTAACAAGACAATAACAGAAAGCTGTCATTCAATACTCCAAATCAAACTATTAGAACTTCATTACCTCCTGTTAATAATAATGAGAAATATAGAAAGATATCCTTATCGATGAAAGAACTCATTTAAAAACAGAAATACTGTTATGAGATTGGAGATTATGAAGAATTGGAGGCTATTTTTGAAAAACTAGATTTACTTTGTGATTAACTTTGATATCTATATATTTTAATTAATTATTTTATAAAAAAAGAATGAGTAATGCATAATTTGCATAAAAATTATTGAGATATGAAGGAAGACTTTATTCCTAGAATTTGGAAATGCAAATATAAACCTTACAAGAAGTTAAGTAAGAATTTAATGGATAATATAATCATCAAAGTTTAATGAATATGTTAGCTAAATACTTTTCATATACAAGTAGTTTAGTTCAAAGAATCAAAATTATTGAAATCATATAACAAAAATTCCCAATTCTTGTAAATCATGTTGAGGATTGGAAATAAATTGTCGAGTATCTTTAATAAGAGTGTTTTAGTAGCAATCATTAAGTAAAATATGATTTTGATTTTTAAGTTTAGGATGTTATCTCTCCATGCCTTAAATTCCATAGTCCCAGTCTTGAAAGAACAATATAGCACTTTTCATATAGGAATTTTTGATATTTTTATCAATGCCAGCTATTAGAAAGAACTATATATTGCTAGTCTCGCATTACTAAATACAGTCAGACTTCATCATTCCTACTCATTTATGAATAAAATATCTTAGCTTCCTGAAATTAAGATATTCAAAACCAAAAAGCTCACAATACTTCTCAAATGTACATTAATGGCCAGGGCTTAATTTTGTAACACATTTTGATTTTATTGAATAGGTTTATTTGAATAACNTATCATAAAATTATTATGATCAGCAAATCATAAATATTTATTTTTGTAAAAATAACTTAATTAAATTTTTACTCGTTAAATGAACTTGGATTAAGCATTCACATTCGGTTAGGATTGTTATAATCAAGATTTAATCAATCCGTCTAAGCACCCTAAAATAAGTAAAAAATCACCATTTTATTCAATTGTCAAACCAACTACGTATTTTTGTCACAATAAAAAAGATCATAAAAAAATTATAGAATCAAGGATACATCAGTTTAATAATTAACATAGACAATATAAAAAAATATGAATAAGGAGAATTATAATTCTCGTCAATGTAAGGTTGTGTTACCTAAACATACTCGAAATCCAACAGATCTGAATTTAATGAGATTTGACACATCTCCAAATTCTCAAATAGAAATATCCAACAATTCAAGAGGGATTAACTCGTAACAAGACAATAACAGAAAGCTGTCATTCAATACTCCAAATCAAACTATTAGAACTTCATTACCTCCTGTTAATAATAATGAGAAATATAGAAAGATATCCTTATCGATGAAAGAACTCATTTAAAAACAGAAATACTGTTATGAGATTGGAGATTATGAAGAATTGGAGGCTATTTTTGAAAAACTAGATTTACTTTGTGATTAACTTTGATATCTATATATTTTAATTAATTATTTTATAAAAAAAGAATGAGTAATGCATAATTTGCATAAAAATTATTGAGATATGAAGGAAGACTTTATTCCTAGAATTTGGAAATGCAAATATAAACCTTACAAGAAGTTAAGTAAGAATTTAATGGATAATATAATCATCAAAGTTTAATGAATATGTTAGCTAAATACTTTTCATATACAAGTAGTTTAGTTCAAAGAATCAAAATTATTGAAATCATATAACAAAAATTCCCAATTCTTGTAAATCATGTTGAGGATTGGAAATAAATTGTCGAGTATCTTTAATAAGAGTGTTTTAGTAGCAATCATTAAGTAAAATATGATTTTGATTTTTAAGTTTAGGATGTTATCTCTCCATGCCTTAAATTCCATAGTCCCAGTCTTGAAAGAACAATATAGCACTTTTCATATAGGAATTTTTGATATTTTTATCAATGCCAGCTATTAGAAAGAACTATATATTGCTAGTCTCGCATTACTAAATACAGTCAGACTTCATCATTCCTACTCATTTATGAATAAAATATCTTAGCTTCCTGAAATTAAGATATTCAAAACCAAAAAGCTCACAATACTTCTCAAATGTACATTAATGGCCAGGGCTTAATTTTGTAACACATTTTGATTTTATTGAATAGGTTTATTTGAATAACCAATTAACGAATTGTTAGCAATTATAAGACAACAGATATTGTAGGTACCCATGTCAAAAGAAGTGTTACATCTCTTATACAATTATCTTAAAATTGCTTCGCATTTCAAAGACTAAGAATCCTTCATACTTAAAATTCTAACATCAGAAGAAACTATAAACTGCATTGGATAATGCTCTGAAAAGATCTAAGAACTTTTTAGGTTAAGTTACAAACACTATAAATTGGAATTCAAAATAGTGTATATAATTTATGGAGATCAATATTCAAAAAAAAACATAATAGAATCTATATTATAATATGATAACTTATACAATTACACTCAAAGTTTATCTACAGAAGACTTAATCTCTTTTCAGGACTTGCTTTTTTATTCATATGACTTTGCTTGTAATGAAATCGTCAAAACAGTAAGTGTTTAAACTGAATAAAAATTAATTCAAGTTTTAATCAAATTAGATCATCTGATAGGATAATTATTCGAAAAATAAATTAACTTAAGTAAAAAACCATTCTCCTCATCTCAGAAATGTTTGAATAAATTATTATTACTTTCTGTTTAATTACTGTCTGCTTAAATTACGTTCACTGAATTCAAAGGAACCAACAGTTTAACCTTTATTCTAAGTTTACTTATAAAAAATCAAAATACTTATCTGATGTTATAGTCAATTAAGCTCTTGCTATCAATTAATTAAGTTGAATAAGCAACCTATTTGGCCTCTTAAATAAACAGTTAAAGTCCTTACACTTAAGTATTTTTGAGTTATCTTAAATCATTATAAAACTATGAAGAATTTACATATTGGAATGATTTCTAAATTAATTCAACATAGCATTTGATTAGACAGGAAATTTATGATTATTACCAAGAATTTGATAAATGCTTGTAAGAAATATAAGAAATTGAAATAGACTAAGCTATGGCTATGGAATTATTTTAAAAAATTACCTATCTGCTAAACAAAACCACAATTTTAAGTGCAAAAATTGAGTTCTTTTCAAATAGAGCCTATGCAGAAGATGCTACCTTCTTCTAATTCATTATTTTAGATAAGATAAATCTCTGTTTGTAAAGGAATTATCTAGATTTAGAAATTGAGTCTTTAAATTACGAGAATTCTAATCTTATAATTCAAAAACTAATTGAGTATAACAAAAGTTTTTTTATTAAAAAATTCTTACCTAATTTAAGAAAAGACAAGTTAAAAGAGTTTATCAAACAAATGAGAAATTCTATTTACAATTATCCAAAGATTTTGCTACAATTAATCTAAACACCAAATTTAGAGATTTAATGTATTCAAGAAGATTAGTAAGGGTCGCATACTCTCCTAAGATTTTAAGCTCATCTAATCTCAAAAGAAAAAAAGACAAACTGTCAATTGTTTTTGGTTTACTCTGTGAATAACTTTTAAGAAATCTAAGTTGAAATGATTATGAAAGAATAATCATGTAAGTATTTTAATATTAACTATAGCTCTTTTGAAAATCGTTGTTGAGGGTAATTCGACTATTGCATATCAATTAATTTGCAAATATTAAGGCATTTTGGTTCTGCAAACAGAAGTTTAAAACATGACTATCAATTGTGTATAAAATTGAATATTTTTATTATAAGAATTTAATATTTTTGTTATTCCATAAGTATTCTAAAATGCTCTTATTTATAAAGTAATTTATTAATTAAGTTAATTGAGTATAGAATCTCATTATAATAATTATCTATTTATAGAAGCATTTTATTTATCAAAAAAATTAAAGTCTTATTTTATATTAGTTTCATAACAATTTCCATAAAAGTCAAGTTAGATAAATATCTTAGTGCAAGAAATACAATTTACAGATGATATTAATTTAGTTTATATAATTTAGTTGTATTATTCAATAAATTATAAAATTAACGACTTATGAGTAATGCTGCAGAAAAAATAAGTGATCTATTCAATGTTTCATTAACAGAGCTTGAAACAAATATTGTTGGAAGTGCTGTCAAATTCAACGCATAACCTTAGCGTTTGCTTGATGTATAATTTCTAATGATATTGTTTAGGAATTATAATAATCAGTGATGGATTTCAAGTCTAAATTCTATGAATCTCTACATAACTTATTATAGTTTATTGCTTAATTCGATAATGGCAAGGATATATTAAAAATAACTCAATAAGTTGAAACTCACATAACAAAATTCAAATAATAATAACTTCTAATCTAGATGAAAGTAGTGCTAAATAGTAAATTAAAAGCATTACTAGAAACATTCTGCGGAGAAAATTAGCAAAAATTTGAAGTATCAAATTTATAAAAATTGTAGGTCTAAAATTAAATCAAGCATCTTAAGGATTCCTTGTTTAAGATAGAAACAACTCTCATGGAATAATAATAGCTCACATCAACACCATAATAAAATTTCATAACTCCATATCCAAAAAAGAATTTCATAACAGCATCATCTTAAGATATCTTGACACCAAATTTGAGTGATGAGGCTGAAATGAGAGGAAGAGGTTTCTTTATAACCCCTGAAAATAGATAACAACAGCCAAGATAATTTGATCACTCTTAATAACAATATTCCTCAAATGAAAGTTATTCTGTTTAACAAAATAAAACATTAAATTCTTTCGATAAAGAAAAATCAGAAGATAAAACCGATCTACAAAGTCCATTTTTTGGATTACAATCAGGGAGCACCTAATAACCAAAGCTATTTTAAAATGAAATTATGAATGATTATTTGCAAAGAGTCCCTCTTGATGAAGGTCCCCAAGAATCCCAATTATTAGATGAATCTAATCAAAATTTTCATTAAGAATAAATAACTAAAACTATATAATAATAACAATAATAATAATAGCAATAATAGTAATAACAATAATAACAATAACAATAGTAGTTATAGCAGTAATAGTCTAATAAGAATTAATAAAAGGTACAGTCATAACCTCAAAAATAATAGACTTAATGGTAAAATTTACAATTACAATAAACATTCTAACATTTAGATTCGTTATAAACAACGCGAACAGAATAATTGGAAACTTAAGCAAGAGTATCAACCCCAAAAGATAATTAAGCCTAAACTCGAAATTAATCAGTTGAACCAAACATTAGAGATATTTCTTAGTCGCCTAATGGAAAGAGACTAATATAGACTTCAAAATCAAAGGAACCATTTTCAAGATGCCGATCATCATTAGAAACAACAAATCTGCTCCAAAAATTAAACTCTGTTGAGGCTTCAAAATCAAGCAATAAGCTTAATAAATCAAAATCCAATAAAGAAAATTAATCTTAACCTATAGTTAAGTGTTCAAAACCAAGTAAGCCTCAAATTACTGTTTCAAAGCAAAAAAATTAAATCGCTACTAAACCCCAGTTATAGATCAACTTAGTTAAAAAATAAAAGTCAAATTGATTCATTCGTTAATTGTTTAGTATATTACAAAGCTTAAAATTATTTCGATAACCTTATATCAGGGTTTTAATTTAATCAATTACTAAATTGATTGATGAATCATTAAAAATACTTTCTAAATTGAACAATGTTTAAAATAGAAAAAGAAAAAATATATATCTATATATAATAAGCAACATAATTTATATATATTATATCTTATGTATTTTATTTCTTAAAGTTAAAATCTTAATTATTAAAAGCAAAAGAACCCTTATCTTAAAAATTTACAAGCATAAGATATTCAATTGAAAATATTTTTTTAAACTCATTATCTTTAGCAATAAACCCTAAAAAGAGAAAATTTAATTCACTAGATTCTTTTATTTCAAATTCCTGAGTGATGATTATCATTCTCAAAATTTAGCTTAATATTTATATTGACCTTTTATATATTAATAACTGATTCGAAATAAATTGTTATTTAGTTTAGATATAAACAGTTCTAGATTAAAATGTAATTTTTCTTTGGATAATGCTTTATTTGTTATTTTTAGTTTTCTTATTTGTTCATTTATATTTTCCTGTTATAAATAATTAATAAATGCTACCTAATTTAATTAAACCGGACATAAAACCAAGATCATTTTCCCTTAACGTAGATTAATACTGGTTTAAGCAAAAAGGAAAAAGGAATAACTCCCACTACTCTTATAAAATAGTAGAAAAACTTCATTCTTAACCTACATCTAATGGGAATATAAATTTAGTTCCATAAAAAGAAATATCAGGATCATTAATAATTATTATAGCGAATGTAGAAGCCTTTTTAAAAGAGATAGCATCAAATCATAAATACTAATAATTCTTAAAGTTCAAGGATTTCCTAAATGAAAAATAGGTTACTTAATTTTTTCATTACATATCGAATTTTCTAATAACTTTGTAGAGCTCTATTTTTGAACATCACTATTGTACTTTCTCACAAAATAATAAAGCTATTGATATTGAAACTGCTGATAGTAAAACAGTTTATGAAGTTATTACAGAATTTTTACATCGTCATCAAAAAAACTATGAAAACATATATATTTATGGGGGAGATTTTCAATTGCTACACAAATCAGAGTTTAGATAAATTATTTATATTTCTGGAACTAGAATTGAAAAATAAATTAATAAAGATGTCAAAATGAATGAAAAAATTATCCGATTTAAAACTTAAATATAAAGTTAATTAAACGATACGAGCTCAGATGATGTTCTAATAGATCATAGAGTCTATCAAATTGGTATGCATAAGAAGAACAAAGAGATTAAATAGTATTTGCAATAATAAAACAATGAGAAAAGAGAATTTGTTACAAAATAAGGTATGTATTTATTTAATATTAAGGTAAATCTAAAGAATTGCAAATAAAGAAGATCAATAGTAGTTAAAAAGAAAAAAAAATTGATTTGGCATAAGAATTGCCACAAATTTGCGATTAAATTTATGAAAAATTTAAAAGGCTATTTCACATAGAATATATTATTGTAGAGAGAGATGTGTTCTCTTAATTTTTATTGCTTTGCGAGCTCAGTATCTCTTATTCCAAAAATTCAACTCTATAATAATAAATTTCTAGATTGAATGATGACAATGAAAAATTCAAGTTACTTATAAACAATGTGCTTTACTTTGAATTCAAAATTCTGAAGAGTATGAATCTAAATTTATAAAAATTACAAAATAGTGTAACACAAACCTTATTGAAATTTATAAACTAAGATACAAAATGTTAAGATGCTTTAAACAAAATTTACTGGAATGCATTTTTGAGATTCAAGACATTTTATATAGATTAAAAATGGACAAGCAGCGATTTTCGTTACTTTTTACTTTTACTTAATGAAGAATCTCCACTGACCTTATAGATATACTTGTAACTACCTCTTAGAGAATTATCTAAGACAATTTTCTCACTCAATGAAGACCTACTATAATAAATAGTATGGTAAATTTTATATACTAAATAATGATAATTATAAATTCAAGTTAATTTTTACTACGCATTAAAATAATCATTAATAGCTTTCGTTTTATTATTTCAAATCTAACAATTATATTATTCCGAATGATTTCTTCATCTCCTGGATTCAAACTAACAGCAATGATTCCTTTGAGTATTCATCACAAAATAGAAATTATTGAAGATGAACCCTACGATTTAGAATTGGATCACTCTAAAATATCCTTTAATGAAAACATCGTCGTGTGTACATACAAACCGAGTTAGAGTGCTACAATGATTAAAAAGACAATTTTAAAGTTGAAAGGATAACCTAATACAGACTGGATAAATCCAAGTCTAAGAACTGAAGAAATGAAGAGATAAACTTCTATATTGAGATACTCCTAATCTTCGACCAGAATCTCTTCATTTTTCTTTTGACCTTCTTTATATATATTAACTATAAATTACTAAAAACTCATAAGAAACTGAAACAAAAATAACGAACTCTATTATATGGTTTAAGATAATTCTTACGCATATAATTATTGAATAATCATCATAAACCTATAAATAGTTAGTTCTTTTCCAATTAAAATAATAAACCAATAGGTTATTGGAATCTAAAGGAGACTAGAACACTTAATTTCTATTATAATAAATCATATCATTAATTTTCCTAGTTATTCTACTTTCTTTTTCAATTTATCTTTAAATTCTTCGTAGTAAGTAAAAACTACTAATGATTTATTGGGATTATTAAAACTTTTACAGTTTTAAGAATTATTGAAGTTTTTCTAAGAGCACAGAGATTTTAATCAACTAATTGTTATTTTTTATTTACTGTAATACTTTTTCTAACCAGATTAAACAAATGCATTAAATAAACATTATTAGAACAAATAATAATTAATTAAATTTTGGATTTTATTATTTTATATTTTTATTAAATATTTAAAATTATACATTTCGTTAATTATAACTAAGTAAATCCCTCAGAATATTGCTTGGACTTATTATCATAAACACAAAAGTTCCATAAATTATGGAAGTTCTAACATAATATAATAAAGAATCAATGAAGATTTGTTTTGTTAAAAATCAAAAGAACAATTTTTAAATAGTATACTAAATTTGCATTAATGTTATTCTTGAATCTAGAATTCAATCTTTAATTAAAACATTAATAATTTAATTTTTTGTATAAAATTGAAGTGTGAGTATTATTAATTGATTTACAAAATAAATATTCCTAATCAAAATTAGATGTAGCATATTATGAGGACTAAAAATTTTGTAAAAAAATAATTGATAATAAGACTAGATAGGTTGAAGAAGCTTTGTAATAAATTTAACAATTGTTATTTCAATATCTCATTTGCATTCCGGGAGGCATCATATTATAATTCATAGGCTAATAAGCACCTTGAGGAGGGAGGATCAACGTAGGTTAGGGCATGTATTAGGTTCTTGTGCCACTCAATCCTAAACTATCAATAGTTTCTACAAACGCAGGAGTTAGGAGGCCTTAAAAGACTGAAGAGTGTGTAATGAGTAATCTTTTGATTGTGTCTTTAGAGATGAAGGTTGGAATAATATTCTTCTAAAAGGATGCTTTCAATTAATCGACTAAATCACTCATTACAGCTCTATAATAATCTTCTCTAGCACTGATATGCTTTTTTCCGAGGGAGTGTTGTTTTCTTCCACTTGGAGATGAATGAGTTAGATAAATTCCACAATATTCACAATAAAACTTAGGCATATTTAAAATAAATAATAAAAAATATATTTATTGTGTAGTGTATTAAAAAATAGTTATTAAAAGTAATTAATAATATATAACTTATGCAGGGTGCAAGGTTTGTAGAGACAAATTTGGTACAGAAAATGCTGAGAAATCAGAACTATGATTTCCACAAAAAGAAGTTGGATGAAATCTAGACGGAGTAATGATGTTTTTGTATGGCTATTAGTAAAAAGGGAAGATTTGCATTTAAGGATCTGCCCATCCTGAGTAAAACATAATAGATCAAGGCATAATCTTCTAGATTTTAGAAATCTGAATAACGAAAGAGAATTGATGAATAGAATTAATATCTGAGTTCTCATATAATTGAAATATAGGAGGGTAAGAACTCTTAATTCAGATCGATTTGGACAGTGTAAAACTTAAGAGAGAAAGCATATGTAATGGATTTCAGAGACATTTTAGGCTGACACTTCTCAATGGTGTGAGAACGCTTTGGGTAAAAGACTTCATTCGCCTTTGAGGAGGAAACAGTAGCAAAAGATTGACGAAGAAAATCAGGAACTACAAAAAAGACTTGAACTAACCAAACAAATCTTATTAGAAAAGTAACAGGAACAGATCTCTAAATACGAAAAGCTTCGTGATCATATGACTCGTGTATAAAAGACTTATAAAGCTAGATAAAATTGAAGGGACCTAATTCTCCCATGACGAATACTCATTTTCCATCAGTAAAGAGCAAAAGCACTACTCATTTGATAAACAAGCCATTCTAATCTGATTCAATTATACAAAATAGTAAAATGAATGACTTGTTAAAGTCAGAAATCAATATCAGCAAAATATCGAAAATAGAATGAATTATATATCTATCCAATTATTAATATAATTTATTTATATATATCTTAGAGCATAACAATCAATGAGTGGATTCACACATTATAAGATAGAAACTACAGAATAGAGAGGAGAAGGGTATCCTTCATAGAGAAGTATATAATAATATGGGAACACATAAATTAAGTGAATAATAACAATATTTCATAGGAATGAGGAGTATCGAATTTAAGTTAGTTCTCCAGTCACAGAACAAATAGTGATAACCGATTAGTCCTCTTTTTAGAAAATAATTGAAGCAAAAGAAAGAGGTAAATGTATTCGTTATAATAAAGAAATAACAAATCTGAGGGAGAGTGTAAAATCGTTAAACAATCAAATATAAGATTAGTTGAAGGAGTTGGAAATCTGGAAGAATAAATGTCGATAGCTGCAATCTGATAAAGGTTTCAGTCGAATAACCACAACTGGTCAATAATCAAACGATTGGGAATTACTCTAATTAAAAGAAGAAGTCAATAAATTAAGGTCTGAGAATAACGAATACAAATTTAAACTAGAGAGGAATGTGAGTGTGGTCTCAAATGATTACGAAGTGAACCAATTGAAACAGTAAATCAAATCTTTGGAAGAACAACTAAGATCTAAATCATCATCATTTACTTAATACACATCATTCAATAATAATTCTCAAGAAGTCAATCAACTGAAGGATCAAATTAAAGTACTTACCTAAGAAAATGAAGACCTGATAAAAGCTAAGAACTTACTCAATCAACAATTTCAGCAATCTCAAATCTAATGGTAACAAAGTGCTTTTAGAAGTACTTAAAATTAGGATTCTGAATAATCAAGAGCTCTTTAAAATGAGAGGGATGATTTAAGAAGAAAAGTGAAGGTTTAAGAAGATCGAATTGCAGAATTGTAATAAGAAGTTTAAAGGTTAAACTTTAATTGTGATTCTTACATTTAAGAAATACAACAATCCTAATTTAGATTAAGTTCAAAGAACTAAAATTCAGAGATTGAGGGCTATTTGAAAAGGATATCAGCTTTATAACATGAAGTTCTGGTATGGCAGGATCGTTACAAAGCCAAAGAAGTCTAGGAACTATCACATGCTCAAGAGTAAAAGGTAGCATAAAAGGACAACCAGATTCTTTTTTTATAAGAGAGAATAAAACAATATGAAGCTTAAATGGACTAGTTGAGATTTGAAATTGAAAAATAGAGAAAAGAATTTGATGGATAAAGAGCTACCTATGACAGTAGAAGAACAGATTAAGGAGAAGTGGAGAGTTTGAAAAGAAAGATTGCAGAAATGGAATCAGATATTTAGATTTTGATTGCTGATCTTCAAGAAAGAGATTAAAGAATAAGCATAACTTAAAATGAATATGAGGAGGAAATTAGGATCTTGAAGAACTAAGGTTAGGTATAATACTAGACTGAAATCAATAAATTAAAAGAAGAAAGAGAAAAATATAGATTAGACTATGAAAGATTGTCTAATGACTATACAAATTTTTAGAGACAAAGCGAATAATATAAGAGCAATTCTTATGAAGTGGATTCATTAAAGTAGAGAATCATTGAACTAGAGTAGCAATTGAGGAATGCTTCAAATCAATACCAATCTCTACAAGGCTAATACTCTTAACTGTAGATTTAATACTAAAGTTCACAATAATCATAGTAATCTTAGTTTTAATTAATTAATATTCGAGAGGACTATCAAAAATTGTAATCCCAATTCAGTTAACTCTAATAGGAGAACATGTCATTGAAATAATAGAAATAATAAATTGAGAGCAATTCCTATTAATATAAGAATATACAAAGTGATTATTAGGCTCTGCAAGACAGGTACAATCAATCATTGAATGAAATCTAATAACTAAATGAGTAAATAAGGAAATATCGAAATGATTACGATTCACTCAATCAAAATTACATTCAATATTAAAGAGATAGCGAAATCAAGTTTTCTCAAACAAATAATAAAGAACTTGACATTATGAAATCTCGAATTTCGTAGTATGAACAATAGATCTAACAATTAAGAAATTAATTGTCCAACTAAGAAAGCTAATTGGAATAGTAATTTAAGGAGAGGTTGAGAGTGGAAATGTATTCAATTGAGCAGAAGGCGAGTAGTCAAAGTACAATGGAATTACAGTCATTATAAAATAAGTATAATTAATTGAAGACTCAATATGATTAATTGCAATTTAGATATCAGGAATAAAGTAATTAAATAATGGTGGTTAAGGAGAAGACCACTAGGGAAAGTTAATTTGAAACTTAGAGTCTACGAGATCAATTATAATAGTATAAGTAGTCTAATATGCAATTGAATTAGGATATTTCGATTTTGAGAGAATAAATTACAAAGTATAGAACGGATGTGGAATAGGCGAATCAAAAATATGTTATGATTTAGAGGGAAAGTGAGATGAACAAATAAAACATTGGAGAAGTTGAGAAGTTGATGGCTAGAATAAGGGAATTGGATTTTGAGTGTCAGTAGAAGAATCAACAAATAAGCAAATTGTAGATGGATGTGAGAAATTAAGAAATTGGGATAAGAAATGAATTGGAATAGTAATTTATTTCGAGATTGATGATTGAGAGATAAAATTTGGAGAGCAAATTGTCAACATAAAGTTCAGCTGAGACTCAAAATCTATAATACCAATTGAAATCATTGCAGTAGGAATTGAATTAATATAAATAAAGATACTCACAATTGGAGCAATAATTTAATTAATCTAAGATAGAGATCACTCAATTTAGATCTCAATAATCGAATGTGAATTTGGAATAAGTTAAGTAATTGCAATTGAGGATAACCGAATTAGAACATGAGAATCAGACTCTGAATGTTGAAATTGAGAGACAGAGAAACATCAGAAAGGAGTAAGAGAATAAAATTTAAGTGTTGATTACTAACATAACCAATTATGAATCAAAATTGCATATTTTGGAATAAGAAAATGCTAGATTAGAAGCTAAAACTAAAAAATAAATAGTGATCGACAAGCCCACTGATTAGTATATTGTAAATTAACTGTTGGGATAACCAGGTTCTTAAATTAAGACTAATATCATTACCACTACTACTACGAATGTCTAGAATGTTCAAGGCAGTGGTATAGTAACCAGGCAATCAGGAATGAATCAGATAAGTTAGGTTCCATCAACTTATAATTAATATTATGATTAGCATAGATTGCAATCGCAGAATGAAACAAAGCAATCTCAATTTTCTTAGAGAATGTAAAGTCCATAGCCTTAGGTTTCAAATTATTTGAGTCCAGACAAGAAGTAAAGAATGTTTTATATCATTTATTAGTTTTTAAACTCAAAAGATTACGACGACAAAGAGTGTTAAATAAGCAATTATGTCATCAGCGAATTAATGAATGATGAATTTATAAAATCATATTTATTTTTAATAAAATGATTTTCATTGACTTAATGGTTCACTAAATTTATGCTTTAATAGGAAGTTAGAATTGTATTTGTGCAGTGTAAAGAAAGAGTAAAATGAGTCAGTGGTTGATTGAGTTTTAGTCTTCTGTCCTTGAGATCTATTGGTATTTGGAGGATCAATATGAAGGTATGCACAAATCTTCTAATTTGTGGGAATCTTTAATGAAGGCTTAACTAACTACTTATTTTTTATTTCTCTATTTGATTAATAACATGGTTTATTGAGCAATTTTCCAAGAGAATTTCTCTCCTTGAAATAAGGAGCAAAAACTTCTTCATTCCTTATTAAACTATTGATTGGATGTGATGGCTGGTTCAGACTGTCTTAAATCACAGTCCTTCTGAATAGTTTGTTCTATTGATTGCGTGGTTTCTTGAGAAGGTGGGATTTACGATAGTAGATAGTTTCATTCTTCAATAAATCATTAATTTGTGAACTCATTATATTATATTAATATCAAGCATTCTTTTTATTTTAAGTGCCTGTATTTCCCCATTTGATAGAAGATCCAACAAATTGAGTAGCTTCTTAAGTTTGCTTTAAGCCATTAGTCAATTTGTGTTTACGAGGATTATATGGTTCCACAGGTTTAACATCTTCTGAAGGCTTTCTCATTTAAGTATTCAAAGGCTTTCCATCGATGCGCACTCCGGTTCCAGTGAAGACTGTTTATTATTTTTAAGCCTAAAGCTCTTCTTGTTAGACCAAAGAACTAGACTTCTTAATTAAATTGGGGGGAGCATCGTTAAAGTCCTATTCAAACTCTAAAAATAAAATACTAATGGTTTCATGAAATCAATTTCAACGTCAGCTTCATTTATGCAAACAGCCTTAAGATTGTTGGTAGGTTCAACCTTCACAATGTCTATTAAGTAATTGGTGTTATGGAAATTGATAGAAATGGTTTCCCCTTCTGTCAGACAGATGAAATTTCTCAGATGATTCTCTAAAATTGCTCTTGGATCAGGTAAATCAATAAAGGCGGTTTCATGAGGCTAAATTCTAATTAACTTTCCTTATTCTAATTTTTTTTCATGAGAAATTATAATATTGCACCCGTCGAAAAAGCCCATGCTCTCGAACATCCAATCTGGTATTACGCAAGTACCTTCTTCTGCAGTGAATTCCAGAACACCTACATAAGTACATTTTTTATCATCTTAAGTGGATTAGAGTCTAAAAATCATTGGGCCTTGTTATTTCAAATGTAACACTTATTATAATGCAGATGCAGGAAGCAGAATTTTATTTCCTTGATTAAGAGTTTTTTTTTGGAAAGTGGATGCAGAATAGACTTCTAACATATTTTGATAACCTCTAAAACTTCGATTCATTTTATAATTAATTATATTAAATAAATATCTTGATTCATAAAGAGTGATAATTCAGAAGTATCAGAAGTTAATACTCATTCATATCATTTAAACCAGTATTAAGAGAAAAGTCATATTACTAGATTTATTTAATATTAATATGATAAAAACAAATTCAATATTGTTTAGATAATAATTATTACTGAAGAGCATAGTGTTTAATATTTAATTGATTATCCCTCTCTTACAATTTATTTTAGTAATGGCCTCTAAGATCATCAGGTACAATATCTTCCACTCCTTTACGATTCTCACCTTTAAAATAGAATTTACATCCAATACCTGTTAATAGATTGTAACCACAATTAGCCCTATTATCTAAGTTTTATGCTCTTACTAGCTATCTAACCTAAGTCATCTCATCTTGTCGTTTTAATGCTTATCCCTACTCATTTTAAGCATACTCCAATGTCAAAGGGTTGTATGCTAATCCATTTAAATTTCTTTTGCCTTATGTGAATTACTCCTAATGGTATTGTCTTTTCAAGTCATCCTGCTATTACTGAAAAAATATACTTTTTATTGATAAAGCTCATTTCTCTACCAAATCATACCTTCTCTCTCTAAATTAGCCAATCTTCGCGATTCATATTATAACTGTTTTTATTTATTTTAATATTCCCTTTGTAATTTGTCGTGAGTAGCAAAATCCTTTAAAAATCGTTCTTATTCTACAAGATCATCATGAGAATTACCCTATTAAAATAATGTAGTATTTGGAGCTGGACTATGTAGTAGTGCTTTCATGTCTTCTTTTTATGGTGTGTCAAATTCTTCAAACTTTAAATAAGAGTTTACATCTTGACTGCATCACAGCTTGTTATGAGTTGACTTCCTTTAAATAGTCCTAAATCAATAACAACATCAATTACTCTTTCTGCCCTAGTTCTTGGTTATTGGTTATGATAGGCTTGCTGATTTTGAGGTTTGAATATTCCAGCCCCATAACTCTAAGAAGTAGGTTAGTAAATATCTCTAGGGTTGTAATCCTATTGTTAAGAGAAGAGCATAAGTTATTAAAATTAATATATTAAGTATTCATTTCTTATTAATCATCACAAAATATATTGTAAATATAAATATACCATTTCATTATTAGATTGACAAGAACAGAACCAATTATAATATTAATATTGGTTAGCTTAGAGTAAAACTATTTGTTCTTCTTAACTCATTATGGTTCTCTTAATTCTTTTTTGATGTTAATGTATTCATTACTAATCTGCTATTATTTTTTACCTATGAAGGATCATCCACTATCAAATCAGGATCCACTGATCAGTAGTAAACATAATATCCTTTCTAGATGAAAGGGAAACTAAAATATTTATTCCAATCAATTCATAATGTTAATATTTCGCACATAGTATTATTATTATTGAAGCTGCATCAAATAAGTCTTCTTTATTTGTTATTAACCTTATTTTGGCCAGCACTTATTAAATAAACTTCCTCATTCATCATTTGTAAATCAAATTCAAATAAGTCTAAAAATTGACTAATTGATTTTTTCAATCAATTTTTGATTTCATCTTCTCATAATTTCAACAATGATTTGCTTCTAGATTAAAGTATTAAACAGAGCAGTGTTTTAACAAAAAATAATATTTATAATATTAATAGGTGCCATTAAAATTTCAATAAATTATATAAACCCTCGAAATTTAACCTCAAATTTTAATCAATGTATTTATATAAGAGTATCTCGAAAACACAACAAACAGCTTTCTATACCATACAAATTATGAATGGCGGATTTACATTGATCTCCATGCCTTAAAGATATTTAGATTCACCATGAGATTATCATTAAGAATAGAAGAGACAAAGAAGTCTAAAATTGAACTATATTTTCGTAATATATTTGTGGTCTCCAAAGGAAACGCCTTTAAACCTTCTGGTCTTTTCATACTAAATATTGCATTGTAACAAGCAATGTGATTTAAATGGCCTGAGATACCTTTTTCATCAAAAGTTATAACTCCCTTAATATTATTTTCTGCTATATATCTAAATTATTATTCACCTATTCTTACTCTTCTATTGGCCACATAACACTCAATGAGTCTTATAAATTTTCATCATTTATTATAGCTAACTTTTTATGAATATTTAATACTTACTTTATTTATGTTTAGGTATTTACAACATTTCTATAATTCTGCTTCTCATATTTTTCCTATTTTATTAGCATTTCCGTTTGATATTAAATGAGCTTCGTAAATTGTTATCATTTAAATAAGTAATTGTAGGTAAAAAAAACATGGCTTCATCATCAAGATGAACAGTGACTAATAAAACGGATTTCTTTCCTTATCTAATAACAATTATCATTACTTCTTTGTCATTTTACTATCTCCTCGATTTAATATATAGAAGAATAAAAATTGTAATGAAGTTCGATATTAGTAATCCGTATTTTTAAATAAAAAGCAAATCATCATCTACTATCTCTTCAATTATATTTAAAACTTCCATAAAGTTAAAAATTAAATTAAATTTACTCAAAAAACATTCTTAAATACATACATCAAATAATATTAAATGAAAATATGTCAATCTTTAATACTAATTACTTGCTAAAATTAAGAATATTTATTGTAACAAATATATATATTATTGATTTATAAACTCATTTTGTTTATTTATTTGTGTCATTTAGATTCTCAAGCATGCTTTTTATATTGTGTTAGCTTTTATCTAAGGTTATCTTGCTTGCTATATAGTCTTTTTTTAATTCCTTAATAAGTTCTATGGATTGTTCATTAAAATCAATAATTCTTGGATTTTTTGATAAATCAGTATATTCTTCTGAGAATTATACTTTGTTTTCATGCTATAATGATTGATATTAAGAATACCTCTTCTAAACGATTAAATATGATAGATGCTCTATCTCTTAATTCTTCAATATCTTAAATTAGACCCAATTCTTTAGCTGAATTTTTGTTAAGTTTTCTTTTAGAAATTGCATATTTTTCTAACAATTTATGTGCTTTAATTAATTCTTAGATAATGAGTTAATTTTTGTCTCTAATTTATTTTAATTACCCTCCCATTGATTATTCTAACTATTCAAAGATATAATAAAGTAATTACTTAAACAACATAACCTTGAAACTCTCCAACATTTTAAACTTGGTTTGGTTTAGATTTATCTTAACCGGTTTTTTAAAATATGGCTTAAGTAAGGTGTGTTTTGTTTTATTCTAATTTACCTTTGAGTGCTTCCAATTCAGCAGATGTAGTGTTTTAATGTTATTTTAAAGTTTCATTGATCTATTGCATCTAAAACACTTCACCATAAATGAATTATAAGTTATTCTAAGTTGTATTCTGGGGTTGAAGTGTTTGTTATTAAAAATTCAACATTAAATAATATTAATAATAATTCAAATATTTAATTTTGTAATGCTTTCTTTGTTATGCTTCATGATCTATTGCTACTTTGAAAAGATAAAATTCCTCTTATTCTTTGGGGGTAGTTGAGAANTATTTACAACATTTCTATAATTCTGCTTCTCATATTTTTCCTATTTTATTAGCATTTCCGTTTGATATTAAATGAGCTTCGTAAATTGTTATCATTTAAATAAGTAATTGTAGGTAAAAAAAACATGGCTTCATCATCAAGATGAACAGTGACTAATAAAACGGATTTCTTTCCTTATCTAATAACAATTATCATTACTTCTTTGTCATTTTACTATCTCCTCGATTTAATATATAGAAGAATAAAAATTGTAATGAAGTTCGATATTAGTAATCCGTATTTTTAAATAAAAAGCAAATCATCATCTACTATCTCTTCAATTATATTTAAAACTTCCATAAAGTTAAAAATTAAATTAAATTTACTCAAAAAACATTCTTAAATACATACATCAAATAATATTAAATGAAAATATGTCAATCTTTAATACTAATTACTTGCTAAAATTAAGAATATTTATTGTAACAAATATATATATTATTGATTTATAAACTCATTTTGTTTATTTATTTGTGTCATTTAGATTCTCAAGCATGCTTTTTATATTGTGTTAGCTTTTATCTAAGGTTATCTTGCTTGCTATATAGTCTTTTTTTAATTCCTTAATAAGTTCTATGGATTGTTCATTAAAATCAATAATTCTTGGATTTTTTGATAAATCAGTATATTCTTCTGAGAATTATACTTTGTTTTCATGCTATAATGATTGATATTAAGAATACCTCTTCTAAACGATTAAATATGATAGATGCTCTATCTCTTAATTCTTCAATATCTTAAATTAGACCCAATTCTTTAGCTGAATTTTTGTTAAGTTTTCTTTTAGAAATTGCATATTTTTCTAACAATTTATGTGCTTTAATTAATTCTTAGATAATGAGTTAATTTTTGTCTCTAATTTATTTTAATTACCCTCCCATTGATTATTCTAACTATTCAAAGATATAATAAAGTAATTACTTAAACAACATAACCTTGAAACTCTCCAACATTTTAAACTTGGTTTGGTTTAGATTTATCTTAACCGGTTTTTTAAAATATGGCTTAAGTAAGGTGTGTTTTGTTTTATTCTAATTTACCTTTGAGTGCTTCCAATTCAGCAGATGTAGTGTTTTAATGTTATTTTAAAGTTTCATTGATCTATTGCATCTAAAACACTTCACCATAAATGAATTATAAGTTATTCTAAGTTGTATTCTGGGGTTGAAGTGTTTGTTATTAAAAATTCAACATTAAATAATATTAATAATAATTCAAATATTTAATTTTGTAATGCTTTCTTTGTTATGCTTCATGATCTATTGCTACTTTGAAAAGATAAAATTCCTCTTATTCTTTGGGGGTAGTTGAGAAATCACCTATAACACTTTTGTGATTTAATTTAAGTTCAATTTTATAGCATTTTTATATCCTTCAATTTTGGACTTTTATATGCTTATAAAATATCAAGTTTATCTTCTCTTTACCATTCATCCTCTAAGCAAATTGAGCCGACATATTGCTTTTCTTCCGATTGATAAATCTTGTTTTTCTTAATTTTTTCTGTTCTTAAATGTATTCAAAGCGTTTAGATACATGCTAGATTCAAACGGATTGTGAAAGCCTTTCTAAATCTTTAAGAATAACTTTAACCATAAATTTATAAGATTTCTAATTCCATTTATAGAATATCATTTCTAATTATAAATAAATTTTGATGAGTTATTGCTATTTCAGAGGATTTGTTTTTTTCTATTTCAACACTAAGCAATCATGTAATAATGTAATAGAATAATTAAATCCATATATTAAGTTCAAATTAACAATTTTTTAATTCAATCATTATGAATGTAATTAATCACAGTATTCTCATCCTTGAAATTTGATCTAAATTTTCAAGTATTTTTGTAAGTTCATTATTAACCTTTTTATTACATCATTATAGAATCAAAAATAGAATTGAAGGATAGCCTAATATTATTTCTATTTATCAAAAAGAAAATTAATATCAAATTTTATTATTATTTACTAAAGATATTTTTATATTATATATCACAATAGCATAATGAATTCATATGCAATTAAAGGTTACTTATATTCTGGTTTTTTCATTAATATTGCAATTTTATCTTTTGATTTCAAAACAATAGTTTTGTTGTTTACAATCCTTGTCCAAGTACCAAGAATAATCTAATAAATTGATTTAATTGTTACCTCATCATTATTTTTGGTCTATTCCTCATCTCTATAAATAAATATTCCATTTGGGCTTTTATTTTATAACTTAAAAATGTATTCATAGTTATTATTCTCATCGCCTGGCTTTGCTTCTTCTTATTATTAAGAATTATCAATGCAGGTGTAAAATATTCTAAAATAAGATTGATATATACTCTTGTTATTAAGGTTAATGTTATTCAGTTGGTTTATCAATTTTAATTTTTTTTTATGGTACTTCGAAATTATCGCTATCAAATTTTTATTTTTATTTTCTAATGCATGTTATAACTGCATGTTCTCTAGAAATAGTTTACACCTGCTAAACTTCCATCTACAATTTTCTATAATATTCTCTGCCAAATTTAAACACTTCCAGCTCATTGATATCTTTATTGCCAAATTTTAACTCAATCACTTCTATTGTATTTATGATATTCATTCTAAACTATTGTTTAATGTGGTCCTCTGCAATCAACTTTAATTAGATCTTTCCTTGGGATTGATTACCTAATTTTTATTTTTCTCTTACTTTGAACTATCTGATCATCATCAATCTAAGTTTCCTCTACATGGGTTGTAACATTCGCTTATTTCTCAGCCACACTCGTCTAAGCAAGAGCCAAACTTGTTATTAAATGATTGTTCAATTGCAGACTAAGTCGATCTAAAGCCTATGATTTATCTTTGATATCATTGTAAACACTCCCAAAAGGCAATTTGGAAAGAATTGTATTAATACTATATTTTATATTAAATTAATACTATGAGCTGCGTTCTGGTAATTTGGAGAGTAATTGAGAAGACTCTGTCAATTCCTTTTTAATCTAGCCTTGCAATTGGACATTGATTCTACAATATACGCAAACCATTACTGGAAATCCTTCTATTCTAATTTCTATAATTATTCTTAGAGAGATGACAATTTAAGTCTAAAGAATTTGACCTCTTCACCATTTTCTTCGTGTGCTTTAGCCAAATCAACAGCTGTCTACACCAATCCAAAGAGATCCATTTTCTGATTAATTAATTATATTTTAAATTCTCACTAAGAGTATTAGCTTATTGTGAAAGCGGTTCAATTTAATAATAATTCTTATTTTTCTTTTTTTAAGTATTTTATCAGAATTATGACTTTTTGCATCCCCTCTTTATGTTTTCAAAGATAATCATCCTCCAAGTTCATAATCAATCCAAAAACCTTTAAATTATTAACCATTCAAAGGAAATATTAAAAAAAGTTTATGTTAGCCGATAAATCTAAGTGTAATTTCTGCTTCTTTTTAAAATCATATCAATTTTTGGAATACGGATTCAATAATATTAGAATATCGATAACAATATCCTAATTTTATAGACCCCCCTGAGTCTAAATTTTAGTTAAAATTATCTTAAAGAAATCTAGAATTTCATAACTCATTGAATTAAGCAGAAAATTTATAAAAAAAGAAAGTATTCTAAGTTTTTAAGTCAGATTAAAAATATAAATATTCATAAAATGAAATATACTTAAAGGTACAAGCGGGACTCTAATTTGATTGATAAGATTATTTAATCAGCTCTTAAGGCAACAAGTATCTTTAGTGTTTTTCAGAACCATCGTATATGAAAACTTGTATTGCAGAATATAAAGTTGTTTAGATTGTATACAATTATTGATCAGAATAATTAGATTGAAATATTAAATATTTATAATAAAATAAATGGATTAATAGCAATTTGATTCTGAATTGCAAACTTATTTTCTCCATATTAAACATGAAATCAAATAAGAACATATAGAATATTTGAAAAAGCATCCAGAGTTAAATTAAATATTAAATGACTTCACAAGTTAGATCATCTTAGAAAAAGTAACTTTTCCATATTATTTCAGCCAGATAATGTTTATCAATATGCTAAAGAATATTTCAGTTTCTTCAATTAAGAAAAAGATCTGAAGACTTGTAAACCATTAGTAGTTTCAGGAGCAAGTGGAGTTGGAAAAGTAATTAAGTTATAAATTGTTCTTAATAGGGAACCTTATTATAGATGCTTCTTAAATAATATCCACAATAATTTGTGTTTAGTGTGAGTTACACAACAAGAGCACCAAGACCAGGTGAAGTTCATGGATAACACTATTATTTTGTTAGCAAAGAGGAATTTTAGAAAGAAATCGAAAAGAAGGCCTTTTTGGAATATTGTGAAGTTCATGGCAATTATTACGGAACTCATTTGGCTCAAGTGTAAAAAGTTATGAAGCAAGGATAAGTTTGTGTGATTGAAATTGATGTTTAAGGAGCTGAAAAGATTAGTAAATCGATGCCTAATCAATGTAATTATATATTCATTAATGCTCCCTCCAATGAGGAATTGAGAAAGAGATTGACTGGAAGGGGAACAGAAACAGAAGAAGTAATTGAAAAAAGAATGAAAAATGCTGAAAAAGAGATAGAGAAAGCTCATTCATTAGGATTCTATAATGAATTATTAAATGATGATCTACAAAAAACATTTAAGAAACTCATTGACCTTCTCAAAACATTTTATGCCGATTTAAAATTATGATATGAAATATAGAATATTCAAAAATATACAAAACAAAATTTTTATATTCTTTTATTTCAATACGAATTTTATCCTTAAATTAAAAATGTTTTTGTCAGGTTCATTTCTTTTGAGAATATATTAGTTAAAACTAGATATAAAATAAATAAAAATAAAATCCTAATTAGAATATAAATTAAAGCAATTTACAAGGAATAATAAATTAATTATAGTTTAAACTATCATATAAATTTAAAAACTAAATTTCACACTTTTTTGATATCCAAATCCTCTATTTCATGATTATTTGATAAACTTTTATTTAAAATATTTAGATCCTTATAATATTATTTTAAGATCGAGATGAATACACTAATATTTGTTTCATAAATTTGAGGTTTGGAATATTATTGTTAATGTATCGATTTATAATTAACTAAATGCAACTTATTCATAAATTAGATGAACAAACACAAATAGATTAAAATAAACTGTTATTTAAGGAGTTATTAGGGAATTTATGAATAATGATTAAAAGCAAGTATTAAGAATGTTGATTATTTCTGAAATTTGGATGTTTATTTTGTTAATATTTAATTTAACTCAAAACACACGGTTATTAAGTTCTCTTTTAAGATTATAAGGGAAACAGGAGATACTTGGAGTAGGTCTCACTATATCCATAAGATGATTAGGTCTTAATTTATTTTTAACATTACTTAAATGGTTCTTTACCTTTGACGAAATCTCTTCTTTATGGTGGTTTAAGAGGATCACCTTTATACTCTGGGTACTTGCCTAAACAGCCAGTTTCTCCGCTTTTAGTAGGGTTAGATGGTTTGAATGGAGCTTCGTGCTTCATAATATTGGGTTGAAATTCCTTGACTTGCGCTGGCTATCGGAATTGTTAATAACAGAACACTTACTTTGGGAAGGTTTGTTTCTCCATAAAGCTACTTATCAGTGCTAAAATTATCAGTAGTAACAATTGTGCTTTTAAAGGGTTACTTATCTTTTAATAGTTTCTATTCATTAAATATTCTCTCTCTCTCAAATTATTGATATCTATTGTATTCATCCTTCTCATGTTTTGGAAATTGACCTAAGGCCTTGCTCGAAGGATTGGTTGTGATGTTTTTTGGTCCAATGTGTACCCTGTTATCAGGTCCCTTATGATTGTTTGGTCCTTTTGGTATTTCATAATCAGCCATATGAGGGTATGAGCTGGCTATCACCTCTTTATATCCTGAAGGAGGAACGAAATTCTTTTTGTCGTCTGAAGAATATTTCCTTTTTTCTTCTAACTCTTGAATTCTGATCCTTCTTTCTGGATCTAGATATTTATCACCTATCGTTGTGAACCCTAGCAGACTAAAATACGACGATTTTATTTTCCCCTGTTTAGGAGCAGTTACTTTAATATTTGAGGGAGAAGTAATAGGTTTCCCTTAATCATTTCTGGGGGCTATTTATATAATGTAATGTAAAACGTCTTGGTTTGTTATCATAACTATTATCACCCATCCCAAGTGGAACAGGGGAAGAAAACAATCCAAATCTTTACATTGAGGCTAATTTCTCAGTTTCTGCCAAGGCTTTTTTACCTATTTCTCTTAGAGTTGCTTCTTTGTCAGTCATAATAAATTTTTATTCTTATAAATATTTTGATTAGCTAGTATTGGATTAAAAAGAATACAATTTAATATATAGCGTTAGTTTTATAAAGAAAACATGTTTAAGAAATATTTCTTGGTACTCACAAAAATTTTAAGCATCTTTTAAATTACCCTAATTAATTTATTTTGTATCATTCTCATACTAAATATAAATGAGGGAGATATCTTATCTAAATATTGACTTTATCCCTAAATTTATTATCACTTTGAATAAACAATTTGGAGTTATCTTTGATTATTAAAATAACTAGTATTAGAATATATTATCTATGACATTATGTATATCTCGAATAAGATCATATGTAATAATATAATAATTATTTCTAAGGCAAAGTTTAAGTATTTAGAAATTGATTTTTATATATAATCATAAATTTACAAAATGTTAAAGAATTAATATATTACCTAAAAATTTTAAAAAGAATTTTGTAAAAGTAAATCCTAGAAAATTAATAATAAAATGATTTGAAATACACAATAATTGCGATTGATCTCTGAAACCATCATTACAAATAGATATAAGAGTAGTATATCTTATGGGTTTCATTTAATAAAATTAACACTTCCTTTTGTAATAATTTTTTTGTTAGAAAAGTAAAGTATAAGCTAATAGTGAATAGTGTTTTAGTATGATTAAATTAATAAATGAGAAGCAGATGTATAAGAAAAAATTATATTGATGCTCTAATAATTTCTCATAGAGGTTTTTAATAATTTCAATAATATCACTTAGGATTTCTTAAGATGTAAATCACAGAATCCCCTCTTAAAAACATCTTAGGAATAAATCGTTCTTTGTTTGTTGCATGAGCTTTCTTTCCCTTGTTTCCCTTAGGGATTTCTGTCCACATTTCAGTCACATTTTCAAGGATCTTGGATAAATAATTAATATACCATATTCATATGTCGATCGAATGCTTTAACTCTTCCTAATAGCTTTCTATTATTTCTAAGCTCTATTAGCACTTGTGTATTGTGACTCACTGTAATTGTCAACAAACCAAAAGGTCCTTTTTCCAGTGTTTCCTCTTATGCAGTTCGCTTCTACGTTTCAGCCATTTAAAATTAAATTAATTATAATAACAAAATTAGTCCATTCTGTATTAATAATTATAGATTCACATCTATATTACCTACATGAAAACATGAAAATCTGTCGATCTAAAGGGTATTCTTCAATTGTGAGTTTTAGGAATGCTCGATTGACTTTATGAATAAATATCCATTCATATATTTAATAATTATCAATTCAGTTTCTTAGAGTTGTAGGTATCGTCTCCTCCTGCATAACTTATACCGTATAAGTTAGGTTATGGAGGATTAGGAGTCTCTTAAATTTGAATATGAGGCATCCTGAATCCTTCAGACCGTGAAGCATTCTATTCTGCAAATGTTTTTAGTGGAGATTTAACATTCAAATTGTATAACTCTGACCACTTGATCTTTGCAAAAAAAGGGTGATATTTTATTTCTGAGTATCCCTTAAAATATAAAACGTTTCAAATTACCATTTCAGCTCCAATTCTCTCTTTAGGATTAGCCTTTAAGAGTCTTTAAACTAAATTTACTGCTTCATCACTCATAATTGGTGTATAAGCTGGCTCATTTTGTAAGATTAATGATAGAATCTTCTAAGTATTTCTATCTGGAACAGTAAAAGGTGGATATCCATTAATCATTTCATATATTAAGATTCCTAGTGTCCATAGATCTACTTCAAAGGAATGTCCTTTTTTGTTAATGATCTCAGGAGCCAAATATTCAGGAGTTCCTGCTAACTATTCTAAGTATTAATGTTTACAGTATAATTTTTAACATTTTCATCCTTTCTTAAAGTAGCTAAACCAAAATCTGTTAATTTAACATGTCCTGTTGTCGTGAGTAAGATATTTTCTGGTTTCAAATCCCTATATATAACCTTTAATTAATTATTCAAATATTCTAACGCTAAAACCACTTCGGCTGCTACAAAGGCAACAATAGATTCTGGCAAGCCTTTTGTCTTTGTAAGAATCTTAAAGAATTCACCTCCATTGATGTATTCCATCACTAAATATAATTTGGTTGGTGTTTAGAAGGAATATTTTAACTACACAATGAATGGATGTTTGCTTTGTTTTAAGACATCCTTCTCTAGTAAAGCATTCGATTCTAATTTGCTATCGAATATCAGTTTCTTATTGATGCATTTAATAGCATATATTTTTTGATTGTCCTTTTTTTTTACTTTGTATACTTTTCCAAAGGCACCCTTATAAGATTAATTTATACTTTGCCAACTGTTGCTAACATAATGAAATCTTCTAGTCCCACTCTCTTATGAGTTTATTCAGGCATAAATGATGTGGAGTTATCCAGAGTCTTACTTGATTTTAACGCCAATTCCTCTGAGTCTTAATAAACAGCATACATTCTTAAATCGGCTGCAACGAAGTCTATTAATTCAGAGAACTTCGAAATTCCTGCTTTTCTGATTTCATGAAATCACATAAATTTCCCATTTTCAATTTTTTATTAATTACAAAGAATAAAGAATAAATTAACCAAAAAATTATTAAGAATTATGCAATTCCCTCTATTAAGCCAACAGGATTTCTGAATCTCATTTTTTGCTTATCAATTGAATAGTTTAATTCTTAATGATATTTTTGTAGATTCTAGAAGGTTTGAAATTTATTTTAGATTCTAATACTGTTTTATTCATGTCATTCAAAAATTGAGATGTTTATTGATGCATTAAGATTGCAGTGAAAATGAAGATATAAATTATTCTGGCAAATTATTGATTATAAGATCAAAGCATAATAAATTTATGTTATGAACTGTTGCAATATAATTTTTGTTTGTTTCTAAGTCACTGCTCTTCTCATCATCATAATTTATTTACTCCTAGTCCACCTTAAATTCTACATATAAGTGAACTCATATCAATTATTATTAGATATTATTTTATCCTAATTATTGATGTTTACTGATTGTCTTTTTAATTAAGTAGAAATGAGTTATTTTCTATACTTATGTTTTATGTGATTTGTTTTGTCAATATTGAATCCTAAGCTATTAGAATGTAGGTTAGAAACTTAACTAATTTAGAGGATTTGAATAATAAGTGTAAGCATTGGATTTTATTGAAAATGCAAATAATACAGTAGTAATTATGTCAAATAAACTATTAAATTAAGATTTGAAATTATTATATATGATAATAAGATATTTAACAAATTTTAGTGAGTGAATGTTTGAGTAGAAAATAAAATAATCATAATTAATTAATAAAAATAAAGGAGAATGCAAACCTCGATAGTTGCAAGATCAAATAAATACAATTTGAATGGCGTTACTTACCAAATCAAACCGGAATATTAATCCATTTAATTGATGATAATCTAGAAATAGTATAGATAAAATTGATTTAAGTATTTATTCTATTATTATTATTATTGATTTGTTTTTAAATTTATATAAATATAGTAAATATTTTAATTATTAGAAAGTGATGCATTGAACGAGGATTTCAAAATAGCATTATTAATTTAACTGTTGCAGTCTATATAATGCTAAAGTTATTTGTTTAAATGTAGATATAATGGAATTCTTAATAACATTAAGACAATTTGAAATTTTTGAAAGGAATACTATTATAAATTAATCAATACTGATATTTTATTATTCAAGTAATCTTGATAGATCTGAAATTCTAACTACACAGGTTTTATGACAAACATGTAATTAAGAGTAAAATGGACACCTTAATAATATTGAAATTGATGTATAAATACATAATATATAAAATTTAAATTTATCATTTTAACAATCAATGAAATTAGTTTGCCGTTTAAGACCATAGCCCAATAACACATCTTAAAGCACTGTAAACTCGAAAAAGGATGTGCGTACAAATATCTTTGCAGGCGTGCTATCTAATGAAAGTATGTTTTGAACCATAATAAGCACCCCAGACTCTTGTTGTAAGTTCACGTAATGCAATATCACAGAAACTGATCTTTGAGTATTTAAAGAATGATTCAGATATAATGAAACAACGATAATAGATAATTGAGAATTCTGATCTCTTCCAATTTGATTAGGTATTTGGCGAAAAGGCCAATCAATAATTGATTTACGATTAAGTGCTGGCGACTAAAGTAAACAATTTGATAACTGGTTCATCTGGCTCTTTGATTCTATTGGGAGGACCTGAGAGTGGTAAAAAGTATACTCTCAAAGGTGAGGAGAGAGGTCAGGAGAAGGGTTTAGCTGTGTTGATAGTAGAGAACATACTCAATTTAATTGAGAGTTCAAAATAGTTAAGAGGGAAGGGAAAACTAAACGTTTCAACATCATTGGTAAATAACCTCGAGACCATCGATTTAGTAGGTTCATCTAGAAGTTAAACAGTTAAATTTTCATAAATTAAGAGTGCAAGTGAATTTAAAAAAATGCTTAATTAGAGTTTATTCTAATATAAGTAATATGTCAAAGAGCATCCTGAGACAAAAAACAATCATATTTTTATTAAATATTTAATTGAATAGGATAAGTAGGAAGTAGCTTAGTTGCACTTGGTTCTTTTCAATGAATTTCGAAGAGTTACTTAGGATGCTAAGGATTTTCAAGGGAAATTGAAATAATTGTTAGTATCTCAATAGGATTTCTAAGAAAAAGAGTTGGATAGTAAATCGTTGCTGTAACTCTATTTATCTTTGAGAGAGACCAAATTCAATAACATCACTGTTTTATTTTGTGTTTCATAAGTTTAACAGGATCATATCACCGCTTATATGACCTTGCAATTTGCTGAGGATTTAAGACAGACAATAAAGCCATCAACTCAAAGAATAGCCTTGTCACAGTTGGAGAATCAATCAATAAAATCAAAATCACAGTAGGGAAGAGAGAATTTAACTCAGTAATTTGGATCAAAGGGATCTTTAGAGGAAAAGTTTGATTAGCCATCAAGGATTGTACGACCAGGAGGATCTGATCAGTTAATTAGATTTGGATCTGATTAGAATTTGAGGCCAGGATCAGATTAAACAGTTTTGCATCAGTCAAAAATATATAGTACGATAGACAGATAACCGAGTAGACAAGAGGCGAATTTTTCGAAGCAATTCTAAGAACTCAAGGAGTTGTTAAAGGAGAAGGAAGTGATGGAGGATTGCAAGTAATTATAAATGAATATAGTTATTAGAGTGTAGAGGTTTGAAAAGGAACTAAAGAATTTGTATGAGGAGAATTCAAGATTGCAGAGTAAGGTTTATTAATAAGAGGATTCCATAAGATAGAGGGATCTGTTAATTTAATAGTTGGAATAGCATATGGACGATAATAAGAAGCAGATGGAAGTTGAACATCAAATGTTTACTTAGGCAAAGTAGAAGGAGAATATATATGAGTAAAATTAAGAAGAATTGAATGAAGCAGTAGCATAATTGAATCAGTAATTGAGATATTGTAATGATGAATCCTAATTATAAAAATAAAAAATAAGAGTATTGGAAAATGATATTGAAATGTTGAAAGAGCAAGAGTTTAAGAATGTGAAACATTATGAAAAGAGAGAAGATGAATTTATGGGTCTGATCCAGTAGGAATAGGAGCGTAACAAATAACTGTATTAAGAATTGGATTACTTTGCGATAGAACTCAAGAATAGAGAATAATAATTGTCAGCCAGTGATGAAAATATTAAGACTTTAAATAAAGTGATTGAGGAGTAATCAAAGAGAATAGAGGAGGAGAAGTAGAAGAACAAGGAGTTGTGTGAGAGTGTTAACAGTCATAAGTAAAAATAAGAAGAGGCTGTTAGAGATATAAATTAAATTGAATAGAGATTCACTAGATTGAAGGCTAAATTGGAAACAGAGAATCAGCAGTTAAAATAAGATAAGGAGAAATATCTATAAAAGTATAAGGAGAAATTAAAGAAATATAAAAGTCAGTTGAAATAGTTTGAGTAAGAGAATGGATAAATGAAGATGGAAAGAGTTAAGTTATAGACAGAAAATGATTAATTGTATGGAATCTCAAAACAATTAGAGACATAATTGGGTAGAGTACATAGTGAAACGACAGAGAGAATAGGTGGTTCATATGATGCATATGAATAGGATAAACTTAGACAGCAAAACTACCAGTTAAGTTCTCAACTAAAATAGGCAGACTATGAAGTAAATCTAATTAGTATATTATTAGATTAAATAATTATCACTTTAACTGAACAATGCTATTTAGTAGTTGGAATAAACTAATGTTGAATACGATCGTATTTTGGAGGAGAATTAGAAATTACAAAAATTATTGGATGACAAATAATCTGAAGCCAAGAAAAACGAGTTTATGATTGAAAAAGTTGTGGAACTTAGTGATAAACAATTGGATGACTTAGAATCAAAGTTCAACAAATTAACTGCTTAAATTAATGCGTTATAACATGAGAAGAAATCACTGCAATTGGAGAATCAGAATTTGAAGAATCAATTAGAATAGATGGATGGAAATGACCTAGTCTTGGAGAAAAGAATAGTGAAATTAAGAAAAGAGAATAAGGATCTAAGTAATTAAATCAAATAGTTAAACTAAAACATGAAGGAAATGATTGTTGAAAAACACTCAGAAATGAGAAATACATCCTTGCGTTAAAGTAGATATAGTAACAAACTGTTAAGTCAGAATTAATCCTATAGATCTTAGAGATTAATGGATTATGAAGATGATGATGTGATTTGATTTATATAAATATACTTATGTTTTTATGTATCGAATATATATGATAATTCAATAATTTCTACTCTATCCCACTCTTTGTTAGGATGTACGAACATCTTGATTTTATTTCTCCAATCTCTTTTGTTCTTCTTGTAAATCTTATAATTATCTTTATGATTATGAATAATCTCTTTCTAATTACTAGAATCTCTTCTACCAGGTTTCTATTTCATTCGAGTAGTGGACTGTTCTTTCCTAGATTTGTATTTCAATTGATTCCTATTATTAGTGAATTTGATTCTCCAATTCAGAAATCTCTCTGTCTCTATCCTAAATCATCTGTTGCAATTAAGCTTTCTTCGATTCCAATTCCCTTAATCTGGTGTCATCAATAACTTCGATGGCATCTGGTTCAGTAGGGCCTGGTCCTTTTCTCAATTGAATTTGCAATTCCAAAATCTGTCTCTCTAAAGTTGCACACTTTAATCTCCAAGGAGCTTCGATTTCTATTGGAATAATTTAGATTGTTACCGTCCATATTTATGACTTAAGTGGGTTTCTCTTAGTAGACAGTAGGTAACACATTGGGTTTCGCTTATATAGTTTATGGTACATAATTGACTTAGGGTGGAAGTGGAAATTATGGTTAGAATTGCAATGGCTGTTAAACAATTGGTTAGGTTGGTGGTTGCATAGGATATGCCTATCTTTGAGCAATAACTGGTTAATTAGTATTGGGTAGTATGATATTATATTGATTTTGGTTGGGTTGTTGGAAGAATGCTGGATTTCGATTATCGTTGATCATTTGAGAGTGTATTGGCTGAATATAAATATTATTACAAATATATAATTAAATAAATCTTCTATGAGTATTCATTTTTAGTATATTTTTCATATATCCGCACAACAATTATTACACTAAGCCTTTTTTTGATTAGTTTGGTTTTGTTCCCCATAATATTCAATAAACTCTTCACTATTTGAATTATTCATCTATTAGTGCTGTTATTTGATTACCTTTTAGAACTACTTCTTGGGTATGGCCTGCTGACTTACAATTTTGCTAGTTGACATGGAACTATTGGCATTATTTACATATTTGATCCCATATTATTCATTAACTAGGTTGGGATCCTCCATGGCCATCTAGTATATTTGATGAGCCAATTCCATGAATGCATTTTCTACATTGGATCCTTGCAGGGCTGAACATTCGGTGTAGAGACATTCGTTTTCTTAGGCATATTGGGCTGCTTCATAGGATTCTACTTCTCTATGATTCTGAAGGTCGGTCTTGTTGCCAATAAGTAGAAATTTCATCCTACTATTGCCGTTGTCAAGAGCCTCACGATGCCAGTTGCGAATGTTTTCAAAGGTCTCTCGTCTTGTAATGTCATAAACCATGATTGCACCTGCTGCTGCTCTGTAATACAAACGCGTCACACTCTTGAAACTCTCTTGTCCAGACTTTTCATTAAGGATCTTTTTACTGTATCCCACATCTGCAATTTAATGACATGATCATTCACTTAGATATATTTGATATTGAATTCAACTCCAATAGTCAAATTATAGTCATCACAAAAACGCTTCTCCACAAATTACTTAAGTAGCGATGTCTTACCAACAGCTACGAAGATTCAGTGTATCATAAATACCGATATCTCCAATTAAAATAAATTTGAATAACAGACTTGCTTCATTCTCATCAATATTGTTTTAAAACATTATTATTATTTAAACATTGAATTTGAATTATCACTCTCTATATGTATAGATATAAATATATATATATATAAAAGCTATCATTATTGAGGGTTGGGATCTGATGAAGGAGCTTGCTTGACAAAATTGTTTAAAAACCCTTACTAAGCCAACCCTTATCCGAAGGCTTGAGTAGCAAGTCCTAACTTGACTGGCTGCTGATTGGCTTAAACATCTTGGATCATCGATTTGTACTATTATTGTTATTGGTCTGTCATTTCCACTTGAAGTTATGGGAATACATTTTGCATCGGTTATGACATTAGAATGTTATTCTTTTGATCTAATTGAATAGATAGACAATAATATTTACATGAAGGAGGCTTTGGAGGAATCTTCATCAGTTCCATATACTCTACTAATTAGTCAGGCAACTCAGCCAACACTTCCTTAGATAAAAGAGCTGGATCATGTTTGAATTCATTGAATGGTACAAATTGCACTAAATCTCTTATGGCCTTGAACCCTTTGCTATTCACCATGCTCTTGTCATCATTGTCAAGAATGTTCATCTTCTTGAAATCTGCATTGCCTATCCCTACAATAATAATGGATAATGGTAAATGGGAAGAAGCAACAACATCATCGATTGATGCTTGTAAGTCATCAGTTTGACCATCTGTTAAAATCATTAAAATCAAGTAGTTCTCACTCCCTTTATCCTTAACTTCTTAAGCCATCTCCATAGCCTTTGCCAACACTGGATGTATGTAGGTAGGTCCATCTAATTGCATTTTCTAAACTGAATTCTTATACACTTAGACTATGCCATCTAATCCATACACTCTAAAAATATTAATAGAATAATTACTCAGGATCATCTGGGTTATCATTCAAAGGAAAGATGTGCAAAGTTTAATTTGTGTTCAGTACATTGAATTTTGGCTTGCATCCAAAACCATACACTGGCACCTTCTTATCGTAATCGTAATTAATTAAGATTTCCACTACGCTTGTGATTGCTTATAAATATTAACTGGGATTCCCATTTTCTGGCATATAATGCAATGAATTCTTTTCTTTGGGGTTACCATTCGATGCTGTAAAATCAATTGCCAGAATCAAATTCAATTATTACCCACCCTAACGATAATCTAAGAAAGTATGTTTCTATTTTAAAATGAAATTGTCGAAGTTTATTGTTCCTGCAGGGGAATTGTTCTTTTATTTATTTCTAAACTCCTTTAAAAATGGCTTATTCTATTAGAAGGCCTCTCTGAGTTCTTCGATACAAAAAGAAGTTTCTCCCAAATATAGATGTTTTCCTGAGGTTCTATAATCCCAAAGTTCAACCTTTATTGGCATTTAATAATCCCCATTACACAGTCTTTATGCTTTACATTAGATTGGTTTCCATGTAGGATTTGAGGAGTCTTTTATGAATTCACTTTCATAAACCAAGACTGGATTGCTATCATCTTTTCTCAATCTGTAAAATCTCAAGAATGGACAAGCTCCATGCCAAAACCAAAATCTGGTGTCAGGTAAATTCTTGCCAGAGACTTAGATTTCCACTTCATCATTGCATTGCTTGACTTAATCAGCCTTAACTATAATCTTGCCACTTTTTTTTTTTTATGAATTAAAGAGATCTGCCATCAAAATTTAGTCTTTTGATCCAGCTATTTCTGCCACTGTAGTTTCAGCAAATCCTATTATCTATAATTGTTATTTTTCGCAATACTTTTGATTGATTTTGACTAACAAAATGGTGCACTTCTAACTTAAGGTGTTATTGTGCTTCAAATTGATATTCAATTTAAAATGAAGTAGCAAAATTTGGATTTAAATTATTCCAAATTAATTCGGTTTAACCAATTTTAATCCCTATTTTATTATTTAAAGATCATTACATTTCTTTTAATTATTTTATGAATACAGAACCACAAATGGATCACTCACACTAACTGTATCCAAGTCATCCAATTGACGACAACTTATAAATAATTCCAACTTCTAAATTGATTCCTAAAATTGACATTACTCTAATTGTGTTGACATTTTAATTTAATTTATATTGAGAAATCAATTGATCAAATTTAATTTATACATTTTAATTAAATGGTAATAATCAGTATAATTTTATAAATAACTAAAACTGATTTCTATCATTATATATGTATATGAATTATATAAATTATATAAATATAATTAAATCTCACTTATTTTACAGTCTATTAATTACTATACACGTCATATATCAAATATTCATCCAATTGGTGTCAATGAAAATTTTACATAAAAAATAACTGATGTGTTTTTATCTATCTCTAAATTAAACAAAATTAAGAGGTTGAGGGTTCTATTAGATAGATATGAAAGAGAAAATAAATTTAAATTAAACCCATCAGATTGTGTTCGGAATTCAATCATATTTATAGAGATAATTCGAATTATTTCTTTAATATTAATAACCATGGCAATTATCTTAACACTGACAATCCTCTCGATCGCTTATTCACAAAAGAAGACAGCCATCTGTGATATTGAGTAATACTTTGAGTTTGATCAAAATGAAAATATTCTTGATCACACAACAATAAATTAGACTGATATTATGCTTACTAATTCCAATATCTACCTATTGGATGAAAACCTGTTGGTGCTTAATTCCATTAAAACTCCAGGTAGCCAAGATTATGAGTGCAATAGAGTGACTACTCATCCACTTCATCTAATATTTTTTTTAGCCTGCTAATCTCAACAATAAGGTGGCAATCCTATCCTGTATGCATATAAAGCAAATGGACTCAATAAGTACGAGTTATTCGGAGATGCAATTTACCTGCCCTCAATAAAGGAGAAGTTTGATAAGATGACGATTGTGGGCAATAGTTTGCTCATTCCACTGAGTGACAAGATACTTACTTTCACAACAGTTATTTCGAGCACTTCATGGTATTTAAAAACTACTTCATATACTATGGATGCATAATTCCTGAATGTACCCACTCTAAACATCACAAGCTTTGATATATATTCTTATGTCAAAGATGTCCAAACAAATTTTAGGATCTTAATTTCTGACTTTGAAAATGGTGTTTATTGGATTGAAGCCATTCTAAAATCAAACAATATTGTACCATATAACAGTGGAAAAATCAATGTTAAGAATTTCTATTTTCTAAATTCTGCCAAATTCAGATCAGTGGTAATTTTGAATGCTACTGACAGCAGCACACTTTTTGTTCTATAAACTTATGGTGACGGTAGTTTCATGTTTGAAAACTCATTTACAAGTAGTTAGATTTATTTCTATTCCACATTAAACAAGTACAAAGATTGGAATCCAATTTCATCTATTAGAAACAACTAGAATGCCATCTTAATCCCATATCAAAATTATCAAAAGGTGGTTGTCATTAATTTATTCAACATAAGATCCTTGAAGGAGAATGAATTGATGGTTGAACCCAACGACTTGTTAATTTCAGCTTCGATTGATGACTTAATCTTATACTTTATTTCTGGAAATAGATTAGTCTTTAGAAGCGATGTGGATGCTTTGACAAGATGTACTCTAATGAATTACTAAGAAGAGTGATTGTTATTATGTATAAATAGCATATTACCATCATCATTTCAATGCATTAATTATATTAGGATCCTTATTCTCATGGGATCTATCTCAAGATATAACCAATAAACCATGTTCTAAAGATTCATCAATAGATTACTTCTATTCTGGTGTATTCTGTTGTGTTTAATCAATTTATTTTTACTTTGTGTTCAATAATCATTTAAATTAATTTAATAAGAAAACTTGAGATTTATGCTTCTTTATGAAGAAATGCGTCATTCTGACTCTGATAAGTGTTTTCCCTTTAATATATATCTTTTTAATATAAATTAAATATGTAAATTTTAAAGAAATTCACAAATACCAAGACAACCAAGATAGGACTAATTGTGGCATTGGGTTTGAGTGGAGTTGCATTGAGCTATCACTTTTACGATAAAAGGAAATAATGTTGCAAATCTGCCAACCAAGCCCCACCTCTTCTTTAAAATCCAACCTAAAATTAAAATGAATTTGGATAGAACAGATTTTTAACATAGGCAGGGGCCATTTAAAGATGGCGTCAAATCAAAGAAGGAAGTATCTCATACAAAGTGGATTTATTATTGAAAAGAGGTATTCATATAATAATGATAATGTGTAGGTGAATCATATAGTGGGTTGGTCGCATTAGACTTTGAAGTAATTGATAATTCAAAAGATTTGTATGTCGATTTCAAAGGTAGTAAAGTTGTTAGTTTGTATGTTAATGGAAATAAGATTAATGATTTGGATTGGAATGGATTGTTTATCAGAATACCCAAAGAATACTTGAGTACATCTCAAAAGAATAGAGTGAACATCTAATTTGATTAGAATTACGCTAAAGATGGATGTGGATTACATGGCTTTATTGATAAGGATGGCAAACAATACTTGTATAGTTAATGTGAGTCTTACTTCACAAATAGATTGTATAAGATTGTATTAATGATTTAGTTTCCCTTGCATGGATCAACCAGATTTGAAGGCCAAATTGAGATTCACAGCAGTGTGTCCAAAGGAATGGGTAGTGATTTCAAATGAAAATGCTGATCAAAAGGAATAGTTTAATGTTGCTTAGGCAACCAATATCATTACCACATATCATCCTTAAGAAGTGGTGTAGAGTCAACTCCAAAATTTCGAGAACTCAGATTCATATAATTTTTGGGTGTTTGGTGAAACCAAAACATTGCCAACCTATTTATTTGCATTGGTGGCTGGAGAATATTGGTCAATCAAATTTTAAGGAGAAGACGGTGATACACCATAGACTATTTATTGCAGAGAAAGCTTAAAAGAACATATGATGGGTTTAAAGGATTTCATTTTTGAAGTCACTAAGAAAAGTATGAAATTCTATGAGGATTTCTTTGGAGTCAAGTATTAATTCAACAAATACGATTCAGTGTTTGTTAATGAATACAATTGGGGTGCAATGGAAAACCCTGGATGTGTGACATTTAATGATTTCTACGTTTTCAAAGAGAAGAAACCAGCAACTAGTTATACATAATTTGCAAATACAATTGCTCATGAAATGGCACACCATTGGTTTGGAGACTTTGTAACAATGAAGTGGTGGAATGACTTGTGGTTAAATGAAAGTTATGCTGATTTCATTTCACACTTTTGTTTGCAAAACATTCATATTGAATCCATCAAATTATCTAGTATTCCTGTGATGTTCAATCAAAGAAAGGGATGGGGATACAGAGAAGATTAAATGCTTACTACACATCCAATTGCAGGTGAAGTTATCAATACTGAAGTAGCTGAGAATATTTTTGATGGAATTACATATTCCAAAGGAGCTTCCGTCATGAAATAATTATTGTGCATTATGGGAGCAGATAAATTTGGAGAGGCTTGTGGAAACTATTTTAGAAAATTCGGATGGAAGAATGCTGTTTTATAAGATTTAATCGACCATTTATAAGAGAAATTTGATAATCCAGAATTCACATTGTCTTATTGGAAATAACAATGGATTGAAACTGCTGGTATGAATGAAATTGAACCAGTATGGGATCAAACTGATAGATCTCATCAAGCTAAATTAACTGTATTTTAAAGACCTGCTTTAAGTCAATTCCCCACTTTGAGAATTCACAAAATTAAAATAGGATTATTCCATGATAATGGCATTGATTCTATTGATGCAGTGCTCCAAGCAACAGAGGAGAATGTTATCCCTTATGATGGCAGTAAGGGATATAGAGCAATATTGTTGAATTTCGAAGATTAATCTTTTGTGAAGGTACTCCTTGATCAAGAGTCCACAAAATACTTCAGTTAAAATTTACATGCAGTCTAAGATATCCTAACAAGAACTTTGATTTACAGAGCTCTTTTTGATAGTGTGAGAGACGGTAAAATATGCTCAGAGGAGTACGTTGATTTCCTGTTGGCCTAATTACCCAGAGAGACTTCAGATGAAATTTTGAATACCTAATTGATGTTTTTATAAGGTGCAATCGGATCTATGACACCAAGAAAGTAATTTATTTTTATTATAATAATTATAGATTCAAGAAGATTCTTGGCAAGAGAGTCTTTTCATTCCTAATAGCTGAATTAGTCAAAGTTAGTGGAAATGCAGAATTAGAAAATAGATTGATTTTATTAAGGAACAATTTAGTATCATTTGCATATGATAACTCTTGTGTTGATGAACTCGTGGATTGGTTCTAAGGTTAAAATAATAATCAATTATAATAAATTCAATGCACAAAGGACAATAAGTGGGCAATTGTTAAGTTAGTTTATGGATCTAAAAAATATGACGAATAACCTGAATTGAGACAATAATTACTAGAAAAGATGTTGGAACTTGATAATTCTGATGCAGCCACTAGAGCCCAATTGAAATGTTAGGCACTTAAGGCAAATGAATAAGAGAGGGCAGCCCTTTGGTAAAAGTTCGTTGATCCAGACAATAAGGAATCAGTGAAATTGATCGCAGAATCAATGGCTGGATTCAATAATGAAAGACGTTATCTTAGTTTGGAACCCTATTAAGAAAAGTTCTTTGAAGTCATCGTTCAAATCTTCCAAACTAGAAGCAACGATTTCAGTAAGACCTTCTATGATTACCTGTTCCCAATCACTGATGATTTGGCCAGTCTTTGCAATGTATTATTTGTATTTACGAATTTAGAAAATCGAGAAGTTGAGAGCTGCTGTTCCTGAAAATTTGATCACCCTCAAAATGCAAGTGGATAAATCACTTGATTCAATTAAGAGGTAAGTGAAGTAGTTTGAGTGTTTCTGTAACCAAGCCAAATTAGCCACCCAATAGGTATTAGAAAATGATGCATGAGATATAACAGATACAATAATATTAAAATATAATTAATATGAATACCTCGTTTGAATAAATAAACAAATCTCCATTGAATCATTCTGTTTCCAAATAGCTTTACTCTTTCCCCAAAGCCAATCGATTCAAAGAATTCAAGGATACAGCGTACTTTCCCATTACCATTTATCTAGATGTCCAAACATTTACACGCTCCCAAGTATGATGAGCAAACGTGGAGCTGGAATTGGATATGGATAGAAATCAGACTTGATCTAAGAAAGCATTACACCAGGCCCAAATAATTATTAAATCAAGACAACTCTCAATACAAGCAATGGTTGGACTATGCCTGTAGGCAGAGATGTATTCATCATTTAAACATTCCAAAGAAAAGCAATAAATATGAAGGTATCTTTCTTGGTTTAATTCAAAAAACCCCAGGACCAGGACAATATGAGTTCCATGATTCTAAGTCTCCAATCAAATACTCTATGAGAATGAGGACTGAAAGTCATAGGGAAAAAGACAGGAAACCTGGACCGTAAATATATTGTTCTACTATTATTAGTGGAGAATACAATTTGCCAGAAGCACTAACTGAAAATGGAAAATATTAAATTAGCAAGTTTAGAGAGTAAATTTAATTTAAAAACCAATAGTTCTGGTGCAATCATTCTCTCTCCACCCAAAGCCTTGAGTTCTCGTTTCTCTCCTGCTCATGAACGCACTCCAGGACCAGGATAATATCAACACAAAGGAGACATCGATCCCAAAGGACTTTATTATTGTTCCAAATTTGCAGACACAAAATCTACAGTCTTCACTAAGGCAAAAAGAGAACTAACTAAAATTAGAATGGAATCTCCTGGTCCCGGAGCCTATAAATTGCCATCAGAATTCGGGTATTTATTCATTTTAAACATAGTTTTTATGAAAAATCGATTAAATGAAACTTATATAAATAGTTAATATATATCAACATTATATAAATTTTATATGTATTAAATTTACAAAATTCTAGATATAACTTTCAATTTTCATGAAAATCTTAAAAATATGATCAGTAATCTAAATGAGAATAAGAGAATCTCAACAGAAGAGATATTATATTTAGATGTAAGAATCAATTAACAATGCAATTACGTCATTCTATAAGCATTTTCATTTCAATAAGTATTTATTATTTAATCAAAATCTCTTTATTGTTACTTGCTGTTCTTTAAAATACGTATAATTTTGAAACAGATTTTAAATTGTTTCCTATCTGAGTAAAAGTGAATTCTCTTGTATCAATTCATCTTATGAATCATGATCAGAGGATATCTCCCGAATAAAGTCTTCATCTGATGATTTCATTAATTTGAATGGAGAAGGCAACTACTTCTCATGCAACCCTTTCCATGGGAATCCTGAAAACCATGGATGACCTTAGATCTCTTCAATACCACTATACCCTAAACGAGCCTAAGGTTTTCTCTGTAACAATTGATTAATAAAATCAGCTGCTTCCCATGACCAATTAGGAGGAACATCTTGTTTCTTGAGTGAGACCTGTTTGGCAATAATAGCATCTCTAATATCTCTACGACTCTTGCCTAAATATGGTCGTTTTCCCATCATAAATTCATAAGCCATAACTCCTAATGCGAAATGATCCACTCCAAAACTATGATTTTATCTAAACATGACTTCAGGTGCTATTTTATAAATAACTTATGTAAATACCCATATATCCAGGAGTGCCACTAGTCTCTTAAGAATTCTCGGGTTTCACTATCCTTGCAATTCCGAAATCTGTCAATCTGGGATACCCTTTCTTGTCTAGAACAATATTCTCAGGTTTAATGTCTCTATGAATAATCCCATTTCTATGTAGATACTCTAAAGCCAATAGCATACTTGCAATCAAGAACTCTATCAATAATCAAATCATTTATCTTACTTGTATGTTATTCTGAAAACCTACGCATCTTGCCAATATGAAATCTAAGATCACCACCTGTTAATAAATCCATTACTAGATACAGATTTTCTCTATCTTGAAAGGCATAATGAATATTTGCAATAAAAGGATGTTTAAGTTATGACAGTAGAATACGTTCATTCATCACTGAATTGACAGATTTTTTGGCCAAAACCCTATTAGCTTAAATTAACTTACTTGGCTTTACTCATCTCTTTCATAGCAAATAGCTTATGCGATTTAATCATTTCCACTCTCCATACTTTCCCAAATCCTCCTTTTCCAAGAACATAATGAAATTTAAAATTACTCCTTCCAATTTCCGCATCGGTAGTGGGCAATCTTAAAGAATATTATTCCTCAATAAGTCTTGAATTAGGTCTGGAATATATAGAGTTCCTAAAACTTCGTTTTTCTTGGGATTTTGGAGCTTGGAAAAGCTTCGGTTACTAATCTAACTATAATTGAAATGATTTGCGAGGCGGTTATCTTAATTGAGGACTAGCACTCTTCTTGTTGCTGGAGAACTCATCTGGTCTTTTTCGTGTTTAACTAAAAGAACCGTCTAGTTGGAAGCAAAGATTTGTTTTCCACATTTTTGGTTATTCCTTAGGAGATGTTGGAGTTGAAACTGGAATTGGGTTATTAAATGAAGGTAATTTGGAATGGCGAGAAGTTAGAATTGATTGATTTTGTTTTACGCGATAGAAACTTGTATCTACAGCGTAATTTTGTATAATATTTCTTTGGCCAATCGAATTCTTCATTTTAATTTATTTAATATATGCAATCACAACTATTCCATAGAAAATCACATTCATGATCTATCATACATGAAAATTATCAAGAAATTCAATGGCAGAATAAAAACACTGAGAATTATTGAGTAGATAAATTTCAAGAAGGATGACATTTAATTATAATTTATGATTCCTTGTTGTTATCTATATCTATTCAAAATTCACTAAGAATAGGAATACAACAAGCTAAGAACATTAGTCTAATTGCCTATTTTAATATAAGAGAATGATATTATTTATGTTAATAAAACAACCTAATTACTTCATAATGTTCTTTTTATTTTAACAATTAAGATATCAGTTTAAATAGATAGTTTAGTGTTTATTTATAATTATAGAATAGCGGTATCAATTAAAATTTCATTTGAATATAAAATATGAAATTAGAGGATTGAATAGTTTTTGTTTATATAAATAGAAATCATAAAAACTTTTTATAAATTTTTAACTCTTAAGGCATTGCTCCAATACTTTAATCACTTTTTTCAATGTTTTTCACATAATTACTTGAATTAGTGTATCTATGACTTGTGTTATGATGAGAACTAGTTTTTCTATGTTAGGATGGAGTCGAAAGTCCTATTATTTCTTAATGCAATTTTTGCATCACTTTAATGGATTATATGAGTTCTCCTTCATTGTCTCCAATTCTGGTTGTTAAGATTTTGAGTTTTTGATAGATGCTTTGAGGATCCACTTATTTATTGTTGACTGCTGCTATTACATCCTTTTCTAGTTTCAAAACATTCTTTTGAACCATTTTAAAGTAGGATTGAATAATCTATACAGAGGCCTATTCTTCAGTTTCTTGTATTAGACCTGTAGAACTTCTTTTGTGTCTGGAGTTATCCGATATTTCTTTAGAAGTATTTGAACTATCTTTAGCAATATCTTTTAAAAACTAGTTCTCTTTTTCTTTAATAATTTCATTATATTTTGGAGTTGATAGTTTCTTTTCTTCTGGATAATATTATTTATTCTCAAATATTTTGTCAGTTTTACTTTGCTATTACAATTATTATTAATATTATTATTATTGTTGTTAAACTAGTTGTGGTTAGACAGGTTTTTTGTTTTCAGTTTATTGAAAGAGTAACTGTGATGCAATAGTTGTTGGAGTTGCAACAGGTGTATTGGAATTGGGTTTAAAGAAATCATTAATTTTATTTTATTAAATATTTGATGTATTAGCTTAGGTTTTAGCCTTGCCTTTAAAATATTTAATTTAATACATTCAATTGCGACTTCTTATTAAGGTATTTAATAAGATTACTTTTTTTAATGATTTGATTAGGTAGGCTTTGACATTTGCTTACTGGGAGATATTCTTTCACTTCCTAAATTAGGTTTCTTTTTATTGAACTGAGAATGATTAAATGCATTTTAAGGGTTGTTATGATTAGTCTATACAGAGAGCATTTCACCAATTTTTGAGGCATTCTTATTATTTGGTTCAGATACTTCTTAAAATTAATAAGCATTGGATTGTCTTCTTCCCAAGATAGCATCCTATTGATTCTTCTAGAGTGAGAATTGACTCTAGTTTGAATATGAAACTTACTTCGTTAAGTACTTCTTTTTCCATTTCACTTGAATCGGTGATTAGATATAATTCATTATTTTCTATCAACAAATTCTTGATATCATAAGTGTGTGTCAATTTACGACATTTTGGACATTGGATTCTAAATTTATTCTAGATTTGACTATTGTTTAGATTGAAATGAGATACCTTGTATTTTCTTAGATTTGTATATTGACTCCGCATTTCATGCACATGGAATGTGAACATATCAATTGGATTGGATTTTAAGCAGTCATTTTGCATAGCTGACAAATAGTAGATGAGTTTGAACTTTTATTTAGCATTAACTGATTATTATATTTTAATATTAATATATTGTAATGTGATCATTATGACTTGGTGATTTCTGTTTTTAAGCCATCGAATGAATCAACAGGAACATGTTGAGCAAGTGTATAATATTTGCCTTTTCCATCATCTTCCTCCTTCTTCTTTCTTTGTAATCTGACTCTGATTCTTCTTGGGAGATTTCTGATTCCTCTAGCCCACACTGCCTCATTCAAAGATGGATCAATTCTGACATCTTCTGTAAGCATATTCTTTCTTGCTGACAAATTAACTCATTTTCATACCGAAATTAACAATATATGAGACTGCTCTTGGGGCTTTTCTCTTAAATGTTTCCTTGTGAACACCCTTATGAAGATTGATTGTGTAATCTCTGCTCACTTCACCTAATGGATTTGGCTTTCCCTTCTCCTTCTTTACCATTTCAAATAAATAATTTATTTAATATCTTTAATCAAAAAAATATATGAAAAAAAGTTAATTAATCTCACAATTGCTACTTCACCCTTATAGGTCTCATATTACTATTCTTACGTGATTGCAATCTATAATATTCCAAACATATACTATAGATTCATACTATTGTTCTGACTCTGCAATTTCTGCATGTCATCATCAATATATCTATATCCTAGAAATATTTCTTGTTGCTCTTAATTTTGATGATGCGAATACCGTTCATCATTCTCATGACAGACCTTTCATACTGAGCAAACGTACCTTTTTTAGTACTGATTTCAAATATAAATTTCTACGTTTTAAATGCATTATTGCTTATAATTGATTCTAAGTATATGCCTTAATGTGTTGTGGTTATCCTGGAATTCCATTCAATTTTATACGCAAATGGGCAACATTTACTGATTATTGCACTCTTGCATTTCCAATAAATACTCTCTGAGATTACTCCATCTCAACATCACAACCCTTGCTTTTCTCTCGTTTCTTATTTATTAACTAATTGCTGAAAACAAATTTTTGTTGTATTGAAGTTCGAAGTGGAGTAGTCTGATGAATTGAAGGATGCACTCTGAGTGGTGAAAGTTGAGGACTCTTTAAGTATACCTTCTTTAAACATAGCCTATCTGATGGTGAAGTTTTTGTTATGCTTGAAACCTAAGTGACTTGTTTTCTTTCGCCATCATCAGACTCCATTGATTATTCAATATCCCAACCTTTAAGTTAATCATTCTATTTATACATATAATTATATTCTTAAATCATATTGAATGCAGATAATATTAATTGAATAACAAAGGTTTATAAATTGGATATTTTAAATAATAACAAGGGAGGGAATTAAAAAGAATGGCTACCAATAAAACATTTAGTATGGTATTAGCAATGACTCTCAATGGAGGCATAGGGTATTAGAATAGATTGCCTTGGAAATTAAAGGAAGATCTTCAGAGATTCAAAAAGATCACAACAGGCGGGATTGTGATAATGGGAAGAAAGACATTTGAATCAATGAACTCTAAGCCTCTACCCAACAGAGTAAATGTAGTGATTTCAAAAAATATGAAATCGTCTAATGAAGTCCAAGTGTTTCCTAGAATAGATGAGGCATTACAATTTTACAATACATCTCATCAGAGATTATATTTAATAGGAGGGAAGGGAATCTTTGAAGAAGGTTTAGCGACTGATAAATGTTCAGACGTTCATTTGACTAGAATAGGAGTAGAAACTAAATGTGATGTGTATTTGAACAGAAATATTTTCTCAAAATTTTAAGTGAATAAGACAAGTCAGACTAAGAGTGAAAATGGAATCAACTATGATTATCAACATTTAATTAATAGGAATTCTCAGGAACAATCATACATAGATGAAGAACATTAGGAAAATCAATATTTAGATATGATTACAAAAATAATGAAAGAGGGAGTATAAAAGGATGATAGGACTGGAGTAGGTACGATATCTATTTTTGGGTAAACTATGAGATTTAATTTGGCGTAATCCTTTCCTTTGTTAACAACTAAGAAAGTATTCTTTCGAGGAGTTGTAGAGGAATTGTTATGGTTTTTAAGAGGGAATACAAATGGTAAATTGCTTTTGGATAAGGGAGTTAAGATATGGGAAGGAAATGGTACCAGAGAATATTTGGATAGCATTGGATTATCACATAGATAGGAACATGATTTGGGACCAGTCTATGGATTTTAATGGAGACATTTTGGGGCTAAATATAAGGATTGTCAGAGTGAGTATTCTAATTAAGGAGTGGATTAAGTGAAGGAGATTATATAATTACTGAAAAACAATCCAGATAGTCGAAGAATTATATTATCAGCTTGGAATCCAAGTGATTTAAAATAAATGGCATTGCCACCATGTCATGTGATGTCATAATTCTTTGTGGCAAATGGCAAATTGAGTTGCATGATGTATTAGAGATCTTGTGACTTTGGTTTGGGAATTCCCTTCAATATTGCTAGTTATGCATTGCTCACTTACATGTTAGCTAAGGAATGTAATTTGAATTTGGGAGAATTTGTTCATGTTTTAGGAGATACTCATATTTATAGCAATCATGTGGAGGCCTTAAAGAGGTAAGTTGAGAGGGTACCTTATCCTTTCCCACTTCTGAAAATTAAGGGGAATAAGAGTTTGTTTGATTACACTTATGATGATTTTGAATTGGTTGGATATAATGCTCATGATAAAATAGAAATGAAAATGGCTGTTTGATTTTTACAATTTATCCTTAAAATTTTTATTACAATTCAATTTAATTTAAACTAATTTTTCAATTTCCTACTTAATCCCTTATAATGTAAATTAACTAATTGCCATCAAATTGTAAGGATAGATTAGCAGATCTGGAAGCTCGGATTCTGAAGAAGCCTAAAGTTGAAATATTGGAGGCTTTCCAAAGAGGAGATTCTTTTGAGGTTTTTTCTACTGAAAAGGAGCGCAAATTGCCTACTAAATAATTATCTTTACAAGGGACTCCTCGTAAGAGTTCTAGTGATCAAACACTCTTTCGATAATTATAAATTACGTAGTTTACAAAGAATATGTAGAGGAAATAGAATTATAATAATAATTTTGATTTAAATGTGGATGAATTATAAAATGCTGAGTAGACATTGAAAGAGAAATTAAATGCTATAGCTATATAGGATCTCCGCATAAAGGAATTGGAAGCAAGAGTTACTGAGTTGAATTAAGAATTATAAGTACGATAATGTAATAATCAATAGGAATAAAAGGAGCAACAGTTCAAAAGTGAGAATGCAATAAGATAGTTTGTCATAGAAGTGGATTAATATGAGAGAATGCAAATGATAATGGAGATCGAGAAAAATAAAGAGAAACTAGGAGAATACTCATATTAGAGAGAGAAGACTTAGATTCAGGAAGTGTGGGTGGATGGAAAGGAAATAAAGCAAATCAAAGAGAAGGTTAAGTTAATTGAAAATCAGAAAGAAGAAATAGAGAATAAAAAAAAATAATTTTAGTTTCAATCTTCTTCATAATATCTGAAATATGTGTTATTATCTAAAGAATAATAACTATTATAAGAGTAATTAAGTAGGTTAGAAAATGAAAGACAAATCTTTATAAAATAATTAAGGAGATAATATGATGAAGAACATGCTCGATTCAAGAAGATTAATGAGTATAGAACAATAGGAGAAAGATATGTGCTATTATAATTACTAGGTAGAGGAGGCTTTAGTGAAGTATATAAGGTATGAATTTGTTTATTCTCTCGCTAGGGATACGATTTAAAAGAGCTAAAATATGTTGCTTGTAAAATACATCAATTGAATCCTGATTGGTCAGTCAACTCAAAATCAAATTATGTTAAGCATGCAACAAGAGAGTACAAAGTACATAGGGAATTATAACATCCAAATATTGTGAAGTTATATGATTCAGTAGAAATCGATATGAATACATTTTGTACAGTTCTAGAATATTGCGATGGTTGTGATCTATCAATCTATATCAAGAGATACAAGTAGTTTCAAGAAAAAGAAGCCAAATTAATTATTTAATAGGTGTTAAATGCAATCAAATATATTCATTAGAGTAACATTATTCACTATGATATCAAACCATAAAATATTTTATTTCATCAAAACGAAATCAAATTATCAGATTTTGGATTATGTAAGGTAGTTGATAATGATAAATCGAAAATGGAATTGACTTCATAGGGAGTAGGCACCTATTGGTATTTACCGCCAGAGTGTTTTCATACTGGGGATTAACCTCCTAATATCTCTAATAAGGTTGATATTTGGTCTTTAGGAGTAATATTTTATGAAATGCTTTATGGAGTGAAACCCTTTGGACATGGATATAGTCAAGAGACTATTTTGAAAGAAAAAGTACATTATTTTATATATTATTTAAAGATTATTTTAAAATCTGAATGTGTTAACTTCCCCACAAAACCAGTGATTTCTAGCGAATGCAAGGATTTTATAAAAGGATGCCTCAATTATTCTTAGGCTGAAAGATTTGATATAATTTAAGCTTGTAATCATTAATACATGTAGCAGAGAAAATGAAAATAATTATAATAATATATTCTTTATATTTATTCATTGAAGATGGCTTTTAAGCTATTAAGCAATCAAGGCAAATTTTAAATTTGCTTATCTAAGAAGCTATTTATTCTTTGGCCTAAATTTCGATAGTATAATTACCATGAACAGTTGATTTGATTGCTGTGAATTCAGATTGATTCTAATACAAATGATCTGAAATATATTTTAATACATTGTGATCGCTTAGCACTAAGAATTTCTTTATTACGTAATTTGCATATTGGTGATTGGCTAAAACAACGAAATTGCTCGTGCTATTAAGATATCATATGATATTATGTACTATTGATTAGGACTTCTGCAAAGTAGCCATTTCATAATAGAAACTAATTCTTGTTTGCCCAAGGCTTCCAATGCTCGTTCAACAGTGTTACTGGTAATTTTAAATAGTTAATGTACCTTGCATATTTATTAATGCTGAGTTGAAAAAACTGTTGTAAAACTAATTGAACTAAATGGAATTTCTCTTGACTTGGAATCCAATATTAGAGAATATGTTGTAATACATAATTTCCATATTCAGTTTAACTTAAGATGTTGTAATTTTGAACTGACAATCTAATAATTTTGGTAATTTATTGTTGAGAATATTGCTAAATAATTTTATGAATGATTTTGCAGCCATAAATTTGTTGTCCCATGTAATTGAACTATGAATATAATTGATATGAATACTGATTCTTCAACTATAGGAATCATGAATTCCATTTTAAATTTATCAAAGGTTTCAAGCATTTTAAAAATGACGTAATTTCCATTCAAATCGTATACCAAAGATCGCATGTTGGATTGCAATTGTTATAAGACTTAGATTTGGAGATCATTTCGATTATAGGTGTACTCGATCAATTTCTACATGACTCTGCATCCGAAAGTATTTTTCGATAAATCATAGAAATGAGGTTTCAGTTTAGTAAACATCCTCTATTGCAATTTATTATTAGCTATTTTCATATATATATACACAAGTACTGCATTCAAAGATCTTTTATACAACATAATTGCCGAATATGTCTTTCTCCACTTGAGGACTAACTCGTTCTAATTTCTACACTATCAATTCCTTTTATTCGTTTGATCCTGTCTCCAGCATCTTCTGCAATTTCCTACTGACTATCTAATTGCCCCACAAGGAATCCTAGGATGGAGTGCAAATTCTTACCACCAAACTTGTTAGATACAAATCCATTTCAATATCTGGTTCATACATAGGACTATTGCAATCCACTAAAGGAGAATATATATTTAGAGTAGGTATTTTGTAATCAACAATCGGTATTTTTTGATCGACAATCTCTTTGAAGTATTCAGTTTCACTCTTCTCTGAATTCCAGAGTTCCTTGATAAATTTCAATGTCTGGGCATTCATTGAAGGTGTGTCTGGCGATTGCTATTCTGTATGAGTCTCTAAGTTTTATTCTCCTATTTCCAATTATGGCACAGTCTATTGTGGCTGACAAGTCTTGTGCTTAGGTGATTTCCTAATCTAATCTTTAGCCACCTTGAAACTTTGATATTTCTGTTTTATATATAAGAGTAAATCTACTTATAATTTGCATTTATTTTCTTCTTATTCATTTATGGTGTCAATATTTTCATAATTTTTATGATTCACAACACTCTCCTTTGGTGAAGTGTCCAAAGTTATTTGTTCAAAATCATACGTCAAAGTGTTACTCATAGGAGTCATCATGCCCAAGTTCCCCAATCTGTGATATATTTAGTTTTGATTACTTCACTTTTTATTAATCACTTAACTGTCCCTCTCCATTTTCAGTTCCTTGAAAATCATTGGGCAAAGAAGGCAGAGTATCACCTAATGTATTATTCATCTTGGGGATTATATTGATTAATTTAATAAATCTTTTATATTTTTTTAATTCAAAATCTTCCCTCATTTAGACTATTTTTTATGTAATAAAAATGGTATGATGTTAAAACATATTATAATTCTTTATTAAATAAATAGTGCAATATTTGAAATCATATCATAATATGTACACATATAATAATGTTGCCATTATCATTCCTCTTATCCCTTAGATGTTAAAACAATCATCAACTGAGTTCTGAGTTATCTGAATCTTAATAATCTGTCTGTCAATCTAGATTATTGATTGTGTATTATTAATTATCTTAGACTAACTGTTTCATTGATTTATTAGTTTAAACTAGAGAGTCTCAAAGATTAAAATATCTTAGGTTTTTACAATAAGTTTAGAATACTGTTAAAATGAATCCCATCCCTCTATTACTAAGATAACATAACTCTTTTTGAAGCATTAGATATAATATATGAGACTATATTCTTTAAATATCTATTGATTTGAATTATATATAATATAATTAAAATAATATTAAGAATAAATAAAAGAATGCATTATCGATCTCAGAATGAATATTTCAAATTTTTTGATATGAAGACATAGATTTCACCTAGATAGATAAAAATAGAAACACTTCCATCTACTAATAGAAAGATACAAAATTTTTCATTAACGAACAGATCATAATAGAAAGATCAACAACTTATATATGAGATTGAGGGCAATTCTAAAATTAATCGTTCAACGTATAACCATTTCCTCAACTACAAAAGCAGAAGACCTACTAGACATCTTTAAAAAAATGGACTTTTTCAACATGGTATCTTAAAACAATAATAAAAACCTTTGGAACGATTGCATTCTCAATCATATAGATAAACCTAAAGTTAAAATAAGAATAGAAGTTAAAGAGACATTTTTTTGAATACAAAATTCTTTCTGTCTCCCAGACATTTGCACAAAAAAATAAAACAGGAAACATTTCATTAAAATTAATAAATTGAGAAATAGATTGATCTCCCACCGAAAGAAAAGATTCCCTATTTACAGATCAGTCAAACTGATATTATGCCACTTGTAAATCATAATATCTGTTATAATACCAAAGTAGGAATGAAAAATAAGTATAAAATAATTTCATATGCAAAAAAAGATGATCCTCAACTAATCTCATCGAATAGAGATAATGAAAATATCGATGATGATAATTCTGAATTCCATTTGGTGTTATTTAGATCAAAAAAAGAATTATGATTATTATTATATATAGATTTCTTTTCTTATATTTAATTTTACAATTGCCTCAATTAATTTTAATGAAACTCTAACCAAAATATCAGAACTTCTACAAATTACTCTATTGTACAACAATTATTATGCTTTGTTATACTTTTTAAAATGCAGGAAAGAGCATCTCTTATAATATTTATAATTCGGTATTGTTTATCTCATATACAGTAAGGGCTAACTTTCCTATATTCAATGCAGTTTACAATCAATTATTTTATATCCCCTATAGCCTTGTTGTTTATGGATGCAATCATCTCAAGATTATCCATGAGCACTATTCTATATTTAGGAAGTTTCAATGCCTTCGCATTTTTATTAGGAGCTTTTGTTGTATCTTCTTGCCAATAAGCTGATTTATTTTATTGCAATGTAAGCACATTAACACTAGCCATTGCAATTGAAACTCTGTTAGGAGGAGTGGCATCATGTTTATTTTTTGTAGGTTATCCAGTGTATATCAATTCCATTTCAAATCCCTAGAATAAATCATATTATTTTGGCATTGGTTATTCCATATATTCGATATCTAGCTTTTCAGGCAACACTATTGGTTATTTTACTTCAACAAAAATAGAACCATTTTATTATTATTCAATTTTAATAGTTGGATTAGCAATTACATAATTATTCCTCTTCAGAGTAGAAGACTTAAGAGATAGGACTCAGATTGTTAAATAATCATTTTTGAATATGTTCAAACAATAGATTTAATAATTAAAGAATGCATTTAGTAATCAGGATTACTAAGCATTTATTCCATTTCTAATCTTTTGTAGTATGTTATAGGGTTGTTATTTCACATTTTTACCTGCTCTTTTAAAACATGTTCAAGGCGGAATTACTATAAATGAACACACTTTTCTACTTTATCTAATAGGAGGTGTTGGAATGATGTTAGGAGGTATAGGTGCAGGGAAATTGTCTCAGAAGGCAAATTTATTTATTGTAGGATGGTCTTAAGTTTTCTTTGCTATTTTATTTGTTATTTTAGCAATGACTTCATATTATTGGAAAATACTAAACACGACTTATATTACTGGGTTCTTCTGTGGAATTGTATTTACAGGGACTGAATCGTTGGCTGCTATGATCACAGGTGTATTGGTATCTGATAAGAGTTATTACTTCGTTGCAAATGACATATTGATAGTATAAGTTATCTATAATTCTAGTGCTTAGGAATAGCTCTAACCTCAAGTATTTCTTTATTGTTGAGTAAATCTAATTTGTAAGCTATGGTCTATGTGGTAATGAGCATTTTGATGTTGAATATTGTTTCCCTGATTTATGCATAAAGGATTTTCAAGGCTCCTAACAAGAATTCGAAAGTATAATTACTAAACTGATAAACAGTGGAAATTATAGTTGATTATTTTTATATTGTGATATCAATATATTATATAATTATAAAACGAATAATGCATACGCTTAGAACAAGCTTACTGTTATGTATGTTAATTTATATTAATTATGCAGGGTATGTTTGCATCTAATCATAGATCTGAAGCACTGAGCTTATTGAATCAAATGCAACCGAAATTCAAGGAGGAATCAGATCTAGGCACAGAAGACCTAATATATAAGAAAGTCACTGAATAATTAAAACAACAAAAACCTCATTTCGACACTGATGAAGAAGATACAAAGAATGAAGTCTCCTTTAGAGAATTTTATAAAAATGTACGATCAGGTAAACATGAGTTAGTTGACGATGAAGAAATCAATATTGTAGAACCAGAACATAAGGAAATTGAAATTCAATCCTACTTATAAGAATTGAGTGACGGACTCGAACCATAAACTGAAACTATTGCAGAAACTGAAATTTAGACTGATCCTGAAAAGTTAGGCAAGTTTAAAAAGTACTTTATTAAAGAGGATGAAACTAAACAATAAGCGAACATAGAAACCAACATTGAAAATAGTAATCCTATTGAAAAGAAAATGACTTTGAGAGAGAAACTAGAAATGAAAAAGAAATAGGCCTAATAACCACCTGTTGTAGCTGCAATCTAGATTAAATAAGAAGTAGATAATCAAGAATAAGTTGCTGATTAGAATGTTGGCAAAACAACATTAATCAAAAAGATTGAAGAATTCAAAAAAATGAAATAATCAAAGGATACATAAGAAACTTAATAAGAAAATCTATAAGAATAGTCAGTCAAATCAGTACCTGAAAATCCTTTGAGAAAACTCCTAAATAAAAAGGCAGAAGAGAGAAAAGAATAAGAACTCAATTAATAAATCGAATAGAATAAATTGTAAATATAGACACAAGAAGCTGAAATAGAATTAAAATAAATAGATACCGAAGATATACCATTAGACCAAAATATAGATAATGAATAAGAGTAAAAAGATTCTTCTGAAAATAAAGATGATACCATACATTAATAAGAATAAGATAATGATGATACCATATATTAATAAGATTAAAATATTGTTGAATCTCAATAAGAAAATACAATTTCAGATGAAAACTCTAATGATTCAAGAATATAATAACAATAATAAATCGAATCTGATATAAATCCAAATATTGATCCTTAAGTTTAAGAGGATTAAACTATGATTGATGATGAATCTGCAAGATTTGAATAAGATTCAGAAAATATTACTAACTCAGATGAGGATCAGCAACAATAAAATATAGTTAATGAAGAATAAAATAATTCCAATGAAGATTAATTATAAGTTATTACAAGTGAAAATTAGGAATAAGAAACTATTAATGATAATGATAATGACCAAGAGATTGTTAATAATAATGATTAAGATATAGTTAATAATAATGATCAAGATATATCAAATAAAATTGACTAAGAGATAGATAATAATAATGACTAAGAAATAGTATATAATAATGATTAAGACCAGTAGTAGAATACCGATTCAGATTATTAGAATAATGATTTAACAAATTAAGAAATTCAATAAGAAAATTAAGAATTTGAAGCATAAGAATAATTACAAGCTTAAGATGAATTATAATAAAAAGAAATATCAACTGAAGATGAATAACAAAATCTAAATGATGATAACTAGAATTAAGTTGAATAATAAAATTAAAATGGTGATGATTATAATTAAGATTAATAGTATAATTAAAGTGATAATTAAGTTGAATAACTAAATACTGATTAAAATTAAAATATAGAAAATTAGTAAGAATAGACAGATAATAATAGTATTAATTAAGGAGAAGATAATGACATTATTAATGAAGAGAAAGTTGAGAATACACTATCAGAAGGTTTCGTGATGGAAAATAATGTTGAAAATTCAGATTATCTTGAGGATGTGCAAGAAGCTGAAATAATAAAAAAGAAGAGAGAAGTAGAGGAAATGATTGAAGAAGAGGAAAGAATTAAAAAAGAATTAGAATAAAAAGAATTAGACGAAGAGAAAAAATTGAATGAATTAGAAGAATAGGAGAAACTATTGATTAATGAAAAAGAATAAGAATAGAAAGAAATTGAGGAAGTCTAAAAATAAATTGATTAAGATTATAGTTAATTATAGGACATTGAAAAAGGAGAGTAGAAATAATAAGATTATTAAGAAAATGAATTAAAATAAGAAGAAAATTAAGAGGTAGAACCTTTGTAAGAGGCATTACAAGAAGATTTAAATATTTCGACAGATGATATGCCCTAAGAGAATCAAAATGATTAATAACAAACTGAAAATCAATTAGAATAGATAAATAAATAAGAAGAGAAAGTTGAATCCTTAGAAAGTAAACCAGTTGATGGTAGCATTTAATTATAAGATGAAACTCTAGAAAATGGATTTGATATTGATGAATATCAAAGATTACAACATTAAAATGAAGATAAATCTGAATAGGATATTACAAATTATTCATAAAGCAGTGAATTATATCATAAACATGAGTACACAACTTAAATTAAAAATGATTAACAAGATTAAGTAATATAATAATCAGTGCCAACATTATCAATAGATGAATAAACAGATTTCAAGGATCAAGATATTGAATACTAACCATAGATCTAAATAACCTAGGAAATATTAACAGATAATAATTAAGATCTTGCTGATTAAGACTCAAACTCATAAAACAATTCAGAATAAGAATAAGAGGAGCTAAATGATCAGAGTAATACTACAAAAGACAATTAATTAATATAAGAAAAGAATCCTAATTCAGATTAATTAGAGGATATTAAAACAGAGGACTAATCAATTTATTTGGATAATCATATAGAAAGCACAAATGAGAGTGAAATATCTAACGAATCTACTATTTTATAGGAATCGAAAATAGATGTTTCCAAAGAAACTGATAATCTTTCTGAAAATTAATTAGATCAATAAAATGTCTAATAATAAGAGACTTAAATCTTAGATGATGATACTCCTAGTCTGATTCCTGTAGATGAAGCAGACAATAAAAATCTATCCTATTAATTCGATCTCAAACTTGATAATGAAGAGCACAAAATTGTTTAATATGATGATTCTAATTCCAATGTTGATGAGGAAATAAAAAATGATGAATAATAATATTAATAAATAGATCAAATTAATACTCAATTTTAATCAAACACTGATTAAGAAATCTAAAAACAATTTCAGGATACCTCAAACGTGCTTTCAGCCAATAAACTTCATTCAAATTCATAAATACAATTAGACATGCAAATTGATGATAAAATAAAAATTGAAAAAATTGATGTAGATATAAAGGAAGAATAATAAATTTAAGAGAATGTTTTAATAAATCAAAATAGGTAGTAAGGCAATTTCTTACAAGTAGATAAAAATGAGATTGATTAAAAAGAAAATCAATTTGAAATATTAATTTCTTAAGAGAAGGAGAAAGACTCGGAAGAAAAAGAGAAAAAAAGAAGAAAATTAAACAGAAGAAAGCAAAAATAAAGGAAGTTACAAGAGGAATAATTTTAGTAGAAATCATTATTATAATAAAAATAACAATAAGAAATCTTAAAATAATAATAATAGTTAATTGAATTACAAAATTAATAATTATTGAATAAATAAAAGTATAAGATGGCCACAAAACAAAATAATTAAGTTACTTTAGAAAGTAAACCAATTAAAGGAGATAATTTTATTCATTTATAAAAGCAATAATCTTAAATTTAACTAATAAATTAATAAATTGATACTGAATTTTCATTTTAACAGATTCTTTCAAAAGTAGAAAAGGAAGAAAGATAAGGATAGAAACAACTAAGAAGCAATCCTAAACATGTGAAAAACGCTGATTTAAATTTCTTTTAATTGACTGAAAGTAATTAATTTTAATAATATTAGAATAATAATAAAATAAGATTTCCTTATAATCCTAAGATTTATTTGAGGCTATTAAATAAGAGATTAAAGAATGCGATTTAAATAATTACACTATTAATTTGTGCTAATTATGTTAAAGTGATGTTGTATACGAAATAAATGATGATAATTGGTACCTTATTGGAATTGCATATGGATTAAAGTATCTAAATTGTTTAATCATAAAAGGAGACATTTCTAGAATCTATTGAACACTGTACAATATCATTTCAAAAACTCCAAGATATATACCTCTTTCAATAAGGAATAATAAGTTTGTCTCACTTTCGGAGATCAATTTGAAATTGAAAATTTATAAGATATCCTTAACTATTATAATAATCAAACTCTCCCCAAGAATTAGTAATTTTTGAGGATTCCATAAAAGGTAATTATATCCATTTATATATTAAGATCAAAGCAAACTTCGCTTAAATGAAAGTTGATTTGAACCAACATAAATTTATGAACTTTAGTTTGAATGCAGCAATGAAAAATTAAGAAAATTATAATGGATTTACTGTTTCAGAATAACACATTAAGATTTCAAATGATTTTGATTACTCCTAATATGGTAGCATCTTTTATCCTGGGCAGTCTATACCATATAAATTGATTGTGTAATCAAATGGAATTGAAAACATGCAATTAGATTTGAATCCTTAAATATATGAAAGAGTCTTAGAAAACTTTTTGGCAAAGAATTACTTGCAATAGATTTAAGTTACATATAGAGACAACTTAAATAGCAACTTTGTAGTGATAGATAATGAAGACCTCTTAGAAATTGAGATTACAATATAAAAATGAACTAAAGTAGTCTGTGAAACACATATTATTATTTATGAATTACAGTTCTATTAAAGTGCATCTGACAATCCATAGTTTTAGTAGAATATTTCAATCTAAATTCTTTGATTCATACTTATTTTACTTATTGAGGATACATTCATAATTATTATTAAAAACTATCTTAATAAGATATTAAACCATTAAGTTTTAATTAAATATCGAATGTAATTCTTAGTATACATTAATATAAGAAATGATATTTCACCAACAATTCAATTTCTTCTAGCAAAAGAGTTTTAGTTTCATTTTAATTAACACAATAATTACAAACAAAATCTATCATAATTCAAGATCAAACCCATCTTTGAAATTAAATAAGTTATTAGTTCTTTTACAAAAATTCTTAGAATATGAATAATTTGATGAAATCTTTATTGATTTGATCATAATAGGATTAATATATTAACATAAATTTTCATTTAAACAATTTCTTTAATTAATGTAATTAGATTGAAGTCTTTTATTGATTACTCTCTTATTCTTCCTTACTTAAATCAATTCCATAGGATTGATGTTTTTGTTATTCACTCAGATCTTATTTCAATACATCAATGACTCGATCAGCCAAGAAAGTCAAGGGAGGCAACATTTGTGACTATGGGATTAAAAATTCTTTAATGTTGAGTTCCTTTCTAAAATAAATAACTCTATTACATTTATCTAGCTTATTTAGCTAATTATAATCGTCTATAAACATTTGGATCAAGTGGTGCTGCATCTTCAATGATTGGTTTTTCAGGTTATTCCACTTATTCAAAATGAGCTGTCTCTTACTCATCCATCATTAGGGAAGCCTTTCTTTCAGTGCTTAGAGCTGTCACATATTTATATTAATTATTATGACTTATGTAAGAGTATAATAAAGTTCTAATATTAGATTAATATAGTAAACCTGCCATTTATAGTTGTTGAGATTAATTTCTGAGAAGCAATTCCATGGAGTAGTTTAGACTATTTAATATCTACAATCAATGCTTATTCATTATCATATTAAATAGCAATTAAATTTTCATTCAATTTACTGATTGATTTAGCCTTACCAAATTATGTGATTATCTATTTTTTAGTATCCTAATAGAATGTAATTGTTCCACCATTACAAACTAAAGCACCAGATTAGTAAATATGAGCAACTTCAGGAGTTGTTGAATCCAAAGTCACCTCTTTAATAATGTTATTATTTTTTGTATTGATATGCAATATACTAATAGAAGTGACAATGACAATAGTGGTTTCGTCTTTAATATATGCTGTTAATATATTTCTTCCTTTGTATCCATGACCTCTGAAAACACAATTCCAATTGAATTATCCTTTTGTTTACTTGAGTTATCTCCATATTCTAATTTCTCCATTACCCCAAGTGATTATTGAATTATGTCCTGTATCCATTCCTTCTATCTCATAATCGGTGGTTGTTACAAGATTAAATTCAAAATTATTAACATTTTCAAAGATTGATAGTGTTTGCTTAAGCTCAGAACTCAAAATGACAATCAAAAATCTATCCAGCATGGCAAACTATGTTTTAAATAAGAACAATTACTTAATTAATAATGGTTCTATCTCTTTTGTATGAATCTTCAATATCAGAGACATAATTTCTTTGTTAAATAGGAATGATGTGTAATAAAGTGCCTTATGTTGGATGAATGACTTATAAGGTTCCATTTGCCCCTTAAGTGATTAATTTATTCTAATAAGTGATAAAACTATTAGGATAAACATGATGAATTCCTTGAAAATAGGGTAATTTATTCTAACCCATCAAGGAAATCTATTTAATTTGATTGATTCCTTTTATGTTAATAATGAGATTATCATCATTACTACACATAGCTACAATTTCTCCTCCTAATCTTGGAAAGAAGGCCTTTCTTGCAACTCTCAAATGCCATTACACAATGACACCTTCCTAACCAGCAGAATAGAGTGATGCTCCTGCAAATAGCAATGCATTAACTTAATGAGCATGCCAATGGTCTTATTACACTATGATACCAGTAGAGAATTATAATAAGATTAATTAACCATTACTTAAACCGCAAGCCAAGAGATCTTAATCATCATCTAATTGCATAATAGTTACTGCAAGTCCAAATTCTCTTAAGATTCTGTCTTCATTAGCAATCACATGGATCTATTTATCATCTGCAATAATTAATTATTCTTTATATGCTGAATATTGAATGCAGTTAATATTAGTAAATGATTATGCATCATATATTTTAGAACAAGTGGTTCCTAATCTAACAATGCTATTTCCATCATAAGCAATAAAATGATCATTATGAAAACAAACATGTTGGAATTGCTTACCTTTATGGTGTTTACTCTATAATTATTTCCCATCTACAGAATAGACAAGAAAATGAGAATTGTGTGTCAAAACATAAATGTCTCCATTAATAGCAAATGTTTAAATTGAAGCACCTACATTGATTCTAGTATTCAATTTCATTGTGTCCTTTTCTAAAATTAACAAATCTTCTCCAGAATAAGTGTAAACTAAAGAATTGCAACAAAATAATTTATGTCCCACTTAATCACCAAAATTAATCATAATTAATATAACATATACAACTAACAATATTTTTGGTTTAACAAAGAAAAAGTAGGATATGAATCAAAAAAGTATGAAAATTATAATATAGAGAATATAGAAAATGAATATTCATTATTTTATCCAATCCAATAATTTAATTGCATCATTCCATCTGTAATCAGTAGATTTACAATTTAATAATACAATTATATAAGAATTATTATTATCTAAATAATATTCGACAACACAAGGTCCAGCCTCTTTAGTCTAGCCAGTCTTAACTCCTTGAAATCCATTATCTAATAATTTATTAGTATTTTCCCAAAGGATTTCTTTTATGTTACCAAATTTGTCTATAATTTCACTAAAATAGATTTTAGTTTTAACAATGTTAGCAAAGTGTTCATTTTACAATGCTTGAAAACATAAGATCCCAATATCAAGAGCTGAAGAGTAATTAAATTTATGGTATAAACCTAATGAATGTGGAAGTAATAATACCATGAGGATTCATATATTATGTTGATTTGAGACCAAATTCCTTTGCACAATTATTCATTTCATCTATAAAATTGATTCCTGTAGTTTATTCGAAATTGTGTTTTAAAGTGACTGCTGCATCATTTCCTGAAGGGAGCATGAGACCATAAAGAAGATCTCTTAGATTTAATTAGTCCCCTGTTTATAGTTATGCTGAAGTACCTCCAATGTTTTCTGCCTATATATAAATAATGTAATACTGCTTCAGGGACTGTAAAATAAGTGTTATCAAGATCTAGTGATATTAACGAAACGAATTTAAGAGATAACAAACATGTCATAATTTTGGTGATGGATGCTACTTAACATTTAAGTTTTTCATTGAAACCAGCCAAGAGTGATCCATCCTTCCCATTTATAATACACCAACTCTATGCTGTTATCGGTGGACCAAAAGGAATTGAAGGAGACAATGGAATATGTCTAGGCAGTATTCTTGGGTTTCTCTTAAAGGCAGTTTAAGGTTGCTGGGATTTTTTCTATTTTTAATGATTAATAATGGGATCAGAGGTGTAACTGAGCTATTAGATGCAAGTGTTTGCCCTAGAATTTTTCTAAGTGAAGATGTGGAATTATTTGGTGTAAATTGACATAGTGTTGGATTGAGCAAAATTAGTTGGATCGTAATGTTAAGATGAAGAGACTTGGGATATCTTACGTAACTGAATCTTCTCTATGAGTGATTTATATCCATTATGTACTTTTGATGGAATCCGGGATAGATTTATTGATTAAGTCTAATTAATAGGTTTGGTTTTGAGCAGTACAAGGCTGTATTTATAGTCTATAATCAGGAGGGTGATGATTTAGACGAAGAATGTACTATCTAGGGGTAGTGGCATCAATTTTCATTTAATATAAAAAATGCTAAAATTTGAGGCATTCAAGAAATAACAGAGACTGATTGAGAGATCACCTTAGTTTATCGTCCAATAGTTATTGCAGAGAAAGATTGTGTTCATACGCGAAAACTTCAGTTCCAAGGAGAATTTCATGATTCAAGTAAATAGTGATGATTAACCACCTTAGAAAGAAGAATCATAGGAGATTATATATCTTAAGCCAGAATGTGGTGATCAGGTGATGAATGAGTTGACCAGAATAGCAATGTCTGAAATTCCTGAGAACGAATAATTAGAGTACCACATAAGGGCATAGCAATTGTTGGATTACTTCACTTAGAATCAGTATGCTAGCAACCAATATTTTATAGGATTCAAGTCTAATACACAACAGTTTTATTTCATAAGATCAATTATGCATTGGCTTTGAGAAAGTATGGATTGACAGAGGAAGTCATCAATTTATTACTGGATAGTGATCAGATTCTCAAAATCAAAGGGAAACAACTGAAAAAGCAACCTCTTGATATCCAGTTGTTGGCTAGAATTGTATAAAACAAACTTATGAGATTGCGTATCATCTTTTAATGCACTTTATTATTTTCAGAAAGTAGAAGGTAATACTATCAAACTAATACGATAGAAACAAACAGGCATTGGAATTGGCTAAAAGTGCATTAAAATAATTGAAGGCTATCTATGAAACTACAATAAAATTATGTTAGTAGATGAATCTAACTAATATAATAAATAAGAAGTAAAGAGCCAATTCAGAAATGAGTCTGGCTACCATGACATCTTAGCAACCCTAAAAGTTATCCTATAGTTAGATTGTTGAAATGGTATTCAAGGAAATATTGGCACTCATCAAATGTTCAATGCCACAATCCCAATTCGAGGATAAGAACACTCAAATCATTCGAAGTCATCAAAGTAGAAGTCAATCCTTAGATAAGTACAGCGAATAGATCTCCATTGGCAACACTAGCAATCAAAATAATAAGTTGTATCCAAACATTACTGATAATCATCCCATGTTACAGATGCAGATCCTAGGCTTGATGTAAATGACACAAGTGGACATAGAAGAATTGTATCCAATTAGCAATCCAGAAATGGTCGTTACAGAAGAAGTCATACTAGAACTGATAATGTTGGCTGGATTAAGTTTTTATAGTATATCCACTGAATTGAGATTCATTAATTCTAATTTTGATAATCGATCCAATCTTGAAATATGGCTATGCAAGAGTCTCGAAATCTATTACACTTATGTTCCTCATATGTCATAGATTTTTAATTAAATTTATCAGGTTTACAAGAAACTCTATGGTGTTGACAAGCAAATGATACCTGAAGATCAAGAAATCACACACCTAACAAAGTTATTGCGACCACACCAATTTAATAACAAGGCTACATTAGCCAATAAAGTAGTTATAGTAATTAAAGTGCCTGAAGGTCCAGGATCTGCAATTAAACATGCTAATACATAACAGAAAACAATACCATCTAATAAAACAAGCAAAAAGTATTATCGATAGAAGATATTATTATAGACACCTTTTAACACAAGTTGAAGATCAAGAAGATACCGGAAGATCTCCTAGTCGCTTATTTTTAAAACCAACTAAATCATAATAACCATTGGAAATCAAACAAAGGGTTGATTTTTTAATGAATCACATATTAACTCAGTAGGCTAAGTTAAGTAAAGAGAAGATGAAAATTATAAAGAGCCGTCTTAAACCTGATCTGAGTAATGGTAATGTTGGTATGACTGCCTCTACAAATACCACTAATAATACTACTTAGAACACAACACAAAATTCAGCAAAATCACCACCAAAACAATTGAGTCGTTCTCTCTCGAATTCTCGTAAGGCTAGTCAGTGTATAGTACCTGCTTAATTGAATATTCAGCAGGCATTGCATTAAACAAGAACAGCATAATTAAAGTATAGATATCGAAATCAATTTAACACTTTGCCTATTGAAGAGAGTCCCACATAATTTAATAGCTAAAGAAAACAAGGAACTCTGGATTCTGCAAAAAAACAATACCAAAATAAATATTAATTAGTACTTTAATAGAAGTTACAGAACCTCAATTGATATTATAATTTATAATTTTATAACTGATCGATAATGAATTATTTTAGGGAGCACAGTCTATCAAATGAAGTTTCGAATAAAGAGACGTAGAATTAGAAAGAGTGTATAATTATTTGATGTTATACTTATTTTTATATCTCCTCATAATATACATTTCATTTAACATTTTCATTTCTGAACCATGGAATGAAAGCACTTACTCTCTTTTATTGAATGTAATATTTGGGTCTCTTTCGTAATATATGTTTCTCCATCTCTGGGATTGAATAAAATAGAAATAGGGATTGCATAATGACTGCTCCTACTATTGTAAACCAATATTGGAAACCAAATGATAAGGCCATAATAAATATTCCCCACCAAAACATGCATTCACCAAAATAATTAGGATGTCTTGAATATCTCCATAAGCCTTCATCAATAAATTCCTCTGTCTTTCTAGATCTCCATGGGAATAATTATAAATCTGCTATTGTCTCTATTGCCAAGGCTGAAAATGAGAAAATGACTCCGAAATAAAAGACAAAGGGATTGTAGTCCTGATCACTATCAAATAAGGCATAATATGTTGGGAATAAACCAAAATAGACCATTAATGTAGGTCCAACATGTAATCCCAAGTAACTGAATACCCAATATAGAAATTCATTGTTTAATTTTTTTCTAAATACTGGATACCTAAAATCTTCATATGTTAATCCTGGCCAAAATGATAGAAAATTGTAATTGTGTCTAATGAAATAGGCAAATGGCACAATAATCACCCATATGTTTGGTTGATATGGTGTCCTAAACACCCAATAAATAATCAAATAAAATCCTGGAATTTACCAATAGAAATCATAAATTGATGTATTACTAATAATTGAGATTTTGCTTACTTATATCTATAAGATTGAATAAATACAATTGAAGTTGCAATCAAATCAACAACAAATGTTACCATCAATTCATTCTTAATGTATTATTCTACAAGGAGTGTCAATGGTATCCTAAATTTATTATTACTATTACCATAATGCAGTAATTATAGCATATGGATAAAATACTATCCAACATGATTAAGAATATGTGTAATGTGTGGGCTTTTACATTAATATTAATAATCTAAGAATTCTTAATAATATGTTATTTATTATTTAAATAATATCATTTTTTAGCAATTCTTGGTGGCCAAAACTAAGTTAGATTTTCAGCAGTTCCTAAATACTTTTTTTCTAATTGATCTTGTGGAATTGCTTCCTTTAATTTTTCTAAAGTTTTCTTTGTCAAAAAAACATTTTTCGATTTGCTTTCATCATCCATAAATGCAGCACCAGCTTTCCAAGATAAGTCAACTCCTGTTGATGGATTTAGCACATACATTCTATGTAAACATCCAACGAAATTAAGAGCCATAGTTTTAATTATATCTCCTAATCCAGAAGGTAATCCAAAAACACCAATATCTTTAGTATCAATAATACAAATCCAATTCTCAACTTTTCCAGGCATCATCATGTGTTTCTTGACAAACCCCAGAAAGAATGACAACACCTAGATCATAAAGTCTTTAGGATACTAACATTAGGAATAGTAATTACTTTTTTTTAATCTACTCTATATGCCTCTAAATAAATGACAGGTCTAAATTAATAGTCTCTTCCAAAAGTGTATAGAAATCCAGCTTCTAAAAATTCCTACATTTATTTATTCAATGTATGCATATTAGAATTTGCTCTCCAACCTAGGTGAAGTTGTAATCTCTATAAATTATATAATTTATGATTACCTCAATACAATCTTTGATCTTGAATTTACCATTATACAAAATCTTGAGAGTGTCAGTTTAAGTCCAACTAAATTGATATATATCCATATATAAATACCCATCAGGTAATTGTATGCCTTTCTTTTTGATCTCCTCCTCTAATTATTTAATGTGCTGCATCTCAAATTAATCATATTGAACATCTCCTCCGAATATCTTTCTATATTGCTTGTCTTTTTCTGTTTTTCTGATATATAATTCTAAATTATAGTGCATAGTAAATACATTCATGTTGGATGGCTATGGCTTCGGCTGGGCATTGTAGATAAGAATATTCTGATTAATCCATTTATAATTTTTAATTAACAGAAAATGATAGTAATCAAAAGATCATTTTCTCATCCTATAAGAAGAATTACTACTTTTTATAGGTCAACAAGATTAAGATCAGAATCCTGGATTCCATCGCCCGTCAGAGTTTCTATAACTTAGTTTCCTATCTAAAGAAGAAGCCTTCAATTTTCTAATTAGAACCACTAATAAAATTCCCATAATCATGTGTATTTATATTGTTAATTTTATAGATTGATAATTGTAATGAATTATTGAAAAATGAACTCCATAACAAGATATAAGAAATTGATGTATGTAATCATAACATAAATATAGAATTTGAAAAAGAAAATTATTATTTCGTTAGAAACAATAGAGAAATAAGAAGTTATCATTTAGGAATGGTAATAGAAATACTAAGAATAAGAAAAATTGCATAATCGAGAAATCGCATAATTAAAAAGTAATCTAGATAATTCAATCTTTGATGACCCTTAAATTGATATTATAGAATAACCTAATGATAATAGTCATCATAAAGTAATGGATGACTTATAAATTATTTAAGAAGAAAGTGAATGTCCTTAGATCAAAAGTCTAAATTAGTCTGTTGCATAAAATTTTAAATTTTATGAAATTATTAATGCTCTCAATAAGTTCATTTTAGATGAATCACCAGTAGGAGAATAATTAGAAATTAGTGAATCCTACATTGTATAGAGAATCAACAAATTAATAGATTGTATTCATAAATTAGAGACAGAACTTGATGATTGGAAATGTAATTATTGGAATCTTGAAAAGAAACTCAACTCCCAATTAAAAGATAACTTTATATAACAAGGATCTCACGAAATTGAAATAGAATTTGATTTCGATAAAAATTAATTGGTGAATGCCATTTAGTCAAACAGTAAAAGATCACTGTAAGCTGAAAACTCTGCCTTGTAATAAGAAATAAAACGATTGCAAGAGTTAAACAATTAATTATTGAATTAGTAGAAGAGTCAAACTAAGCAAGTGTTGGAATCTCTAATAAACAAGCAGAAGAAAACTAATAGAAAGAAGAATTTAACTCACATTCCAGAGCCTTCAAATAAATATTTCACTTAGGTTTCAACTCATCATACAAATAGTCATAACAACACTCAAAAGAAGAGTCATCCTACTTAATAGGGATCTCCAAATTATTAAAGAAATAATCAATAAATTAATTAATATTTCAGTCATTATTTTTAATAACAAAGAGGACAACCTACACAACATTACTCTCCAATAATTTTGACTAAATTTTAATAGATTGCTACGAAATAACAAATTGGAATTAGTTATCTTAAAGATATGTCAACAGATCATTACTATAATGTGAACGTTCATCAGACTCCAATTGTAGTTAAATAATCTAGTTTGAGTCCTTACCAAAAATCAGGAAGCAAATTTATTTAATTTTGAATTTATATATTATTTTAAATTAATTTGACTTTTCATATCTATTCATAGAAGAAACTAATTAGATTAAGTAAATCAAATAATAGAATACTTTTGACATAAATGTTGTTTATATAATAAGCTATAAATAAATTAAAAGGGTTCTAAAAATAAAAAAATATCAAATACATATTTATGGATCTTTTGATGCCAATATTAAATGGTTTGGTAAGCAACATAAATCATTAGAGATATTGTATATTATTCAATTTATTTTAGGTATAAAAAATGAACTAGATGAACTGAAAATCATAGCAATTTTGGATATGAAGATGAAAATGAGCAAGAAAGTTGTGGAACCATTGGATTTGATGCCTTCATTACTAAACCTGTGAAATTAGAGATGATTGCTGAAGTCTTTGCGTAGTTAGAGGAAGTTTGAATATAAAATTTTGTATTATTACTGATTATATATATGTATAATTCATAATCCGTATATTAATTTTATTTTATTCATTTTATTGCTAAGAAATTAAGTTTATATTTGAAATTCCCCCATAAAAGATATTTATTAATTAAGATGTCTTAGAAAATCTTTGAGAAGAAAGATGTAAGAAAATTGTATTTGGATGAATAAGGCAATGTTGATTATGCCAAAATCCAAGCAAGATGGGATGAATTGAAAAAAATCAAAGTCAGCTTAGGCAATAAATATTTTACTTAACAAGTAGTCGAGAAGGCTAAAACACTTTCACAAGAAGATTAATAAAGACTCTTAGACATCATGATCGCAGGATTGACCAACGATGATAGCTCAGTTGGTATCGCTGCTACAAGACCTGAGGATTATGATTTCTTCCTCTTTTACTTAGAACCTCTTATTAGAGAATATCATAAAATTGAAGGACAAACTAAATAAGAACATGATTGGAATATCCCTGTTGGTGAATATGTCTTAACAAAGATTGATCCAAAACTAGAAAAAGTTTCAATGAGAGCTAGAGTAGCTAGAAATGTAGCTGGTTACAACTTGCCTTCATCTATGGATAAAGATGAGAGAATCAAATTTGAAAACTAAATGGTTGAGGTTTTTGAGAAATTTGGTTTCCCTGGAAAATATCATAGTTTAACTCCAGGACATAAGAATTTTATATCAGATTAAGAAGCTGATGTTCTTAGAAGCAAACATTTCTTGTTCATTAGTATGACACATGATAATTATTTAATGTCTAATGGTGTTGCCTCTGATTGGCCATATGGAAGAGGAATTTGGATTAGTGAAGATGAAACTAAAATGGTCTGGGTTGGAGAAGAAGATCAATTGAGAATCATATCAATTGTTTAAGGAAATGATCTTGGTAAAGTAGATTAATCATTACATGAATTATTAACAGGAATAGAAAAGAGTGGATTAAAGTTTGCAGAACATCCAACTTATGGTATTATTACCACATGTCCAACTAATATGGGAACAGGAAAAAGATAATCTATTTTAGGGAAATTCCCAAACATTACTAAAGGTGGAAAGGATGAAGCTAAATTGAAAGATATTGCTAAATCATTAGGATTATAAGCTAGAGGTGTTGGTGGAGAACATTCAAATATGGATAGTGAAGGAACAGCTGATATTTCACCATCAGCTAGATTTGGTGTTACAGAGGCAGTCGTTACTAAAAGATTGTATGAAGGTTTGATCAAACTTTATGAAATCGAAAGGAATGCTGCTAATGAAAAAGAAAGATAAAATTGTTGCAATACATTTTGAATTATAATCATAGAACAATTAGATTATTTATTTCTTAAATTCCATTTTATTAATTTTCTATAAAACCAATGTTATTAATCTTTTATTTCTTTTATATTTCACAAATTTTTAGTTTATTATTTCTATTTATATTGTTTTTTCGTTATTCACCTTCTATTACATTATTTGATTAATAAATTATCACATTTATCCCTAGTTTTAACATTTTTTTCTACATTGATATATATCATTTTTTATTTTATTTTTATAAGTTAATATTCAAAATATCCATCTTTCATTTTTTTTTATCTTTAATGCACTAATTTCATATATTTTATTCTTATTTGCAATTTTTTTACAATTCTAATTCATGAGTTCAGATTCGGGATAATTCATTAAGATAATAATTTATTATGTTAATGAATTATGTTTTGATAAGGCCCTAAGTGAGTTTAGAGGAGAGAGTCCCAATATATCCCGTTGAGTCAGCTACTTGGAAATTTATTTATTATAACAATTTTTCATATTATTTTATAAAGAACATTCTAATGAATCAAATGTTTAGGAATACATCTTTCCCTTATCTTTCTAATCTTCATATAAATTTCCTTATTCATTTCATGTAAATCGTATCAAATATTCAGAATTATCTATATATACTACAGATGTTTTCTTATCTAGAGTTTCTAATTTTTACTAGAAATACTCTTTTTAAATTTACACCTTCTCAAAATCAAATTTATTTGAGAGCGATTTCTATAAGTGTAATAAAGCCAGCCTATCTTGAAAGGACAATAAGATTAAAATAATTCTAATTTTATTCTCTTTTCAAGATGGGATTAAATCTAAAATTATAATTAAATAGCTTTAATTTCATCCTAATAATTGCCCAAAAAATTACATTAATTCGGAGTGAAGGCAAAAATCACATAATTAGAAAAAAAATGGTAAAAAAAAGGAAAAATTCAATTGGAGAAGATTGAATTAGAAGCAATGCCTCAATTACTACATCATCAGAAATTTAGGATAAACTAATATTTAAAAAAATAATGTTTATTTTCTATAATCTTACATTTTATAAAGCGATATTCGATATGCTATAAAATTTACATTACTTAATCAGGTCTTCTAATTTTTGAGGCAATTTATTTATATTTCTTTTCATCAAATTCAAAATCTTTCGATAGGATTGTGTTAAGGATTGTATAAAGGAAAATTAATATGCCATTTAGTTTGAATGGTACGGTTTACTTTGAAATAATGATCAAGCAGCAGATATATATGGAGATATTGCCAGCGGATCAAGAAAATTAGGCAAGGAGTTGTGTGTATGTCTATTAAGATATAGAAATTTCTGTAATTCTATTGTACTTCTAAAGATAGTGAACTAAAGTTATGCAGCCAAATTTTCGAATAGAAGATAATTCAAGTTCATGTCCTTTAAGAAAGAATTACACTATAATAAGATTATAATTACATCCAAACATCATTCGACTTGAAAATAATATAGTCCTTAATTTATAATAGATGTATATAAAGGAGGAAAACTTCACCATTCAACGGATAGACATGGTTGAGAAGAAAGTTAAAGAATAAAACCAAATACTAAAGAAATTAAAAGGTGAAAATTAATGATACTTTAGAAGAAATTAAAAGGTAATATAATAAGAGATAATTCTTTATTTCAATAAACATGTCTAAGTGTTCGTTTTAATTTTAGATTATAGAAATATTGATATTACATTTCATTTTTTTCTTGTTATTTTTTTACTTTCTATTAAATATTAGCTGAATATTGGTAAATCTAAATATATTATTTTTTGAATTGAGCTTCAAGCTATCTTTTGATATTCAAAATCATCGCTTCAATAGAAAGATCCAATCTTAATCTTATCAAAGCTATGCAATTTATTCATAAGAAAATTTTTTTTATTATCAAAATTATTGGTTTCAGTTTGACAATTGGATTGATCAGATTCAAATTTTAAGTATTTTTATATTGATGATTTTCCTTTTGCTCAGCTTGGAAGTACTTTAATATTTCATTAAGATTATTTAATATTAATTCGCAGATATTAAAGATTGCTTATTAATGTATTAGAAATTTATCAGGTCAATAAACTGTTGTTAATTAGTTTTGGTTTTAAATATACTCAACTCATTATTAATTCGTCCACTAAAAATATAGCCTCTAAAACTATCTAAGTTAAGATGTATTTACTTTAATTAGATTTCAAGAAAATTTTAAATTATTTCAAAAATATAAAGTCTATTCTCTGCTGAGTCTTGTACCTATAATTAAATACTTTATTTTATTGTTCTACTGTAAATTGCTAATGTTCAAAAAAAATAGCAATACCTTTTTTAAAGCAATATCTTGATAAATCCAATTTTTATTTATATTTTGTAGCTTTTCAGATGTCTTTTTTTACCTCTTTAAATTAATTATATTATTTAATGTATTGATATGAATTTTTAGTAGACTATTGAATAAATTATATTCTTAAGATAGGAACAATTTTTTCGTATATAATCAAATTAATTTTAATTTTAATTTTAATTTTTTCATTTTACTTTAGCTTGTTCTCTATTCAGATTGTCTTAAATTCTGTTATTTTTTCACCTAATTAATTTTCTTTAACTTCTATATTAAATGCAACTGCAAAATTCATTTATATTTTAATAACTTCTTTTATCTAATAATTTTCAAACACATTTCAATTTAATCTTGATTCTTTTACTTTTCATTATCTACAATATTCTTATTCTTTCTCAATTATTTTAATATATTCTCTCTATTAGTCGTATCATTTAGAAAATTAACCCATATATATTTTTCTAAAATCAAATTAATAGTTAATAAAATCTAATATTTCAACAAAATATTCTAAACATTGAAACTATTTTCTATTCTCATAAAATAGCATTTCATTTATTCATATTTTCTATTCTACAAGTAATTGACATATTTGTATTAAGTAATGTATTAACACCTTAAGTTGACCCTTCTATACTTTAAAAAATTACCAAAACAAGAAAAGGAGAAAGTAATTCTACATTTAGATCTTTCCTCCTTATTTATCTAAAATTAGTATAATTTCGTATCTGAAATAACATTTTTTTCTGAAGCAACAATCTCTGCTCTCATCTTGCCCAAACACTAACTTCTATTTAGTTTAAAACACAATTTTTCTATGTTGTAATTTAACAAATATATATTTACTGATGATCAAATTGATTTATTGGTTTCTAAATGATGTTGGAGGTTGAATTTTACCACACAAATAATATGTACTCTACTGATTGAGTTTGAAATTAAATATTCTTCTTGGTAGGTTTTGTAATTTTCAATTTAGAATTATAAATTAAATGTGTAATAACTGAAATGAATCAATAATGAATATATGATCCTAATTATAAATATTATTGATGCTTGATATCGTCTTAGGATAATATTGAAATGCACTATAGAATTGAATTTTTGAATATAGAATGATTGGGTTGAAGTGTGTACAACACATTAGCTATCCTATTTTTATCTGGAGGGTGAAATTGGTCAAATCCCCATGGTTTGCCAATCTATATAACTTAAAAGGCGCTCCATAATTATTATGAACTTGCTTTATCTAAAAGCTATCCATTTTATCCTCTGATTGCTTAATTCTAAAGACGCGTTCTGTTATAACCTTTAATAAGTAATCTGCCGTTATTACAGCGCTTGTCCTTTTGGGAATATATAATCTTTTCAAAATGATCCCTTAATATGCAGAATCCATTCACCCAATCACTGCATTTGCCTCTTAAAGGGTTATTTGATTTAAATAATAATATATTGTATTAAGNGCTTGTTCTCTATTCAGATTGTCTTAAATTCTGTTATTTTTTCACCTAATTAATTTTCTTTAACTTCTATATTAAATGCAACTGCAAAATTCATTTATATTTTAATAACTTCTTTTATCTAATAATTTTCAAACACATTTCAATTTAATCTTGATTCTTTTACTTTTCATTATCTACAATATTCTTATTCTTTCTCAATTATTTTAATATATTCTCTCTATTAGTCGTATCATTTAGAAAATTAACCCATATATATTTTTCTAAAATCAAATTAATAGTTAATAAAATCTAATATTTCAACAAAATATTCTAAACATTGAAACTATTTTCTATTCTCATAAAATAGCATTTCATTTATTCATATTTTCTATTCTACAAGTAATTGACATATTTGTATTAAGTAATGTATTAACACCTTAAGTTGACCCTTCTATACTTTAAAAAATTACCAAAACAAGAAAAGGAGAAAGTAATTCTACATTTAGATCTTTCCTCCTTATTTATCTAAAATTAGTATAATTTCGTATCTGAAATAACATTTTTTTCTGAAGCAACAATCTCTGCTCTCATCTTGCCCAAACACTAACTTCTATTTAGTTTAAAACACAATTTTTCTATGTTGTAATTTAACAAATATATATTTACTGATGATCAAATTGATTTATTGGTTTCTAAATGATGTTGGAGGTTGAATTTTACCACACAAATAATATGTACTCTACTGATTGAGTTTGAAATTAAATATTCTTCTTGGTAGGTTTTGTAATTTTCAATTTAGAATTATAAATTAAATGTGTAATAACTGAAATGAATCAATAATGAATATATGATCCTAATTATAAATATTATTGATGCTTGATATCGTCTTAGGATAATATTGAAATGCACTATAGAATTGAATTTTTGAATATAGAATGATTGGGTTGAAGTGTGTACAACACATTAGCTATCCTATTTTTATCTGGAGGGTGAAATTGGTCAAATCCCCATGGTTTGCCAATCTATATAACTTAAAAGGCGCTCCATAATTATTATGAACTTGCTTTATCTAAAAGCTATCCATTTTATCCTCTGATTGCTTAATTCTAAAGACGCGTTCTGTTATAACCTTTAATAAGTAATCTGCCGTTATTACAGCGCTTGTCCTTTTGGGAATATATAATCTTTTCAAAATGATCCCTTAATATGCAGAATCCATTCACCCAATCACTGCATTTGCCTCTTAAAGGGTTATTTGATTTAAATAATAATATATTGTATTAAGCTCATTTATTGTTATTATTATAAAAATTATATATTTTCAAATGGCAATTAGTAATGTATTTGATCTTGTTGATGCAATACTATAATTAGTTACTTTTATTAACGACATATCCAGACTCGATGTTAATATTTCAATCGGAATGGTTTGCAGAATTATATTTTTTATTGTCGTTATAAGCATGCGAGATCTAAGGACATACCCTGTGGGGGAATTTATTGCATAGGTCGTCGCATGGTTTGTTTTTCATATCTACATCTTGTACTATGAAAAACAATATTTCTTAACTGGGATATCAGATGTATTTGATAGAGAAATACATTTTAAAATTATGGATACTATATAACTGATAATTGCTACAATATACTTAGGATGGACTTTTAATTCTACGATAGAAATTGTTGCTTTAGTGTTTTTTATAACAAATCTGGTTTTAAATTTTTTAGAATTAATATACATTGCAGGTATTAGATAGTCTCATCAGTAAAATTACAATAAATAAGGAGGATATACTTAAATGTACATTGGTTTTTTTTTGGGAGCTGTAGGAGTTATAATATTTTTAATCGACGCGGCATCTAAATATTCAGAAGATGTTCGAGCTTCAGGAATTTTAACAGCTATCTTATATCTAACTATTATTGGATAATTTATTGTAGTGATTTTTTCTTTATGCTATTTTTGTGTTGATAGAGAAGAATTTAAATGGTCAAATCATTGGTCGAAAGGAATTTTAGGATTTTTATATGGCGCAAATGTTGGATTATTTAGTATTTTTTACGGATTTTTAACTGGTTTAGCAACACTTTGTTACATCATCTATCTCGTATCGAAGAAAATTGATGAATATAATAGATAATAATAAGTGCATCCAGCTGGCACTGAATGACTAAATTATTGAGAAAATCCATATTATGTTTATATTAATCAAAACTTATATTAATTGAAGTGAAAAAAAGTAATTTATTTTATTTAAGTTTAACTAATTTATCATTTTATTGACTAAACATATGAGACAATTCCACTAAAGGCTCATAAAAGTTATTGATAACCTCAATATTATTTATATGTAATCTGTAAAACTTCTCTAGAGATTAATTATAAATGTCTATCTTGAGTTATATCTATTTGTATGAATATTGTTTATTCTTTTATACATTCTTATTCCTAATTACTATAAAGAAAACATTCTTAGAATATTCAGTATTATGGCTAGGAATATAAAGACATATTGATTTTTGAGAAATTACTTTGGTTGAAGTTATTATTGATTATTTCTTTCATCAACAGATTGTTGAGGTATAAAATCAAAAATTGTTGTTTCTAAACATTTTGGCAATTAAATATATTTAAAAGAAAGAGAATTATTCTAAGAAAGAATATTTTTTCTATAGATCGTTTCAATAATGAAAGATTTTAAAAACAAAAATACCGAATCATTTTTCATTTCAATTTTTTTTTCATAAAATGCAACTACTCCATCTTTGTTTACATTTCTGATCACTTATTTTAGAATTAATGCACATTAAATTCTTTTTTCTCTTACTACATTTAATCCTTTTATGTAAACCATTATGATTTAGATGATTTTTCTCAACCATTATGATACCAAAAATATTTTCTAATTTTCTTGCTTTGAAAAATTTTAAAATTAAAGTCTTAGCTTTGTTTCTTAGTGATGAGAATATTGACAATTAGAAGATTAGGAGTTATTTTGCTTATTAGATATTATAAGGGAATATTAACGAGTATGTATATGATCAAACATTTAATCAATCATTTTAGATCATTAGCCAACATCATTAGGAAAGAGATGTAATATTTATTTTCTACCACTCTAAGTTCATCCAACTAAAATTTTACAACAAATTCTAAAAGTGATTTCCTAAATATTTATCCTCATTTTGCAGTCTAATCCTATAGAAAAAATCTGCAATTGTGGAACTCTCATATGAAGAAATGCTATAATTATCATTATATTCACAAATTCTTTATCAAATTAAGCAGGATATATTTAAAAAGGCATTTTTGTGTATTTGATCCATTTTATTTCATAATTTAAATTTTAACATATTATATATTTTCATCCATGCATTTTTAAAAAATAGCTTTATAATAAACACAATTAAACATTCTCTCTTATTTGATTAAAAAAAGAGATCTATTTTTATTAATTTGGTCGATAAATCTCAATAGAAATTTTTTGTTTATAATGTAAATTTTAGAATTTAATAAATTTTTCTACTAAAACTTTAAAATTAGAACTCATCGATTTCAAAACTAAAATAATTGCATCAAAGCAAATTTTTTCTTGGTTTTAAGATTTAATCAATAAATAAATTTATTCTCAAATTTTTACCTCAATATTTTTAAATTTTTTGATTGTTTTTTGCAATTTCTATAAAATTTCTTCGTTTTTTTCTTAAATTTTGTTAAAAATTAGTGTTGGATGGTTTATTCTTAATTAATGCCATTATATTTGTGATTGAATTATATAACTTCTTGATTAGAAAAGATGTATAAAAAATAAATAAATATAAAATTATATTTCGATATCAACTTGAAAATGAGGAGAAAAAGAAGATTTACTCATTAAAATATTTTAAGCAATCTATCATTACAACAACAAGCTTTTTATAAGGAGATAAAAATATGCTTATTCTATGTCCTTTATTATAAATTTCAGAATATTAATATATTATAAATAATATAAACAAAAATATGCTTTGAAATCATAATGAGTTTTAATATCTAATTTAATCTTAAGAAGGCTATTTATTCTATTTTATTATATAGTTGAACTACCCGAAACACATCAATATTGATTTTATAGATAATTCTAATTGAATTTAGATATTTGAAAAGGTGAAGAGTCATATGCAGAATAATATTAAAAGCCTTACTACAAATTACATTTAATATTAATGCAAAAAGAAAACATAATTTATTAAACTTCCTATTTGGATGAATAAAATACTTTATAAGTAAAAAAATATAGAATGACTATTTGTAATTTTTGATAATATTCATTGATTCAATTACTTCCTGCAAAATTCTAATTTAATAATTTGAGAATACCTTTTTGATTTATTGTATATTGATCATTCGGATGAATCATTAATGATTTAACATAATAAATCAGAGCTTTCTTATATTGTTATTAATCTCTTAAACAATCTCCTAAAATTTCAGATGATTCGATACCTTTTTATTAAAGAGAAAATGTATGTTAAGGATTGATGAGGAGTGCTTAATCCAATACTTATAAAGACTCATTATATTTTTTCAACATTTTTAAACACGCTCCTATTAAAGAATTAATCATATACCTTTCTGGCCTAAAGAATTAACATGCTTAGGGTCAATAACTAATGCTTTATCCAGCCAACATATTGCATCCTCATATTTATTTATTTTTCGTAAACAAACACCTATAAATATACTTATGACTCAAATTACCTTTTCCACTTAAGGAAATGACATGTTTAGGGTCAATAGTTAGTGTTCTATCCAGCAAACTGATTGCATCGTCATATTTCTTTAATAATCTTAAACATTAGGCTATAATTTTAATTATGACTCAATCTACCCTTTTCAAATAAGGAATTAATATGCTTAGGATCAATAGCTATTGCTTTATCCAGCCAACTGATTGAATCCTCGTATTTGTTTATTTTTCGTAAACATTAACCTATTAATTTAGAAATAACTCAATCTACCCTTTTCAAATAAAGAATTAACATGCTTAGGATCAATAGCTAATGCTTAATCCACCAGGCTGATTGCATCTTCGTATTTATTTAACAATCTTAAACATACACCTATTGAATTAATGACTCAATTTACCTTTGTCACTTAAAGAATTAAGATGCTTAGGATGAATAGCTAATGCTTTATCCAGCCATATGATTGCATCCTCAGTTTTATTTAAAAATCTTAAACATGCACCTATTGATATCTATTATTTTAACCTTTGCACCATAAAGGTTCATAATTATTTGGATTTTCTTGGATTGACAGATCAAAAATATCTATTGCTTCAGCAAATTTATCTTTATAATATAAATCATAACCTAAAAATAATATTAATGAATTACCCTTATCATAGAACTCCTTAGATAATTTTATAGAATAATCATCAATCTAATAATAATTAAATGATGATAATTATAATTATTGATATAAATTATTAAATGTATGAGTTAATTTCTTCGTCTAATCTGAAATGATGGTTGTAATTGATTATTTATATTCTACTAATTTGATGGTTGAATTCAAATAGTCATGTATTTACTAAGAGTTTAAATTTATTATTCTTTCTTATTGTAATGAATATTTTTATCTAATTCCCCTTTTTAATTAAGAAAATGATTGATTGAGACTTTCTAATAATTTATTAAGATCATCAAGCAAATTATCACATTATTAACTTTTCATTTCTATAAATCCGATGAAACTATTGAGTTTTTCAACATCATCTAAATGATCAAGATGGATTCTTCCCTTCTTAATACATTTAAAACAATTTAATCTAAACTCACTACAAAATTAATTGTAACAAATCGTCTCTATCTCGTCCTGATGACCATCTTCTTAACACTTTAACTTGATATCTAATTATTAAATCATTTTTATTATATCTAATGTATATATATATTTTCTTACTTCAATCATCTTATTTCTATTAAAACTCAATTTTTTAGAATATTTTAATTGAAATTAAAATCACAATTAAGGACAATGTTATTTGCAGATAAATAGAATAAATATTTCTAACGATTGAATAGTTTTAGAAATTTTAATTTAATTTTTTGAAACAAATTTGACAATATTTTCAAATTTCCTTTATAATTTAATATATTTTAGAATAATGATGACATTTCTCACAATAAAAACTCAATACTTGTGAATCTTTAATGAAGATAAAAATCATAATTAATTTTTTTTAAAACTTATCAAGAACCTTATTAATTTTCATTATTGAAATCTTTTAATCGAAGTGGTAAAATTCAATACTCTTTTGCTATTGCAAATCATGATCCATTTCGCCTTTTTTTGTTTAAAAGGATTGCCCTCCAAAAATAATTCAACTGATTATTATAATATTATGAAATATTAGTAATCATCTTCATAATTTAGAGATATTTGATCTCTTCCAATGGCATATGTTGGTAATTCTAATTCAATTAAGGTGCGGCCTTGATCTTATTTAATTAAAGGAAAGTATTTTTAGAGAGCAAACATAGTATTAAAAAATTATCATTCGTGAAATTTATAATATGCATCAGCCTTTAGATGTGCAAGCATACATTGTATGTATGATTATTCTTTTCTCATCATTAATATTGCCTCTTACATTTAATACACTCAAAATTTTAACCTTGAAATTTTTTACTTATATATCAAATTTTTCAACTGGCATGTAAGTGTCCCTCTAAGATGCCAGTAAGAAGATCAGGGACAGGAAAATGTATAATTTTGATGCTTCCCTTTTGCGGATGAAAAAGGCGATCAAAATTATACATTTATCGTGTAATGATATCTTTTACGATAGTGGGGATGAAATATGTTGTTAAACATGAAACAAAATAATAAATTTAGTAAATTCAACATCCAAGATGCAAAAACTATGTGATTTTAAAAAAACTTAAATATATGAGGAATCACTCATAAAGTGAAATCGTTTAATCAATAATTTATTTAATTAAAAGCTTTGAGAAGTGGACAAATCTATGAAATAATTCATTCAAGCTTCACAAAATGATCTCTTTGATTAAATAATTTCGGTGATTCATCGGCAACTGGAGGATGATGTTTGATGTTTTCTGATTATTTAGCATAATGGGAACATTTTCAAATTCTAAATCTTTGTTTTTTATAATGAGATTATTGTTTACATATCCCATATCTATTTTTTTATTATTAATTAACTATTCAGTGTAACATGGTTATCATCAGAAAAATTATCAATATTTATAAATAAATTAAGGGAAAATACAAAAAGAGTATAATCAATTCTTGGAGTTGATCTCTTTAATTTAATAGTGTTGCTTAAATATTTGCTGTTGAACAGGATTCTTGAAGTTTAAATATGCTGAGGTAATATGAAGTAGGTTATATTTAATTTCTATATCTTAGTGTTCGCTTTCCATTAATTGCTAATCAAAGCTTAGAGACTGAAGAGAACATTCTTCTGCAATGCCTTCAAATGTGGACACTTTTGCCATGTTATTGTTTTATTGAATAGCCAAGGAATCCACATTATTGGAGACTGATAATCTATACTATCACTGTCTTTACAAATTATTTACTCTTGAGCGGCAACGGTTTTCTCATTTAAATTAATTTGAGGTTCAATTAAAAATGGTTTAAAGTAAGAATGACGATTTACCTTCCAGTGGTCACACTACTTTGAAAATTGAGTTAGTGTGAGTTCGTTGGTTTTTGAGGTATTTCTTTTTGCAAATTTCATTCCTCATTTGGTCCTATCCAATATTTTAGAACTTGGAGTGGAATAACCTTCTCAGCCTTCCTATTTTCGTCTAGTTTATAAGGAATAGAACTTAAGCATTGAGTTTGGACACACGGAACACAAGTCTTCCAATAGAACACTTTCCTTTAACATGCCAATTTTGTCTAATCTTTGTACATCTGTTTTCTCGATGTTCATCCATTGTAGATGTTAAGTGGTTAAGTAGATGAGTACATACTCGAGGTCGTCTTTGGGTGTTTATTCGATGACTTGATGGGCTGAGATACAGGCATATCTATTGGTGCCGACATAGGATAAAACTTTCTTTTGTGGGTGTAAATTGAAATTCAAAATCGATTAAATAAATCTTATCTGATTCATTCTCCATCTTAATCGGTACTTCCTTTTTTTTTGATGTTCTTGCCGTAAAAAACTATTCCGTATTGATTGTCGTAATTTTACAGAGTGTATCACAAATTGAAGTCAAATGCACCAGTATATGTGAATTTGTATATTAATGCAAATTGGCTATAACTGCAAGGGTAAACTTAAGGTTCTATCTTTATATCATCGGTAATTTCTAAGAATAGAACGTTGGTTAGGTTATATTCGATAAGTCAATCTCCTTTTAAAGTCACTTGTAAGGACTTACTGATCCCATTTTGATGGTCAAACGTTTGATTAATCCTGAATATTTGGTCAGTTGTTTTGGTGACCATAGCATTAATGTTTGAGACACATCCTCTAGAAAGACCATTAAAATCATAAAATGGAAGTTAGAGATGTCATTATTAATAATAACAATCAATTTGTGAGACCATCCAGACCTATGATATCTAATTGGATCGAGTCATCTATGCCATTCAATGCGAGGATTGGATATATTGTGAATGACTATTATTCAATTTGTTATTATAAAATATCACCGAAAAGGCTTTGCCGCAGAAACTGGTTCTGGGGATAATAGAATCATTAGCACATCGAATTATAGTGAGATGCAGAAGGTTAGAGTTGCTCCTAATTATATAAAGAATATTATGGTATTTTAAAATCTCAATTTTCTATTCTTCTCAGAAAATTACATCATCCGCATACAGGAATACAGGCAAATTGATTATAATACATCTCTCTAGTCGTAGGTTATAACATACGAAATGAGTGCATTCATTTCAAATTAAATAATCGTAGGCGATATATGGTGATGTACATTTACTTAAAATGTTTACATTTAAATAAAATTCAATCTATCACAAGAATGGTTGTAATTTACGTTGGTATAAACCATGTAAACTCCATATGTTCATCGGTAAATTAAATTGAACAATTAGCGCAACTAACTCCAACAAGGGAGACATCACCCCTCTCAAGGTTTAACAACTATTCAAAATCAAATTTCATTCAGGAGTATATTGTTCAGATCAAAAGGAATAAACTTTTAATTTGAATCCTCATTCACAGGAGAGTATCCTCAAAAGCATTTTAAAATTAGCGGATGTTGAGGATATTAATGAGATACTTATTTTATATTAGGAAGCACTTCAACTGTATATTATTCGAAGATAGGAATGGATACAACACATATCTCAATGATTCTGGCATATAAAACATTCTTTAGGAGACATCCATATTTGAGGAAGGACAGCAACTTTCAGTAGTATTACCCTACAAGCTAAAAAAGAATTATTGTTTATGTAATGGTTGCATGTTGCTAAGAGAAACATAATTACCTTTGGTAAAATCACCTCAATCTATTTAAACAATTTTAATTGCATTTTCCATATATTCACATGGAATTACGTTTGAGGCATAGTCAAAAATAGAAATATGTGCATCGTACAAAAATTGTAGTTTTTAGGCGGAGATATGTTATAATGCATCTAAATGGGAGGAAGAATTTGATATATCATAAAAATTTAATAAAACGAGTGTTAAAAGTTCTCTGAGAGTATAGTAATATATTTCAAGGATTGCACAATAATAATCATCATTACTAAGTTGAATTAAGATGCTCTTAAGACATAGTAATTAGAATTCCATTATTGCAAATGAACCAAAAAAAAGGTAAAAAGTTGCTAGGGAAGGAGATGAGCTTTAGAAGCATGAAAACAGATGGACACCAGAGAAGCCAAAGAAGCAAGTTAATTATGTATTATTATCATCTGATAGGCCAATACTTACAAGTAAGAAAAGACTCCTACATTATACTATATTTCAAGCAGGTTTCTAGTATGCATATATGAGAGATGTGGTAAAATATTATTCATTATGCAATACACTAATGGAGAGTTGCCTCTCCTATGTAGTAACCTAATAATTCACTTTACATACAATATAATATTGAAGGAGTATATGAATTATGCGTTCCTTCTTATCTATTGTAAAAACTTATTCAACTAATTTAGTATAATTCACAGTCTAAGCGAACTTAGGAGCATTCACAAACTAATAATTGTAAAGATTTTTTTTCCTATTAATAAACATTTATCTAACAATTCAGCAATTTGTAATTTGATGAGAATCTTATGAAAAGTTTTAAACCACTTACTTAATGTTATCATTTATCCTATCTATAATCTCTTAAACCATTATGGAGTATATTATAGTGATTCACATGTGGAAATCGTGAAACAATTATTTTTAGCATTTATTTTGGATAGAAATTCTCAGAAACCAGTCATTGTTGCTTCAATCCATGGAAGAATAGAAATCGAAGAAGTTGCTAAGATAGATCCAAACAGTATCATCGTATTACTAATTGATGTGAACACTGGATTAACAAATCAAATTGCCAATAAAGTGATCGACACTTTGGAATTGTCAGCATTTAGATAATAAGCAATTGAATAATTGAAGAATCAATACAAGATGTTCATTTACTTGATACTACTCAAGTTAAAATTGATCCATGCGTAATAGATCCAATTAATAAATTATTATTTTTTATTGATGCTAAGATCAATGTTGAAGACAATGCTACATTCAGATAAAAGAAATTGGCTGTATTGAGAAAGACAACTGTTGCATCTGAATAAGTAGATTCTCATGAGGAATTGGCATTGGCAGCTAGATTGAAATATGTTGCCTTAGATGGAAATATTGGTTGCATGGTTAATGGAGCAGGATTAGCTCTGGCTAATATGGATATAATCAAATTTTATGGAGAAGACCCTTCCAATTTCTTAGATGTTAGAGGTGGTGCCAATGTTGAATAAGTCAATGCTGCATTCGAAATCTTGAGTACCCATTGCATAGTTGAGACCATCCTCATCAATAACCTTGGAGATATCCTGAAATGCAACATTGTTGCTGAAAGGTATTATCAAAGCAGCTTAATTGGTTAATCTCGGGACGCCTTTAGTTGTTAGATTAACTGGAACCAACACTCAACAAGGTAAATATTATATTCATTTTTAGGAGCTAAAATGCTGGATGAATTAGCTAATTCATAAATCAAGGTATCAATTACAACAGCCACAGCTGTGGATGATACAGCTCAAAAATCTGTTAAAATTGCTACCACTCTTAATTAATTTTATCAGTTTACATTGGTATAATGATAAAATGAAGTATCAAATCAAATTTGACGCTATATATGCAGATTGACTTTTTTAAGGATTCAAAATTTGAGTTACAGATTATTGTTAAGTTTTTAATTGAGTTTAAATAAATAATCATCATTAATTATCAGAATATCTACTGATATCCATATTTTAGTTGACATCATACAAGAACTACTTGTATTGCTAATTATCAATACTTTTTTTATTTAATTTGTCAATTGTTAAAATCTAAACTCCAGTATTTAACACTGCAATCATCTTTTCCTCTGATTAGTTATAAAATTAGACCTAATAAACTGGGTCTTTATTTAGAGTTCCATGCAATTCCTTCCTTACTTTAATATTCCAAATAATTAACATACTTTTATCATCAATACTTCCAATTAATTGATGTCAAGTATAATTCTTTATATGAGAAAATGAGAGATTGGATCAACACTTTAAATAATTCAACCTATGAATCATGCTTCTCTCCTTGAAATCTCAAATTAGTATATCAGCTCAGAACCCCATATAAGTTTTCTACCTAGATGCTACATAATCTCCAGTTCTAGAAGCTATTATTACAGAGATCGAACTGTCGTGTCCCCTATTTTGATATATGATATCTGTAACATAAAAATGTTTATTGTCTTGTAATTATATGTCTATCTACTATAGTAGAATTTAATGGATAAAGAATATGTTTTGGACTATTACCTTATACCATACCTCATTGTCAGGATGCAAGACTAAACCTTGAGTTATTTTCCCTTTGAGTATATGAAATATACATACCAGTGAACCCCATCTTTGCCTAAACCTAAAGCTCTGATTAAATAATATTATTTATTTTCAAATATCTTTGTTTACTAAAAAACAAACTGGATATTTTTATGTATAAATTTATCACTTATTTTGAATCAAACTCACCATTCTTCCCCTGACTTATTCTCATAAATAAGTTTAAAATTAAATCTGTATTGTAATTTACTAAATTTTTCACTGCAAAAAACATATTACTATTATTTAATTATCATTCGTAGTTAAGACACCCCTACATGAGAATTTATTGAAAAAATTGATATGAATCAACTTCTAATAAATAGGTAGAAAACTGGAAGGATATATTAAAAAAATTTGCAGAAGGAGATTCTGAAATATATAAGCATTCATATAATATAAATCAAATAATATATAGGAGCATTGGAAGTCAGTTATTTTAAGATTAGATTATCTCTTATTAGTTAATTAGTAATAGTAAATAAGTTTAATCAAAAATTATAGCTATATTCTAAAAAGATTTGTTAAAAAGTACTACTGATTGAATTCGGATTTATATAATCAAATGTGTTTTTGATATATCATTATGTAAGTAAATAATTTTTCTTTAAATATTAATAATTTTTATATTTTAAATCACTTGTATTTTTATTCGAATCCAGATGATTATGTCTCCTTGATATGAGAGCTGAGGACTTTTTTATGACCTTCAAGTTGGGCTTTGGAAGCCTTCAACAGATATTATTTAAGTTTTTTAATCAAAAATTTCGATCTCTTTTTTCTTTAACTAGATTTTTGCAAATAATTATTTAATGTTAATGTTAAACAGGAATCTTATGAAATCTTATTCAAAATTAAATATAAATAATTTAATATTAAATTAGAATACTTGTTTGAGTAAACTTCCGATATGCTCTTGATAAATGCATAACAAAGCTTAATACAAAGAAGAGCAATAATTGTTTAAAGTGATATTGATGAAAATTAATTATTTTCTTGTTCAGCTACATATTTAGCAGCAGCTAGAAAAATTGTAATAGAGCAAATTTGTGCTGATGATAAATCTTTGTTATTGAAACTGGTGAGAATATAGGGTTTTTCGTTAAAAGCTAATAATTAATAGAAAAGCAAACATAACCCCAACAATGATGCTTTCAGTAGAATATAAGTCTCAAAATATGTTAAGATTAAAATAATGATTGTCTTTTTAATTAACTTAATTTCTTCCCAAAAATAACTTCTGTTATTGTATTCATTAATTAAATAACAAAAATGTTTTCTAATTTAAATGTTATCATGCTAATCTTTCTTAATGTACATCACAATAAAAAGGGAAAGAGGAATGATTATACTAAAAATGCATATTCCTGGAATTACAAAGGCAAAAATCCATATTAAATGCTCGCTAGTTCCAAAAAGAAGTGAAACATCGCCTTGTATATAACTCTAACTCGAAACAGTTCTTTTTGAGATAATGGAAAAATACCTAAAATAATCTAAGTTCAATTACATTTTAACTAATCCACCATAATTAGAAACATATAGGTAGAGTAGTGTATTAGAAATAGTTTCGAAATTAAAATTGCTCAATCCAACCTACTTATACCAATTATAAATAAGATATCCTGATATTATTAGTATAAATTAGAATATCATGAGTACAAGCATTGTAATAATTTTAGAGTAAATTAACTTTATTTATTGATTCTCTGATAAATAACAATCAAGATTATTAGTCATAGAGTAGGATGTATTACTCGCTGTATCAACAAAAGTAAATGAAAATGAAAATTGAATATTGAATGTAAAGATAACAGAGAAAATCCATAAATAGTTTAATAACATTTTTATTAAAAAACTCTAATGTCCTTAAGTTATGTCATTAAATTACCTTATTCTAAATTAAAAATAATTTTGCTAAACCTTTATTGTAGTTTTAAGCACTTGAACAATTGATTTGACGATTCAATATTCCTTAAAGTTATAATAATTGATATAAACGACCTAAAATATGAAATTAAATTACCAAACTGATGCCGCTATAAATGGAATTATACTGTCCTCAACGCCAAAACAAGATATACACTATGAATCCTATTAATTCTTTAAATATTTTCCTTCTCCTCTTATATTATAAATATCACATTCTTCGCATAATGCTCCAATATGTCCTAAATGACAAATTTAATTCCCATATCCCCAGCCGCCTTTACAAAACTTAAGGTTTTTAAAACATTACTCTATATAATCGGATACAAAATCAGGTCTCCAAAAGCCCCCTAATAATTCTATATTATTTTCAGTTATGTTTTTAAATTTTGTTTTATCAAATATTGAACACTTTGTTGCATCGTATACTACAGAGTAAAATCCTTAACTTGATGAGCAAATTTAGCAACCAAAATTTACATAAAATTCTCCAAGCTAGCATTTCAAACTTTTAGCCTATATAATGTAATTCAAAATTTTTTAATGTTACAATGATTTACAACTAATCTCAATTTATAATTATTTGTTTTCTTAATAATAAGGGTCAAAAATAAAGGAAAGGGAACCTAAATTAGAGTAATCATATTCTAGATCAAATTGCAAATTTTGTTGCTCTTCCAACTCATCCTCCTAAATCAAGCCTTCTTTATTTATAGTTTTTTTGGTTAGAGTGCATGTAGTACTGAGAAGGTTGGGAAGTTATTCATTTAAACTATTCTTTAAAATAAGAACAAAATTTTTAATATAAGAAATATATTGAACTCTCGTGGGCAAATAAATTTGATATTAATCGATAACTTAGTTGCTTGGGATCATTAAATAATTTGTAATTAAAGGTTTTCCTTATTCAATAATACTATAAGGCTAGAGAGCTAAATGATGAATGAGTGTCTAATTAATGACTTACTTTTTAGATTGCATTTGTAAGTCGTTGATAAGCAAAGTCAAATGGTTAGGAGATTCAATAAGATTATCTCCAAACTATTTTGCAACATTAAATAATAAATAAGATTCAATAAAATTTTGAAGGAGTATAGTTCCATCTTGGTTAAAATAAATTCCTCCTCCAACTAAGGCCTCGTTATTAGTAATAAGTGTTTATTTAATCTAAAAATCTGTATCCTTTAGTTATAAAAACAATCCTCCACCTGATTTGCTAGCATAATTAGAAATTATTTTGCAATTTGCCATCTTTAATTTAACATTTTAAATTAGCATAGCACCTCCAAGACTACCCTTATTTTATATGAAATAAGAATCTTTGATTATAATAGTTGAATTAATAAAATTTGAGATCAAAAAGTATAAGCAACCATTTTCTTTAACACTATTTTAAAAACAAAATATATTATCTATTTTAAAAATTTTGAATTGTTCAGCTTCAAAAGTGATCATTCCATTAGAAAAATCTGATCCATCATTATTCCTTATTTCTATCTGTGAAAGCCTAAGGGAGTTTTGGTTAGAAATACTTTTAATGTATATCAGCTGATTTGATTGATTAGCGAATGATTATATCTAACTTAATATATTTGAATATATGGTTTAATCTGATATTGAGGTGTTCCTCCACACACTGCATCCTAAAATTTTATAATTCAAATCTGAAAAGATGGGAATTCCATCGTATTTTTGTTTATATGTAATACTTTAAAGTATCTTTAGTTTTTCAATAGAAATCTTTGATTCAGCTTTTATAGTCTAAGTTATCAGTATGAGATCAAAGGAATATAATTTTTGTATAAATACTAGTTTAAAATCAAAAATCTTTAATGTAAATGCATTATAAATTTTAAAAATTGGAGAGATTATAATTCCTTCAACATTTATATTTTGAATATCAACTTTACAATTTTCAAGAAAAATCATAGCATTCTCTTAGCTCAAAATATTCTCTAATTCTGATAATGTTATTTCACCAATCAAAGAAAATAATTAAAACCACATTTCTTCACTTTAATAAATTGTTAAATTATTAATACTTACTTAACTCTATTTCATTACATCTGCCGAGAATTTGGCTAACATAATTGTATTCATTAAGGAAAGACAATTCTTGATTTCTATATTATTTAAACGAATAACATTTTCTTTCTAAGAGGGTATAATTGTTAATAATGATGTAGCCATTCTATTAAATATTTTTGTAAATTTAATTTGTCTTAGATCAATAGACAAAAGGCTATTTGTTGAATCTATACTTATGCAACCTGAGCCACCAGTATCTTTTAGATTAGTATACACTGAATCTATCTTGAGGTTTCTTATTTGTATTATTCCTTGTCCTTGAGTTTTAATCTAAAAAATAGAACCTTTAGTAGCAATAATTTCTTAAAAATAACTATCTGTACAATTAAAGGTAGAAGCTGAGATATAGATCCCTTAATTTAAAATTTTAAATGTTGATTGAATAATTGAGTTAATCTCTTGCTGATTATATTCATCCACTAATTCAAAATCATAAAATTGTTACCATAAGTTTTATGATAAAACATTAGAATTGATGAAGATTAGATTCGAAATTTCTATCAAAGATGCGGTAAGTGTAAAGATTGGATTAGTTGAATTCGTTAAGGCATTTTGATAGAAATACAGATGTTGAATTTAAAGAAAACTGTCTAATGAACTTATATGTATTAAATTAGTTTATGTGTCAAGTGGTTCATCGATTTATTAATTGACGATATTTTGAATAAATTGAAAGTCGGTCAATTTGATATTTAAATTAAATTGAGAGTATATATTTAGCAAAGATAATGAGGTTGCTACTTTGTTTTTCAGTATTATATTTCCTCTAAATTATACATATACTAATATTATTTATCCGATTTTCTCAATTACAAACTGAGGACTAAAACTTACATCCATTAATGAATAATTAATGCTAAATTGATTAACTATTTGTATGTTTGAGAGTGATAAATACTGAAAGCCCATAACATATAAAGGCTAATTCCTGAATTCATATAGATCAGTGCAAGCCTGTGACAGTGAAACAGGAACTTTATAATTTTATTAAGAATTCTCAAATATCACAGAATCAAAAACTATCTAATTAATTTCATAAAGATAAAACATGGCTAAATTTTGCAAATTTAAAAATTAAGCATTTTAGACTTTTAATGAATGGCAATGAAATTTAAATAGGTAATTTTATAAATATAACTTATCTGGTATGGTATTTTCTTAAACTTTGATATTTTTAATATTAACAATAAAATTATTTATTTGAAGACTAGAATAAACAACAACCAAATTTGAATCTTAAAAAGTAGTGGAATCATCTTCAAAATCATCAACTGTGCATACAAGCCTTTATTCATTTATGAGCAATAATGTAGATAAAATTGAAGATTAAATAAGAGTGTTATAACTAGATCTTACCTTCATAAAATCAAGATTATCATTAAAACATATAATCACAGAATTTTAAAGGTAGTTATTGCTGAATTAGAGATCATCTGCAATTAATTCAAACTTTCTCTTGCTTTGGAGAAAGAAGGATTAATCAAAGCTACATTGAGTTATTTCAATATTTTTTAATTTAATTTTGCTTATATGACTCAAATCTGTTGAGAATGTGAAAAATGCAGAATTCAATAATGTGCAATTTTCAATAAGGATATCTTCAATAGTTATAATGTCCTAAATATAGTCAATATTAAATAATGTTGAATTTTCTATTAAACAGTTTTTGAAAGTCAAATTTTTGATTTTAAAAGTTATTAAGACAGTTTGTTTTGAAAAATCAAAAAAAGTTGAATTAACAAAGACCGAATCTAAAAAGTAAACCTCCTAAATTACAATGTTTCCAAATATTTAAGTTTAGAAAAATGTAAGCCTAGAAATATTGGTTGTAATAAAATTTAACTTATTTAATGTTAAATCTATTTTTTTATTAAGATTTTCTAAATTACACCCATCAAATTTTCTAAAGGTTAAGTTTTTGAGTTCTACTTCATCATAGTTGATTATTTCTATTATTTAGCTTGTACCAACTTAATAATCTTTAACTGCAAATAATCTCATATTAGTTTTCTTTAGAGAAAATATTTTCTTCTTTAAGCCATTCCAAAATTTCAAAGCCAAAGAATCACAACTTACAATGTACTCATGAAATGAGAAAATATAATTAATCGTCATTTAATCTACTCCCACTAGGTTACAATATTAAAAATTTATTTCCTCTTCGTAACTATACTGATTCTACCTATCTAACAAACATTCAGTAAAATACACGGGGAATGAAAACCAATTTTAACAGCTTTTGTTAAAACAGTATTTAGCATTTCTAAAAGAGGTATTGATGACTATATTAGGATCTTTAACAGGTTTTAGACATCTTGTTGTAAATTGTAAATTTAATTCCTCTAACTCAAAATTTGGTTGTAAAGACTAAAATATAATCGAAATATTACAGAAATTTCATCCTAATTTCTCACTTCACAATATTAGCATAAATTAGAACAGGCTATGCATTTTCCATTAAGTTCAACCAACATAGGTTTCCTATAGTAATTTAATGGGCATCTCATGCAAATGAAACTGTATTAATCTTTTTAACAACTTAAGCACTCGCTACTGCAATATTAAAAACACATAAGCTAAATTGCCAAATCATATCCATTTTTACATTTAATTGGCTAATATGATAGTGATTCTGGAGAGTAGGAATAATAATATGAATTAGGTAAAAATTGCATTATAAAACTCTAAATCAATTGAACATATCCATCTTAATCCCTTATGCCACCTTATATTAAATAAGTGCTGTTCTGAAAACTTTCAAAAAGTGAAATCGATTCGCAGTTCCCAGTTATGATGGAACTGGCATAGCCTTCCCTGCAGATTACGCATTGTAACTATGATGAAGGAGTGAGAACACATTATAAACAATTGGAGTAATATTTATCACAATTTACAATTTCAGGTGCAACACTGAAATCATTTTAGGTTGAGAGAGTACATATTTCAATACCATCCAAATTAATAAATGATCTTAAACAAGTTAAAATTTTTGATTATTATCTTAAACATTCCCCAATAGTAAAGTCAAAAATAAAGCCATCTTCACACATTGCACAACCGATTTTAATCATTTAATCACTATTAGAGCCTTCAAAATTCTTATACAATGTACTTTTGAAAGAAGATTCATCATCTTAGTATTCAAAACAATATACACAATTCTTTATAGGGCATAATTTACACTTCTTATCAAAACTTTTATAATAGGGTTTTTGACAAGGTTCTTCCATATTATCATAAATACTAATACAGTCGGCACCATCTTATATATAAAGATTAGGACAACTTTTACATCTTACTCCTGAAACTGATAAAACTTGATCTTTGCAGGATTAAGACAGTAATAATAGGCACTGATAATCTTCAGATAGGCAGTTCAATTAAAAAGAGTGTGAACTATATAAAAAGCCTAAGTACAAATATTTAAAATCATTAATAGCGGCATTGTTACATCCTCTGCACGGGTATATAGTAATATCATTTCCATCAAAAAGTAATTAATCAGAATCTCTCAATTATAATTTTTCTGTCTATTGAGATTGACTTAAGTATAAATCATATTGACAGAATGGGTCTTAACTAAAAGATTTTGGATTTTACAAACATTCTACACAAATCATTAAATCATCCCTTATAATTGAAGGACTATATCAATAAATTATCGAATAATTACCATTATACACATTCATTTTCTAATTCAAAATAACCAAAAGGGCAATCATTATTTTTGAAAGGTTCATCAATAAACTCAAATTTTGTTTCCTAATATCCAACACAAATTTAATCATCAACTGTATTTAAAGGACAGAGACATAATTTATATTCTGGAAAATAAGTTCTCTTGGATTCTTCTGAACAAGATAAGCAATCTTCATTAGTTGGGCCATCGCATTCTTAACAACTGTTATGACAATTATGCTCAGAAAAAGTTTGATCGCAATTTAAAAAAATGAAATTCCTAGTAAATATACTCAAGTAATTTGAATTTAGCTACTTAATGTTTCCATATACTAATTTTAAATATAATGATTTAAATTGATGAACTTCTACTTAAAGGTTATACTAATAAATCATTAACTACTCATAAAATATAATTTAAATATCCATTGAACTTCTTATTAATTTTACTTATATTTTATGCCATAAATGTATACTGTGGGTTATATCAAATGATTTCTTTATTAGAAATGGATTAGTAGAAAAATCAATTGTAACCTTTGGGAAAGTGTAGCTATAAGTTGATAGTATAATTTAATTTTGAATATCTGATAATTAATATTGAATTTAAAGTGGGGATAAGTTATCATTAGACAATCTTGAATCCTCAAAATTAGCTGATAATTTTATAAATGGATATAGAAATTAGCTGTCTTCTTGAATGATTTCTTAGATTTTTACCCAGCCTGATAAAATAAAAGAATCACAAATGATATTTTATGAAACAAGATCTCCTTTTTATTAAGAGTAAATATTCATGTCTTGTATTTTTGAAAATTCATTAGGTTAGCACCTACATATCTCATAATCTACAAAAACACTTTTTACATAAGTTAACCAATCAATAATAGCGAGTACTTCTGATATCGCAAAATTTTATATTATAATGGTTCCGGGAAAGTATGAGAATTTTTAATTTTTTTCAATTGATTCTATTCTTGAATTACTTACAATTAAGCTACTTCCAAAAGTAAATTAGAGATCTCTTCCCTTGAATGGATAATGTATTTCTTCAACATTATGAATTAGTATTTTCTATTATGATATTATCATAATTTCAAATCGTTTTTAGAAAGGCCATTAAAGAACTTCCAGGAAATACCAAAAGCTTTCATATAAAAATATTTCAAGATCAATTTCGTATTTCTTTTATTCATCATTATCACTAACAAACCTAATTGTCTTCGTTATTTTGTTTGCCTCAAAATCTAAACAGTCGTAATATATTAAATTTAATTCGTTGCTTTGTTTATCAAGTACGTGATGAAGGTGATAACAGTCACTTTCAAACAATCCAACTGGACCAGTTTTAGGTATTGCGCTTAGCGGAGTATATTTTGACCAAATGCCATAGCTAAAGTATTTATTTGGATCAAAATCTTCATCATAAATCTTTACCGATTATTGTGCTACCTAGTATAATAAATCTAGTGTTTATATTTCAATGGCTAAGGTTATTTCCAAAAAAACAAGTTATATGAAAATCATCTTCAACGTAAAATTTTAAATAAATAAAATCTTGGCTTTGTAAAACATATTTTATAATACTACTGAGCAAATAAAATCTCATCAAAAGTATGAGCTAAATTAATTTATATAGTTGACCTCAAATAAACACGCACTTTCTTAGTTATTAAGAGAAAAGTTGGAGGCATTATTTTAGAACTCAGGATTATACAATTTATATGTTTTGCCATCGAGGGATATTAAATCATTTTAGAACTATTCATAAATCGAAAATTTATAATAACCAACTTACTATTAAATGTTATTATGTAATTGGTAGAATAGAGAATAATACAAAATAACAAGGATTTTTTATCAAAATATTTCTATTAAGATATTCGAATTTAGTTTAACTAATACCAATTCAAATAGAAATTTATTAATCTTTTTTAGATATGGTCTTGATTAAAATTGAATTTCAATAGGTTAGTGATATTTTTTATGACTAATGTAAACTATAAATCAAATTTGATTTTCTTTAACACATGACTTGGGTTCTTATATAAATTTCTCTTTCGAAAGAATATTAACCTCCAGTAGCTTCAAAATATGTTCTTACTTATTGATTCTAGTATTATTTTTGCATCTTTTCCATAACTTTCAGTTTTTTATCATGTAAAAAGAATTTTCAAAATTTTTATCATTTTTTGATAAAAAGTATACTCAAAAAATGATGATTAGATTAAACAATCCATAAATTAAAGCTAAAATCAGAATTAAATAACATGCAATATTTCACACTCTTGCCTATTTCCATATAATAATTAATTAACTTTTTATTTCTAGATAAATTTATAGCAAATATAAGTACAATCTACTACTGTTACTCTTAAAAATTAATTAAATAAATTAATTTAATATGTCATTTCTTTCTATCAAGTCTATTAAGTAATTTTTTTTAAGTATAAAGACCAAAAATGAATTTACTTATTTAGATAAATAATTATTATACACATTTACAGCCTGATGAGAATTAGATTTTTAATAGCATTTAATATACACATGAGTTAAAACAAAACCAAGACTATCCTAATCTTATTTGGGTTGATAGTCAAATGTTTAATTGGGAAAACCGATTAAGATGCAACTATCCTAACTAGTGGATAATACGGTTATTAACTTGAAAAACAAACAAAATAAGATATTCTCATATTTAGTGAAAGGAGATAGAACCATTTTGACTTATTCACAAATAATGTCTTAATTATATCTATAGTATCATATTCATTTAATAATCGCATGAAGAGGCTATTATGAGTCTAAATTAATAGGACATACAAAATGAATTCATCAAATTATTAACACCACCATAAAGGCGAACAGTTGAATATAAACATTCAAAATATCATGTTAGGATCTAATTTCTTGTTGTCATTGAGAAATTAAAAAAAAACAAAACACCTAAAGCAAAAAAAATTTGGTTTTTATTTAAAATCAATTAAATTTAAGCAAGGTATTTTCTAAAATTTAGATATTAATGAAATAGAAAACTAAAATTAACTAAATAAAATTTCTAACTGTTTGAGAAATTGATTTATCTCTACGCTAGATAGGTGATTTTTTCAACTTTTAACTAATAGTTTGCTGACCATAATTTTTAATAAATTACAAACATTATTCTGTGTCTATATAAAGGATTTGAGGAACATTAAAAACACCACAATCAATTTTAAATTCTTTAAAGAGTTATATCCTTTTTTGAAGAAGATATCTTTAAATAAGTTATGAGAAATCTAAATTAATCAAAAGATTAGGGAACTTCATTTTTTTGGAATATAAATGAAAAATATGTTAAGTTGTTATACGATCACTAGTTCATCTTTATCTCAAAATATGGAGCAAGGATTTTCTTTTGGTAATTTTATGGGGTACTTAATTACATCATTTTGTATTAAGAAATTCCTCATCAGTGTTTCAAATTATAATAATATCATCCCAAATATCCAATCGAAGAAGAAGAAATATTATTCCCATTATTTGAATTTATTGTGTACACTTGATCAATTGAAGAGAAAGAACAATTGGGACTCAGTAGTTAAGTAGAGAATAAAGACTATAATAGAAACATTGGCGAATTTTAATGTAAAAGAATTTTTGAATTTCTATTATTTTGTACAAATGAACAACAAAAAAAAGTATTAATTCAAAAATATTTGTCTCCTTAACTAAAAAGGAATTTGAGAATGTACTTTTAGGTTGCCCTTTTTTAATTACTTAATAAACCATATCATCTTTTTTATGGAAGAAGTTGACAAACAACTATTATAGAAAAGTTATCGAAAGGGAAATTCATTAGCTATCTTTATGATCTTAATGTAAAGAGCAAGCAAAATTTAAGATAGTTTGAAATTCTCAAATATCATTCTAATTAGAGTATTTAAATTAAAAAAACTAAAATTATTTAACAAAGGTCTTGGAATTTTAAGTATTTCAGATTATTATAATTTAACTACTGACATTACTTTAAGTAATTTCTGCGTTTCTTTGACTTCAATCCATTTAAAGGTCAACTATGAAAATGATTGAAGTTTCTTCCTCTTATTTGATATTTAAATTAATCTGTGATGATTTCTTTTGATTCTCAAATTTCAGTGCTTAAACATTCGAATGAAATTCTTTAGCCTTAATCAAATAACAGTTGTCAATAAGGAATTGTTTTGTTTAAATTTAAAGTTTCTATTAAAGTAAATTAATATCTTCATTTAAGAATTAAGAGATGAAGTAAATTGAAATGTTTAATATCTAATTATATTGTGGTAACAGAATTAATTGAGGATGTAAGGATAGCATACTAATTACTTCTCAATCTAAATTCTAGTTTTGTTTCTATAATATCTGAATTCTTCCAATAGCCAATTCTATAATTTTCATCCTAAATACAAAATATCAGTCATTCTACAAGATATCTAATACTATATGATTTAGGGTCATAAAATTAAGAGTTCCAAGTGCTACACTGATTTGTATCATTTTAAACCATTTATAATGTCTCCATCCTGCCCCTGTATTACTGCTTAAGGCTATAATATCCTTACTTGTCCATTTTTGGCAATATAGAAACGCCTCGATATCTTAGATTAAATTATGGAACTAACAGCTAAATGATTCTTTACTTTCATGCTAAAACCCATTAGAAATATTTAAAAATAAATGTATTTAACAATTTTTGCGATAAACAATATAATTATCTGTAAACCACAAAATATTTTTTAGCTTTTAGGACATGATCTACTGTAATTTATTCTTTAAACAAAAATAACTTATCAATAAAAAGATCGAAACTGATAGCTTATGAAATTTTTCCGCAGTTTAAGATATATAAAGTTTCGGCGAGGGAATTCATATTTGAAAAATTATACGCTTAAAAAAATAAATTTAAATAAGTATCTAAAGAGGTTTCGAATAATAAATGTGGTATTCTCTCTGACAAAATCCTGATTCATGAATAAATCTTAAACATCCTATCTCTATAGTAAAAAGAAAACTGAATCTGTTCAACATTAGTTCGCTAAATTTTCAGATGTAGTAATTAACTATTAACCTATCAACTCTTAATTGATGAACAACACTGTTAAAAAAATTATTTCTCAAAAATTCAAAAATCAAATAGTGCCACAAACCTACTGTACATCAAATGTAATTAAGTGGTTACTTCTAATGTTTTATTTGAGATTGGTAGATGTAGTCATAGTGAAGTTCTTTCTAATATTAGGCAACTTTGAAGTTTTCTCTGCTATTTTACTATATATTTTTAGACTAGTGAACATAGATGCTCTAAATACACAAAACTTACTTAATTAATCCTTTAGGAGTCTGATAATTACAAAAATTCAACTCTGAAATTTAAAATAAACTACATCTTCTATCTATGAAAATGATACTTAATTTTTATAGTAAAAATTAATAAAGATAATTTAAGTAACAAATTTATAATTGGTTAATTGAAATCAAAAATTCTTACTGGTAAGAAAAATGAAGAAAGCCTGGTCCACTGTAAGGATTAACAATATATAGAATAATAAAATGAGAGAGTATCTCATTAAAATTAAAATTTTTCACAAATGGTTAAGATTTAATTCAGATATATTTTTGGGCCAACTTTTATGGTTTTAAAACTGAAAAATAAGAATACCAAAGGAAAACCAATTATTGCGAAATGGATTTTGACTAAAATGTAAGGATGGCGGAGATCGATTATAAAAGGATAGCAATAAGTAGGAAGAAATGAAAATTCGAATCAGCAAAAATCTAGGAACTTAGGTCACTTACGATAGGAAACAGATCTCAGTGTACAAGCAGGACAAAGAGGAAAAAGAGAAACAGCAAGAGAATGATGAATTAAATTAATATCACGCTAAGAATGTTGAATAAATATGCTTTCTGAATCTCGTAAAGAAGAGAGATCATATTGCAATGTATTTATCGAAATTAGAATAAATACTCTTAATCCTCAATGAACATATTTAATATATAATGAATGAATAAATTGAATATGACATGTTAAAATTTCTATATTTTTTTGAGAAGTTAAATTAAATACAAGAAACCTAAATAATTCTTCCTTAATTTAAACACTGAATAAATAAATGTTTTCTTAGAATAATGCATCTATTTCATACCATTTGAATTCATGATCCAAATTATACTATAGGAATTCATAAATTAATTTTAAGAATAATTATAAAAGTTATCCTATTATTACTTCACTTTACCATTTAAACAATACAGAAATTATTACAAAATCTTGAAGAAGACTTCTATTAAATATGTATTAAATTTATGAATCAGGTTATAAATTAACAGGATATTTGGTTTTAACAAATTTGATGGTTTTATCAAAATATTTTGCTAAACTTTAAATGTTAATTCAAACATCTATTATTATTTTCTGGTGAAAATATAAATTAAATTTGAATGTAATTGGGATAATTAATTTTAAGTAAGTAAGTAAGTAAGCTTAAATAATATTATGAGGCTTAGCAAAATTTTTTAATTAAATTCAAAGAATTACAATTAATTATCCATTTAAAGATATGATTAAATTTTAAAAGTAGTTATTTAATGATGCTAACTTTGTAATTTATATATCATGGAATATTTTAGACTTGATCTTTTTTGACATTAAAGTTAAATAAAGCCAAGGACAATATGAAATACTTGTTGACTTTAAAAAGTTCCTTGATCCATTGTACAAAGGAACTCCTCAATAAATAATTGACACATTAACAGCACTTATGAATGCTATTAAGATGATTCATACTATTGCTAAGATTTTATAAAACTAATGAAACAATGACTGATTTGTTTTTCAAATTATTAATTAAATGATTAAGAATTGCAAAGAGAGAATACTTAATGGAGAAAAGAATTGAAAAATTTGGAATATAGATTCTTCTGAATTAAATTAAGTTTTAAGACAATAAATACAGCTCAATAGAGAATATAAGGGTATTTATAAAAAGATTAAGGAGAAAGTGGCTTATAGCCCAAAGGTACAAATTCGATTTCCCTGAATAACAGTTATTTGGTAAATTTGATACTTTTGTCAGAAGATTGGTTAAATTAATTGATATTTTTTAAATATCTATTAATTATAAGCTTTGGCTAAACACAACCTAGAAGGTATGGAATAATTAACAGCTAGATTCAATTAAATCTAAAGAATTCAAAGTTAAAATCATATTTTGCTAGATACAAACAGTAATAAATTTGATATAGTTGTGTTGAATTCAATGTTGTAATATCTCATTTGGATATTTACAATCACTCATTGATAATAATTTCAATAGATTGAGAACTATTAAATATTCACTTAAATTATTGAAGACATTTGAATAAACAATCAAGAGAGATTAATTAAAAATTAATTATCTAAATACAATACAATATTGCACACAGAATTAGATAATCTGAATATTCTAAGTTTCACTAGAATGTTAAATAAACTGATCAAACTTTTCTTCTAATCTCTTCATTAAATTTAAAAACATTTTCATATTTATTATACTTGTTAATAAGTATATATTTAGATTCTTCTGGGTTCATTAAAATGCAGAATCATATTTTTACAAATTTACTTAAAACATATGCTTCTCTTCCTTTTTTAATTTTTTTTTAAATACATTTAACTTCCTAAGCTAAATTAATTCCTTTACATATAAGTTAGATTAATTTTTCCTCTTAAGCTTGCATTAGAAGTTATTCGTTATTCTTGGTGCCTTCTCTTATCAATTACTTTAATTTATTTTTATTATTACAAAATCAAAAATTTTAATGGATGCTTAATGTTATTTAGATAAATATGCTTATCCTCGTATTTTAATACTAAAGCAACTATATCAGTAAACTAATTAAAAAAATATTCATAATTAAAGATATTTTACTCATTATTGGTTCTTATCGAAAACTTTTTATTGATCTTGCAAAACATTGTACAATCCAAGTTTGAATAGGATTGAATAGGATCTGTTGTTTTGTTTCTAAGTTGAGAGATATGATTCAACTAAATCTGAGCCTTTCCAAGTAAACGCTAAATATAATTTTAGGGTTACTATGATATCATGAATCAAGTTGTCCATAAGAATTAGTTCTCAACTTGATGCATAATTTGAATTTCTCAGTATGACTCGATCCTATTATTGCTGCAAAATTAGAATTTGGTAGTGCTACTTTAGTCAAAATATAGCTTAGGTATCTGGTTTGCTTCATAA